CCACATTATCGAATAAGTCCCGACGAGAGTTAGATATTACAAGAGTAAGTGGAAAAGTTGATACAGAAAGGGTTAATTCGAGAGAGCATGAGCCCATGTGTTGTTCCGGCCCTGCTAATACCGAAGAAAGATGACAGCTGGAGAATGTGCGTTGATAGTCGCGCAATTAACAGAATCACTGTCAAGTACAGATTCCATTCCACGGTTGGTTGATATGCTGGATATGTTGTCGGGATCGAAAGTCTTCACTAAAGTGGACCTAAAGAGCGGATACCATCAGATCAGAATCCGCCCTGTGGATGAGTGGAAAACGGCGTTCAAAACAAAGGATGAACTATACGAGTGGTTAGTTATGCCGTTTGGATTATCCAACGCTCCTTGTCTCCAGACGAAAATTTGTAAGAGTGCCCTCCATGGCACCAACCTGCAGTTGAAGAGCGTCAAGCCGGGTGCATCTAGAAGAGACCTGTTAATGACATGGTCACCAATGATGCAAGAAGTAGTAGGTGAATTGCGGTCCTTAAATTTTGGAAGAGTGTTATATTGCAAAATGGAGCTTACTTGCTCGGTCAAGACAACTTTCTTTGGTGCTTGGCTCTTGTTCTTCATCTTTTAAGTGCAAAGATTCTTTCAAGAATTTGGCATACGCCGGAATTTGTCTAATTGCATCCAAGTTTAAAATTGTGAGTTCACTATAAAAAGGATTTTGGGGATTGAGATTGTTGAATAAATAATTAAAGTGACATGTGGGGACCATGGTTATTATATTGAGATTGAAGGTTTGAAAATTTTCCTGATTAATATAACTTGTTATACTTGTTGTAGTTGACTGATTGATGCATTGCTGGGACATTATGATATGAAAACAGGTTTAAATGAGCCCATCTTGAACCGGTTCAAGACCCTTGAACCTGCTCAAGTCCTCCAGTGTGCCATTTTGCCTTGTCAGTTTGACAACTTTGATCACCAGACTTCGGACGGTCATAACTTCTTCGTTCAGAACCCAAATAGGGTTATTATTGAGTCCATTTTCAAGGATTTTGAGTTAGCTTTCCAATGAGACCAACCTAATCCCCAAATTCCATTTATGTTGAGAGTTATGATCGTTTTAGTGAAACAGTGTCAGAATTTCCCTAGTATTTTCATGCGGTTGATGAATCAAGTACTCAAACATTTATTGGTCGATTTGTAGTTGTTTATTTCGACAATATTCTGGTTTATAGTCAAACAGAGGCAGAACACCTTTTGCACTTGAGAGAGGTATTAATAGCTTTGCAGAAGAATAAGTTGTTCATTAATGTGAGGAAGTGTAGCTTTGTGACCCTAAACCTAGTATTCCTAGACTATGTGGTTTGTAATGATGGCATTCGGGTAGATAAGGAGAAGGTGAGGGCCACGAATGTGGGAGAAGTACGCGGTTTCCATGGCTTAGCCACGTTTTACCGAAGGTTCATCAAGAACTTCAGTAGTATTGTGGCTCCCATCGCAGAGTGCATGAAGAAAGGAAAATTCCAATGGGGAGAGGAAGCTGAGATGAGAACCCCAATCTTAGTCCTTCCAGATTTTGAGAAGCTATTCCAGGTGGATTGTGATGCCTCAATAGTGGGAATCGGAGCAGTTCTATCACAAGAAGGAAGGCCAGTAGCGTTTTATGGTGAGAAGTTAAGTGAAGCACGCAAGAAGTGGACTACTTATAGGTTGGAATTCTATGCGGTGGTGCAAGCTTTGCATACATGGGAACATTATCTTATCCGGTGAGAGTTTGTGCCGTTTACAGATCACCAGGCATTGAAGTCCATTAACAATCAAAACAGTGTTAATCGGATGCACGTGCGATAGGCGGCTTATATCCAGCGATTCCCCTTCTCTCTAAAACACAAGTCAGGCCAACAGAATAAAGTTGCAAATGCACTAAGTCGGAGAGCAGCTTTCTTAGTGACTATGAGGGCTGAAATCACAGGGTTCGAGTGCTTGAAGGAGTTATATGAGGCCGAAGAAGATTTTGGCCAAACCTGGGCAGCGTGTAAAACGAGCCAATCCTTTAAAGGGTTGCACATTTCTCTTTAATAAAAATCAGTTGTGTATTCCGCAAAGCTCTTTGCTGGAGCAAGTGGTTCGTGAATTGCATGGAGAGGATTAGGAGAAGACGCGATAGCTGGTGGAAGAATGATATTATTGGCCGCAACTCAAGCGTGACATAGAGAACCATGTACAGCAGTGCTCAATTTGCCAAGCTAACAAAGGCCAATCTTAGAATATTGGCCTTTGCACACCACTGCCTATTCCAGATGCTTCATGGGAGGATTTATCCATGGATTTTGTTCTTGGGTTGCCAAGGATGCAGCGAGGAGTAGACTGTGTTTTTGTGGTGGTCGATCGATTTTCCTAGATGGCCCATTTTATTGCACGCAAGAAGACGAACGATGCACTCCAAATGGCCAATCTGTTCTTTAAAGAGGTGGTTCGTTTACATGGGCTGCCACAGTCCATTACCTCAGATCATGACACCAAGTTCTTGTCTCACTTTTGGTGGACTTTACTGAAGAGATTCGATACCTCTCTTAATTTCAGTAGCACCAGTCACCCCTTACTGATGGCCAAACAGAGGTGGTGAATAGAACCCTTGGCAATCTAATTCGCTGCGTTCCAGGAGAGAAACCAAAACAGTGGGATCTTGCTCTTGCCCAGACAGAATTTGCTTACAAATGCATAGTTAACAGTTTCACTGGAAAATCCCTGTTTGCAGTTGTGTATTGCTGTTCTCCAAGGTTGCTTTGGATTTGGTGTCCTTACCGAAGTTGTCAGGGAACAGTGTTGCTGCAGAGAAAATGGCTTAGCACATTAAGACCATTTAGGAGAGTGTCAAGAAACATCTAGAGGAAACTTACACCAAATACAAGGCTGCAGCTGACAAGAGACGAAGGAAAAGAATATTTGAAGAAGAGGACTTGGTAATGGTGTATCTAAGAAAAAAGAGGTTTCCAGTGGGAACATACAACAAGCTGAAGGCCAAGAAATATGGTCTTATCAGATTCTGAATAAAATCAATGACAACGCCTATGTGATTGATGTACCTGCTGACATGGCCATTTCTTCTACCTTCAACGTGGCTGACATACATGAGTATTATCCGCCAGATTCGGGTAACTCAGGGACAAGTTCTTTTCACGCAAGGGAGACTGATGTAGAACGGCTTATGCGTGTATGAGCATACATGATCACAGCAAATAAGGGGGGCTGAAACAGTAAGGAGGGAAATAGAAATTATTCTCCATTGCAAGATTTAAGGAGATTTGGTGTAGTTGCCAACAATAGATGATATTATTCTCCATTGCAAGATTTAAGGAGGATTCAGAAAATAAATAAGATTTAGTGTAGTTGCCAACAATAGAAGATATTATTCTCCATTGCAAGATTTAAGGAGGAATCTGCTCCATCAAATCTTAGATTTCCCCTTTAATATTATTTCACACATGCTTTATTTTTATTTTGTTTTTGTTTTTGAGTTGCCTATATAAAGGCAAGAGATGTAAGTCTGCAGACATCATTATTATCAATATAATTTTAGTTTCTCTCTTATGAATGTGTTCTTTGTGAATTCAAGGGTTTAATCCTGTTCTTTATCGTTTCCGCTACGTTATCACAGGGATGGGCCTCATCTCTGTCTTCGGCAACGACGCTAACGCTGCGGCCAGAACTGAGGATTTAACGGTGATAACTTTCTTGGTGGTGATGGCGGTAAGGGATTTTGGGGCGGAGAGGGCTAGGGATTTGATGGTGGTGGTGGACCGGTGGTTGTGGTGTGGTGTTTGGGTTCAAAATATACATATACATATACAAATATACATATTTATATATATAAATCTCAAAGTCTCAATTGAGACGTTTGGCTTGCACTAAGTGTTATTTCCAACATACAATGGAAAGATAAAAGGGTAATAATTTTTTTTAGATCAATGAATCTGTAGAAGGTTACCTATTTATGTAAATCTTAATCTTGATGAGATTTGTGTGATCAAAGAGGAATGATGGTGGTCCAGTGCAAGAGAAAAGATAAAAAGAGAGTGGGGATTTCTGATGGAGCAGTTGAGATATTAGAAAGAGAAAGTGGTGAGGTGTAATGATGAGTGATTTAGGACAAGGGAGAAGCCTTAAATTGCTAAGAACTGAAAGAATTCAGAGGCTGAAAGTCCAAAGAACTAGGGTTGAAATTTGGAGGTTCAATAGTAGAAATGTAGAAAAACAGAGAAGTGGCCGGAAATTCAAATAAACAGATTGGTAGAGAGAAATGATTGAAAACAAGGAAAAAAAACCTATTGGAATCACTCCAACAAAGCCTAGGTATCACACGTAGAGAATGCCTCACACCCTCAGAATTTGTGAATCACTCACAACGAAACCACAAAGGATATTTTTATTCATTCATTGACTGAGTAATTAGAATTACATAGTATCCTTTTTATATTACCCTACAATGAAGGTAATAAGTTGACTCTAGCTTAATAAAGTAACAAATAACTTAATTGATGCAATTTACCAAAAACTGCAATTTCACCATAATTGATGCAATTACCAAAATAATGCAATTTGACCAAACCCCCCTAATTATGCAAGACTCCAAGTGGACTCTCCATCGTCTAGCATGTGCCAAATTAAGGTTTGAGCCTTCGAACCCTCCTTGCCACGCCTTTTATATACTTTAAAAGGTTGCTGCCACTGGCCTCTACTAGCTGCCACCTGTTCTCTACCAATGAGGCATAGGGCAAAAACGTCATTTAAAAGTATTGATATTTTGCAATTTAGATTAATAAAATATCAAAGGGCAATCTTGACTTTCATAACTTTTAAAGGGCTGTTTCGATTCAATTTCTGACGGGGTGTCATTGTTCAAAAAAGTTTCAACTTGTATATGGATGGTCATTATGCCAGACCTTAGGGAGTGTCATTGTAATTTACCTACATGTAAATTAATCAATTAATCTTTTGTATTTGTATTTCAGGAAGGACCCTGATAAAAGTCTTCCATTTGAGAGGAACTTTAAAGTTCCCAACATCCACAAAGAGATAGAAGAAGGCAAGAAAACTCCTGCAAAATTTCTCAATATAAAACTACATAGCCTTGGTCCTGAGATACAAACTGAGCTGTACACTGCATCTGGTTGGCCCTCTGTCAGTGGAGATGCTTTGAAGACCCTTGCTGGAAAGGTTTCTGCAGAATTTGATTTTATAGATGAAGCTCATGAGTTGCAATCAGATGAAAATGTTGGAAAGATGGATCAAACGAGCAATGGACTCTCAGAGATAAAGGAAAGAGCTGCCAGTGGGGACAAAGAATCTGCTTATGGAACGGCTTATGCTCCATTTGGAGGGGGACAGAATGGGAAGGAGGCTTGCCATGCAATTGCTGCTTTATGTGAAGTTTGCTCTATAGACTCTCTGATATCCAACTTCATCATCCCTTTGCAGGTTACTATTTTTCCATATTTCACTGGTTACACTTCCTGAATTTCTTACCCCTGAATAAATTTTGGTTCTTGAAATATTACGTATTGATATCTCTATAGGATTGTATTTTTGCACATTACTTTTGGGGAATAATAGCTTTTATTGTTCCAGGTCTCTATTTAAAATATATTGGTATTGTGTAAGGCTTTTATAAACATATTTTACTTCAAAAAATGTTAAAAGAATTGGACTGGACTAGTTTGATTGTACCAATCTTTTTGAAAAAATTGATTGGACCAAGTTGGGGTGGGATTGCCCCCATGTTCTACAGTGCACAACAAAAGCAGCCTATTTTCCTGTGGTGTTCAACCAAATATCATGAGTTGACGATAGTAATGACCAATGGTAACTGTGTAAGCTAGTTGGCTTTTTTGTTGGGTTCAAAAAGTAATTGAATTTATAGAAAGGTCACAAAAGAAAGGAAAACAAAGATTTATAAACTGAAGGGAAGTGGAGATACAAGTATTTGTTGGTCTTCTAATAAGAGAAAAGAACTTTAAATTTAATTCAGAATTTTGAACCTGTTACAAATATAAACCTAATTCAATTAGTTGGAGGAAGTCTCTTTTGAGCTACTTATCAAAAAGAAAAAAAAAAAATATTGGTCATGGCTTTGTGATGATAGTTTTAGAGGCTTACCTTACTAATAAGACAAAAATAGTGATTGGAAATTTAATATACACAAACTAACTGTAGCTGTTGAATTCTTATTTGATTGATTCAGACAATGAATAACAAGATCCCTTATGTTGATTTAAGATAACATCAAATAATGCAAAAACTTTTATATAAAATAGGGAAAATTTTAATTATCTAGAGTAGGTTACTGTTCATCATTTCTTTAAGTCCATTACATAATATCATTTTCGGAAAGCACAATTACAACTAATAACCTTTTGAAATTCCAACCAGAAAGATTTATATTTAAGAGATCCACCTATGGGCCATTGTTTGGCGCAATGTTAAAAGATGGCTTGGGTTTGAGTTTGAGAGCTACAGATCACGACTTGTTATCATCTCATTATCATATTTGTCTTTACAATCAAATCCCTTTACTTGTCCTGTTGTCCGTATTCTATGATAATGAAACACAGTATATTTTTTGAATTTTCCCTCAATGCATATGTTATTGCACAAAAGTTAGTGCCTAATATTTTTTTTTTTTTGAAAAAAAATCTTTTTGGAGGTGCAATGCTTGTTTCATCATTCACCCATATTTAGAGAAACTTATACATATTTGTGACTTGTGGATTCATATATATGTTGTGGGCAATATGTTGTACAATCTCTTCTCGGGGGAGGTGAGGGGAGAGGTTTAAGCCTCGTAGTGGGCAATTTGTTGTAGTGGCAATTTTTTTAAATGTGTGAGTACTTTACCTAACCAAAAAATATTTCTGGATAAATTTACCTTATACTAGATTGACTGTTTGATAGAAAAAGACTTTTGGTTTGTCGTTGGGTTCAATTCTAATATATGTTTCAATATTTAAAATATCTTCTAGAGTCCTAGATATATTTTCTCATTCTGATTGTGTAATTATGTGAGTATGGTTTTTCTTTTTTATGTGAGTTACTATTTGTTTAAAAGGTATCTCTATTATAACCACTCCTTTTTTTGTCCCCCCAAGTAAATAAATGAAGATTGATTGGTGTAAAAAAAAACTTATTATAATCATCCAGCTATGAGTATTGGATTTTGATGGTTTTAAGGCTAAATTAGGATCTCTTATTGGTATTGGATGTGTGTCTCTTAACTCTTTCCCTTTTACCTGATTCATCAATCCAAACCCTCTCCCCCAGGGTGAAGGTTTTATGATTTTCAAGCTTAGCATATAATGTGTCATCAGACTCATGAAATATGACTCTCATGCAGTGATGTGTATGTATGTTTTGATGGAAAGTAAACTTGTTAGTTGAAATAATTACAAGTGAGATTTGACTAGGACTGATCCAACCTACATGTGTACATGCTAGAAGTCTCTTCCTCTTCCCAGGGGATGTCTCCTATGCTCCGTTCACTAGGAAAGAAAAAAATTGGATGGAAGGGAGAGAAGAAGGGATGGATAAGACGTCCCTAGGGAAGAGATTGTGTCTTTCCTTCTTTTTGCTTGGTTGGATGGAAGAGAAGAGAATAAGCTCACAATTTATTATGTTCGTTATGAGAGAAGGAAAAAGTTTTAAATTGTTTTACCATTATGTTCAGTAATATCTATAATATTGTAATTCAAAGAGGAGAGTACTATAATTTAACTCGCGTAATTTAGGATAGTATTTAATTTAAAACTTCTATAATAGTCCACTTTTCATCCCCCCTCTCTTCCGCCGATTTTTGGATGGATGAAAATTTGTAAAGAAGGATGACACATCCCTCCTATTATCCTTTCTTTCCTTGTATCATCTCTACCGAACAAAGGAAGTCTCTTCCTTCTTTCCTATTTTCTTTCCACACCTCTTCCTTCCTACCAAACAAAGCACTAATGTTTTCTCTGTTTACAGCTGTAATTGTTCTTTTCTTTTACTACTTTTACCCTCGAGTTTATCAGATAGTTTATGATTATATTTGTTTCTTTCTACCACAGGGCAGTCATATATCAGCTAATAATTGTTCTTTTATTTTACTACTTTTACCCTCGAGTTTATCATATAGTTTATGATTATATTTGTTTCTTTCTACCGCAGGGCAGTCATATATCAGGCAAGAACGGGCGTGTCCATTGTTCACTGAATATCAACACAGAAACTGGGCGCTTGTCAGCTAGGAGACCAAATTTGCAGGTAAATGATTTTCTTTTATTACTAATATTAAACATGATATGACCTCAATATTCATCCTACATTGTTTTATTCATTAACATGCTGTACAGAGGTTGCAAATATGATAAAATAAATGGTTATTGTGTGGTTATAATGTTTTTTTGATAAATGAGAGACTATAATGTTCTTTTTCCTTTTTGTGTGTGTGCACATTTTTTTTTTTCATTTTTTCAACCTTTTCTTTTTTCCCTTATTCAATGGTAATCAATATGCCAAGGATAGCCTGTAATGTAATACAGAGCTACTAAGAACAAGCAAGGTAAGTCAAGTTCACCGAGGCAATGGCTCAGGTATCAGATGTCTTATGTTTGACTCTCCCAGACTTGCTGGTGCACGCGGTGTCCAGGGATTGTTTGTGTCTATAAAGATTAGTGTTGACTCAAAATGGATGATCAGATGGCATTGAGAACATCTTGCATAACCCCCCAAATATATATAACATAGCGCTTTGTAGAGTTGCTAGTGTGAAATGCTAGGAAAGTATGTTGTTCTGAGTTCTTCAGTTACATGCTGCTTTATCTGGAATTATCCTGCTGGAATCTACATTCCAGCTTTTCCATGCCAAAGATGAGCAAAATATTCACGTGGTCCTTGGTACTGGTACACTCGAGAGTCAGACTGTTGTTTATGACTTAGTAGACTTACAGATGCCATACTTGGATGCTCACCAAGGGAGACGAAGTTATGGAATATATATACACACACCCATATTTTTTAAATACACTCCACTGTGGCCTCTACAAATGTTTAGGGAGGTTAATGTTATCGTTTTATGTACATCAGAATCAGCCTGCATTAGAGAAAGACCGTTATAAGATTCGCCAGGCATTTATTGCTGCACCTGGGAACTCCCTTATTGTTGCTGATTATGGACAAGTAAGGGACTAAAACAAATTTTCTATTCATAATGATTTTATAAACCTAATCATCTCCTTATGATTTTGTATTTTTGTCATAATTAGCTGGAACTTAGGATTCTTGCACATCTTGCCGACTGCAAGAGTATGTTGCATGCCTTCAAAGCTGGTGGAGATTTTCATTCAAGGACTGCAATGAATATGTATCCACACATTCGTGAAGCCATTGAACAGAAGCGTGTGCTTCTTGAGTGGTATCCTCAACCTGGTGAAGATAAACCTCCTGTTCCTCTCTTAAAGGTAAATAGTGAAATCTTTCTCTTATATATTAGTGGCATTTATGTTTCAAGAAATTGCAATCATATGATATCAACACTTGGATATTTTTGGCTTTCGCTTCATCTTTTAACTTTTTTTGGTGGTTCAAATATTTTTTTTTTTGGCTCGGGGGGAGTATGGTGGTGGAGGTGACTTGTGAGATGTAAAGACTTGCAATTAGTAGGATGAAATTTCTTCCATCCACAATTGTATGAAGTGTGCCAATAGTAGCGTAATGTCAGGGGTCGGGCGCTTGTGATCGGACCCAAAAGCTTAAGCTATTAGCCTATTAGGTTGCCCAAGACCCTCCCCATCCGGATTTGATGTGGGACAAAATCAATGACATTCTCTCCCACCCAAACCTGCAACGCCCTCATTGCAGTTGGTCTACCCTGTCTACCCATCCACCCCAACGGCGGGGCACCTGGTAACGACCCGGACACCTCTGTGTGGGCGCTTGGTGTGACACCAGATTAAGGATTGGGCTTGCTTTGATACCATTTGTCACGGGCCGGGCACTTGCGATCCGACCCAAAAGCTTACGCTATTAGGTGGTGCTAACACCCGCCCTTATATGCCCAAGACCCTCCCCATCTAGATCCAATGTGGGACAAGAATCCATGTCATGAAACATGACAAGGCAAGCAGATTGGTATTGGCATTTCGCAATTTGATTAGGAGGGCTTTTTGCCAAGTTGGAGAGGGACAGGGTTGGCTCTCTAGCATTATGTCGAGTATGAGAAAGCTGGATTTTTATCCCTTTCCTGATCCGCCTACTTGGAACTATTTAAACACTACCTTCCCTGGGGATTCTTGCTCTGGAAAAGAAGGTTCCAATGAATATGAGGAAAACAACACGTTATGGCCATGACCAGCTAAACATCACTGTCATCTCACAAATCAAGTTGCTTGCGCTTTGGTAGATTGTGAGTGGGTCTGTCATCCTCATTCTAGAATCAATAGCCAGGACCAAACTAGGGCAATAAATATATCTTAGTAGATCGATGAAAATGCACCGCGTACTGCAAGACATGGTTCCTTGCGGATAAAAGAAGTTTCAATTTCAAGTAGAAAAAATTTCATTGCTCTTGCGTTATGATATTACTCTGTTACATTAAAACTGCCTCCAGAAAAAAATTAAATACAGGCTGCATTATGGCTATTGCCTTTGAGAGGAGAAAATTCTGGGTCCTTGGGATTCTTCGATGATATAATGGGCCATTGGAATTTTTCAATGATGTTATGTGCCATGCATGAACCTTCTGAAATGAAAAGAAGTGCAGGTCTCTATTGATAGCAATTCCTTGCACAGAGATCTGCTATATATATTTCATTGAAATGAATAAATAACTGAATAGTTTTAGGAATTTTCCTTTATTGCGAGAAACTCAAAACAGATTGCCTTTTTCTTTTAAATGTTACCCTTGTCTATCAATGCAATGATGATCACATTTCTTCTTCTTGGTTTATTGATATGAAAGAGATTGACATTTTTTTTTTTCAGGATGCTTTTGCTTCTGAAAGAAGGAAAGCAAAGATGCTCAACTTTTCAATTGCATACGGAAAAACTCCAGTGGGGCTTGCCCGCGATTGGAAGGTACCCTTTGCATTATAAAACCTGAAACAATGAGTAACTCCTGTTGTTTCAACTGAAATAATCTTAATACATTGACGTATGGTGATTACCATTTTTATTCTCAGGTTTCTGAGAAGGAAGCAAAGCAAACAGTTGATCTCTGGTACAGTGAAAGACAAGAAGTGCTGCAGTGGCAGAAAAAACGTAAATGGGAAGCCAAATATCAGAAATGTGTTCATACATTACTAGGACGAGCCCGCCGGTTCCCTTCAATGGATAATGCAACTTCCTCTCAAAGAGGTCACATTGAACGAGCTGCCATCAATACTCCAGTACAGGTTCTCTTTTCCCAATGCCCTCTCTCTCTCACACACATTCTTCCTCATTTGAAGTTCTGATTAGACAATTGCAACAGGGTAGTGCTGCTGATGTTGCCATGTGTGCCATGTTAGAGATCTCAAAAAATGAGCGTTTGAAGGAAATTGGATGGAGGCTGCTTTTACAGGTTAAGTTTATTCCCCCCCCCCCTCTCCTCCATATGGAAGTGCTACGGGCACATAGAGATGTGCAAATCGCCTTGCCTCATATAGGAACGAACCTCCTATGAGTGGATAAAAAGAAACGGTTAAAAAAGGATTATCTGCAGATGCTATCATATCTGACAATCACCTTGCTTCAAGTTATAAATTACATGATGGTACTAATAACCGCAATCTAAGAAATATGGACATGGACACACCATGATATGGATACGGTGTGGCAAATCCAAAAATATGAGAATATGATATTTTGTTTATAAAAGATTTGTTATATATGCAAATATTGTTTCATACTAGATAGATTTTTTTATATGTATGTAACATGAAATTGTAGTAGTACTCACCGGAGATAAAATGATAAACAACAGATAGTATAGTTATGTGCAAAAGAAATCCACCAACTTCAAATTGGAAAAATAGGATACATGTAGTCAACCTCAAGTTGGGCGAAGGCCTTTTTTTATTTTGGGTGGTGGTTGATTGTTACGTGCAACTATAATCAAAACCACCTGATAAAGAAAAATATGACCATGTCTCAAGGACACGGAATATTTCTGTACACGTGTGTTTGTGTGTGTATTTAGATGTTTACCTATTGTTTAATGACTTGCGTTTTACTCCCAATTTCCTGTGCCTGCTCCTTTAGAAAGATTTTTATTTATTTTTTGTATTTTAATATGGTCATTTTATATGATTCTTATATGAACTTCTTTATATATACACTTATGCTTGGAGAAGTTGCCGTGTTAGACATGTGATTGACATGGAGTGTGATGAGATTGTTCGAAAGAGCTTGCTCCTTCCTGCCTGCATTGTCTTCGTCTTCACTTCATCCCATCTACTATTTCAATTGGCAATAAATAATCTTCACATGTTATTTTAGTCCACAATATAGCCACGTCTTCCAATAAAGCAGCTTACCTTTCAAACCCATCCATGTTATTGTTGAGAATTGCCCTTAATCCAGAAGTTTCTTTCTTCTCACTGTTGGGTTCAATACAATTTTTTTTGTAGAATTCCAATCTTATCTTCCAATCCTATATGTTCACTATATAACCATATTTTATCCAGTTATAATCTTTCCTCCCTCCATTTTGATATCTTTTTTAAGTTGACTTTTAGTTTATGAAAATGCTGTTTCTCAGTTACCCAGTTTTATGCTTCTAAAACATAGCTGCTTTCTATGTGGAAGTGCAGTCGAGTTAACACTGCAGAGGCAAATCATCGTTTGCTGTAGAGAGGATGAAGGAAAGAGGGGAACAAAGGAACCTGAAATCCTCTCTTTCCAACTACATTTGTACCGACTGGTGTCCTTATTAATGATTTTGCCTCCACTTGTGTATTTTTACTTATAATATAAAATAGCATATATTATCCTGCCTGACTTGATTATTTCCGAGTTTTTGTTCAAAAATCTATTTTGCAACGTGCTCTCTTTAGATGTCATTGTCTAAAAATGATGTAAAGATAACATGCGCCAACTATTTATGAACGTTGAATCAGACCATAGTGAAGGACTTTATAACATAGGCATACTGTGCACGCTTATCGCATTTGTTGATGGCAGCAGTAGAAACAATTTTGAGTGGTTCTGCTTTTATCTGTGATGCCTAATTTTGTTCCGATATTCAGCGTTCATATCTTATTTGTATTTACTTGAGCACTGACTTGCTAGCCAAAATAGCTTTAATTGAAAAAATAATGAATAATTTGGGGAACAGGTTCACGATGAAGTAATCCTAGAAGGACCAGAAGAGTCAGCCGACATCGCCAAGGCCATAGTTGTCGAGTGCATGTCCAAACCCTTTGACGGCAAGAACATTCTTAAAGTTGACCTCTCTGTTGATGCCAAATGTGCTCAAAACTGGTATTCTGGCAAGTAGGTTGTGGGTTCTGTCTGCCAAAACAGGTGCAGATTTGTTTGAACCCCTGCTCCCCTCCCATGGGCATGTGATTTGCAGCAGCTCAAGGATGGAGTCTTGTGATACCACCGTGTTGATTTGTCTATGCCAATACGGTGGGTTAACCAAAGTCTTGGGAAGTACTTGTGTTGGGGGAATTGGTTCATATTGAAACGCAAAGAATTCGTCGAAGATGACGCTGACTTGGACTTCTCCAGTGTATGCCATTGTTACATTAATGCTTTGGGCTCAGGGACTAGGGAAGTAGGGTATTGGGTTGCAGCTTTAATGCAGTTATGTAATTCTGCTGGAACAATGAGAGCCTGCAAATGATTTATCCATTGTATAAAATCTTACATTTTGATGGCACTCCTGTCTAGTTCCTGTAATACTATATTCATATTTCTGTTGCACGGTATTAAAGCTCAATTTTGATGGTAGTATCATTCTTCAAATGGGCTACATCGTTATGACAATTCCGATTAGCAAAAACCATGCCAAGGGGCCATGAACCATGCCATAATCAATTTCATTTGAAAATATATATATATACATATAGGGTAAAGTGCACTAAACCCTCCTGAATTATTGGGGTATGTGCAAGAAATCCCCCTGAACTATACAAGTTGCAAAAATCCTCCCTGAACTATTGAGGTATGTGCAAGAAACCCTCCTGAATTATATATTTTTTTACAGTTTATCCTATCTGCGCGAATTGATTGACTGAAAGGGATGATGAAGCCGAGGAATTTGTTGCTGGGATCGGTGGGTCTCCTATCATAGCTCCATCATAGCCGTTGCACCAACCGCTAGATCCGTCGGTCATATATATCGCACTTCTCTGCACCGTTGCGTCAGCCCATCGCTGTCACTGCCTTGCCCTTTATTCAGCTCACCTTGCTCGCCGGTCCATTCCATCGTCCATTCCAAGCTCGCTGGCCCATTCCGCCATCTTCATAACCGAGCACACCGCCATCCGTGTTTCGAGCACACAACCGTCCACAGTTCACCTCCGAGCCCCCTTGAGCTCACCGCCGCTTCCATAGTTCACGGCCGAGTCAACCGAGCTCTCATCACAGCCGAGTCCTCCGTGCACAAGCCGCCATCATCCGAGACCGAGCCATTCCGCCAACCTCGGTTTTCTTTGGTCTTTTCTCTCTCTCCCTCTAGCTCTCTGTTTTGGGTTGTGTTGGGTGAAAAACATCTTTTAGCAGAAAAAAAATGTAAGAAGTGTATAAGTTAAAACGACGCAGTGTGTTATAAGGACAAACTGGTCTTTCAAAATTTTCGGTGCCGGAAGCTGATGTCATTGGGGTAAATTGCAACAAAATCATAGTTCAGGGGGGTAAATTGCAACAAAATCATAGTTCAGGGGGATTTTTTGTAGTTTAGGGGGATTTCTTGCAAATGACAAATAGTTCAAGGAGGTAAATTGCAACAAAATCATAATTCAGGGGGATTTTTTGTAGTTAAGGGGGTTTTCTTGTAAATGACCAATGGTTCAAGGGGGTTTAATGCACTTTACCCATATATATATATATAACCTGTATCTAGTTCGTATATCTAATTTGTATTTTAGTCCATCAATATAAGAAAGTGTGGTAATCAACTTAATTGTTGCTAGAAAATGGTTGTTCCCTACTTAATTAACTTAGATGCGTGAATACAAGTACATCCGAACCACCGGAGCAAAGAGTTACACAAACTACACTGGTCTTCATGTCCAAGAAGCAAATGACAATCCAAGCCTCGGGCAATGGGGAACTATTATATTTTGGCAGACACAAAACCCATATATGTATATATAGGTTCATATATACACACACATACACCATGCAATTCGAGCTAGACGATTACTAGGACATGCACTTTCGTCTGCCATAATCAATTTCATTAGAGCGGCAAACCTATATCCAATTTCTATTTTAATGAACCCATATGACACACTGTTCATGATCAACTCGTATTGTTCCTCAAAAAGCAATTTAATTTGCCTATTATGTGTAAATACAAGATGATACCAAAGTCACACATCAAATACAGGACCCAGGCTGTTCAGCTAGCTATTACTTCCCCAACCTTTGCAGATCAATTTGCCAAGCTGACGCCAACTGCAGCAAGAGTTGTTCTGGTGTAGCACCTTCCCAGTCCTCGGATGGGTCAATTGTCGAAGCAGCTTCATGTAAATTCAGCAAAAGCTCCCTTTGTACTTCATTAGGAATGCTCAGCATATCAGGTCCGTTTTCTACCACATCTACCAACTACAGAACAAGAAGCCAATATGGAAATGCCAGTTAGATTGATTATTATTTCTGAAGTTACAGAATGTATGAATTCCAGGTTGACAGGCGCAGATGAAAAAAAAAAAAAAAAAGAACACGACAAAATAAGAAGTGATTCCAACTAAGAAATTATGAGAGGATAGGAGCCATGTTAGACCTCTCAATTAAAATGGGAAGAACATGAAACTGCCCATTTTCATTTTTCAGCGAAGAGTAAAGATCAACTGAAAAATATGAGTTCAATTACTTGCCAAATAGTTCTGGAAGAAATTTTAGGTGATAACACACCACCATATTTCTTTCAATCCTACTTACTAGCCAAACCCTATCTAATAAGGTGTCGGGGTTTCACATGAGGAACTGAATGATCTTTCAACTGATGTTAATCATGACAAAATTTAATATTGTACTTTTATCTCAAGGTTTTCCAATTCATTTTCCACATAAGACTAAACTATGAGATAAATTAGCTTGTTCTTTATAATGTAAATTTTCAGGAAATTACTTGGACAAATTCTGTAACAAACAAAAGAAACAAGGCTCTTTCTTTTTGCCCATAGCCAGTTGCTTAGAGTACTAGCCAACTGTTAACCGTTACCAGTTATCTTTTTTGGCATGTAAGCAATGCAGATACCCATTTTATACATGTCTAGCTCAATTTTGATTTAGCAAGTCAAAATAAATTAAAGCAGATGGAAGAACATATAAGTTAGAGAAAGAAGAAAATACCTGTTGAATCCAAGATAAACAGATCTCAAACAAGTTCTGTTCCAGTAGAAACTGTGCAACAGCATACAAAACCTCACTTGCTACCTCATTTGAGAGTTGATCAACTACAGGGCCTGATCTGTCCATTAACTTCACAAGCAAGAGATCGTCCCCTGTAGACAGAACCTCAGCATAAGCCGAATCCATATCACCCACGTGAAGTGCATCCATTGCATTAGTCCAAGAAGTCCAGGTTGGGTCCCGCTCTTGTACATTATTATCATCCCCCAAAGCTTCTGCAGTCAATTCTGGTATAGCTACTCTTGCAGTTCGAGCAGTTCCATTGTCTTCGCCAGCTACCCGAATTGCTTCCAGAGTTGCTTCGTCCTTTGAAGCTTGCCAGACACTTCTTGCAGAAGGCCCCTCACCAAATCTAACAGGTCCAGACCCTTTATCCCAGGCTCTCCTGCTGCCAACCTGATCATTCTCATGCTCCGATTTAGGTGACCTACCATCTATAGGAACGCTGCTTAAAGCTCTCCTAGAGCTCATTTGCCCATTTTTCCCATATGTGTGGTAATCCCAAGCCTCAGACATGTCAGATCTCCAATTAGAGCCCCTTCCCCTCATGCCCATAGCAATACCATCAGATGAGGCAAATCTCTCCCCAAAGGGAATTCGCCCATCGCCACCCCTCCCCAACTTAGTTGGAGAGTAGTCGGGGAAGCCATTATACTTGCCTAAAGGCCTATTAGAAGATCCCTCAAACCCCGCCATAAAACTATTACCTCTTCGACCTGATGATATTGACAGATCACGTGCCATGTCTTCAACAACTCTCTCAAGACCGCGCACTCTGTTCTCTAGAGTCACCATGCTATCATGAGACCCACCCATGAAATCCTGCAATACAAGAAAAACATTAGATAAAGAGAAAACACCCGATCATTTTCTCCACACAAAACTATTTAACAGACCTGCAGCATGTTCATGAGATGAGCCTGTTGTCTCTCCAATTGTAATAACTGCCTCTGGATAACCAACCAATTACCTTTGCCGTTTATTCTCTCTTCGGACCATTTATCTCGAGTAAAGTCATCAACGTCTCGTCGTCTAGAGAACACGCCAGCAGTTTCTCTTTCTACATTACGGTATTTAATGTTGACAGGTCCATCATCTGGCTGGCAGTTCACCTTTGACCTTTCCTTTGGATCTACGTCATTTGGCTCTGGCTCTCCCTCATTGTTTGAATTGGAAGAGTTGAGACACCTACGGGGTACAACTACTTCTACAGGCAAATCATCTGAACCTCTTGTTTCTAGTTTCAGGAAGAATTCCGGGTTCAATTCTTTGTCACTTAAGGCCGGTGCCTTCTTCTTCAACATCCCAACTGTTTTGTCCGAGATGTTGCCACCCTTGGTTTTGGAAGCAGAATCAGTTGGAGATGACCCATCCAATGAATCCTTTGCTGATGTATCAGTTCTAGTCTCACTGGGATTAGGAGCTTTCAGGTCCTTTCTTGATAAAGCAGCCGGTTCAGAACTTTGACCATCTTAACAACCGACCACAAGAAACAGTAAAGAGGTGAATACAAAAGAATCCGCTAGCTGAATGAACTTTTATATGAAAAACATGTTACTACTAAGCTTACCATGAGATGAAGCTTTCTGGTCATCAGAAGCTCCATCTTTACCCTTTCCTGCAATCTTCTTCCATAGTTGCAATGCCTCTGTCATACTATCTCTGACAGGTTTTATCTGAAAAAATGAATAATGTCAGTGCTATTTTTTTTTTTAAATAAACATGTCAGGCTTAACGGAATTGAGTGTTTATAGTAGAGAGGAAAATACACCCGACCACCTATTTTTGGAGTTCTATCTTCATTTCTTCATCAAAGTGCAAACTGATCTAGCAATAGCAAATAGCAATAAACTTTTAGAAGCTAATACATAAAATCTTCAGAATTGCGTGATCACTTGAGGTTTTCCATACAAGGTTAAAAGAACAACAGCAGGTGTTATTCACAGCTCGTGGGTAAGTCCCTCCATCTCTCAAACTTCAATGATGCTAAGGCCATTATCTAGTGCCAAACAGGCCCCACCTATGTGGGTTGGGTTGAATTGAATACAAACTTAACCTTTGACATCATTTTGTACGAAGTGGCTGCTTTCACACTCATTTGTAGGTGCATGCTTACTAACTAGAACGGTAGAACTTATAGTGATTATCAAAACATTAGCTGCTTCCGTGTCTCTTTATCGACCGCTCAAAAATTGTGACTGACAGCATAGTTATGACTCCGGTCTTATTTTCAGCAAAATGCTTAAATATTTTGATTCAGCCCAAGAGCAGAATAGGTCGCCACTAATTTCATCTTGTATTATGGTCTAGAGAATTTTGGCTTGTTTCAACCATTTCAGACCATTTAACTCCTCTATTATAAGTCTGCATATTAATGGCACACAAGCAAAATCTTTTCCACTGATTTAGAAAAATCAATCGTTGAATCTCACAAGCAATAAATCAAGTTTTGAAAGTTGTTTTTGTATTCCTTGCCCAAATCAGTTCCTACCAACTTCCTTTCAAGATTTTTGTGTATCTATTGCTCAATTCATTTTTCCCACTTTTGAGAGCATCCCTCTCCCCTTGTACATACATAGATAGACAGATAAACACACCAAAACATGGATCTATAGATATGAATGCATATTATATATGTGTGTATATATTAGCTACAGGTGGGTTTAAGTTTGAGGTATACTCATCTAACTTGAGATAGGAAAGCTATATAGGATTAGTGGCTCCAAGTTATACCACTCGGAATCTGATAATTAATTTTTTGTAGGTTGTGTAATTTTCAATTCAAGATGTAGTCCTTTACATTTAAGTATATATGTTTGACAAGTGAATATCCTTATATTGTGACAAATCCAAAAAAAAAAAAAAGAGAGAGAAAATAAACAACAAAAATGTTCTGAACCAATACATTACATCCCAGTGGAGAAAACTAAATTTCGGTTGAAAAGAATTCATAATTATGGTTTATAGGATATGTAAGACATACATATTTCAATTCCCAGCTTGATCGATTTTTTGAATTATAGAGCTGGTCTTTCCCAATCCTTCATCCCAGATGTGTGGGTAATTGTTCACATTCTATAAACTAAAATTGATAAGAAAGAGACCAAAAAGATAAAGATGGATTGCACATTCATGCTTCAGTGAACTGCAATTTATGAAGCATAGATACTTCTAAAAGGAGCAGGATCCATATCAAATACTAATACTCCTCAACTGATCACTAATACATGCTTAATGCTACCTAACACAGTTATAATTAAAAAATTAATTTCACTTCTCAAATACTATAGAGCACGTTCCTGACACCGTGAATATGGAGAAGAAGCATTTCTAATTTCACATAATGGTATAATTATTAGGAAAATATAAGAAGGGTTTCAAATATTTGGAATGTATTCTAGACAAGGAGAATTGGAAATTAATAGCAAGGTTGGAGTGGGATGGACAAAATGGAGACATGCTAGTAGTCTCCATGTTATAAAAAATACCAAATAAGTTAAGTGGGAAATATTATAGGACGTTATTCGACTAGCTATCTTATACGAGACAGAGTGTTTGGCATTAAAAAAAAGAACAAAACATTCATATAACTGAAATGAGAATGTTGAGATGGATGATAGGCGTGATCAGAAGAGATAGGTTTACAAATCAAAATGTGAGGGAGAGATTATGAAAAAGATCAATTAGTGACAAATAAGAGAAAACAGCCTTAAGCGAAACATACACAACATAGACCCGCAGATACACCACTGAGCAAAACAAGAATAGTTTGCATAGAATGTAAGAGAACAAGGAATGCCCAAACAAGTTTAAAAAATTAAATATAAGAGGAGATATGACGTGTAATAAAATAGAATGTGAAACGAACACACATGGTCAACCCCAGTCGTTTGGGATGAAGGCAAAGATGCCTATGAAATTAATGTCCAGTTGTTTGGGATGGCGATGATGATGAATCTAGTTTAAAGTTAATGTCCATGAAGTATAACCCTCATTTTTGTCACTGAATTTCAATTATAAGTTAGAAAGCTAAAATATTTGATAACTATATAATACATGATTGTTTGGTAATATATCCAGTTCAATGTCCATGTAGTATAATCCTCATTTTTGTCACTGAATTTCAATTATAAGTTTTTTTTTTTTTTTCAAAGTGCAAGCAAACACACACACACACACACAGAGTATATATATATATTTATATATTTTGTCCCCAAAGGCGGGAGGAGAGCTTATACCATATAGGCTAGATCCTATTGGTTCAATTATAAGTTAGAAAACTAATATATTTGATAAATATATAATAAATGATTGTTGGCAATATATGTGCATAAATTCTCACAAAAACCTCGTCTCAAGTTATATACAGACACGCATGCATACACACACACATAAAAGTAAGTAGCCTTTTTGTTTCTATAGCTCCAAAGCTGACCCTACCCTAAGGTAAATAAGAGGAACTAAAGGGTTTACGGGTACCATATTTCAGCTTATAGAGATTCTTTTTAGCCCTATGCTTTATAGAATTTGTCATCACATTATCAGTATTATCATCGTGTTGTAACTGTAACCATATCTGTTTCCTAGGCTGCATGTCCTTCACTAAATATTTTCTAAAATACCCTAACTTTAGTCTTCATGCCTAAGAATGACATATTTAGGTCATGTCTAATTTCAACAATTCTCCTATAAAATCACAATTTTGGTTCGAACATCAAGGAGCAATGAGTACGAATTGATCAATAACAAGGATACAATCATAGAAGCCCACTGACAAAAGGATATATAACCAGGTCTAAAGCACAACCTGGTGTTCCACACATTTTATGAGCTGTTTGGCATCATGACTCATGTAAAACTGAAATGCAATAACTATAGGGTATAGATAAATGCATTATTGGTTGACCAGTAAAAAGTGCAAAATTAGATCGTTATCACAACAAAAGATTAAAGTGGCACCTTGTCAAAGCGGCAAGCCTCAAGCACTGTCAGTGTGGAAGCAGCAGAATCTGTAATTAAGCTGCTGGAATGCAATGCTAGAGCACCTAATGTATCTGCTGCTGCCTTACGTGTTGCCCAGTCCGAACTCCCAAGGCAGTCTTGAATGCTTTGCAGCAATGAATCCAAGCTTTGTGGTGCAATAGCTCCTACCTGCAACAAGTTTGAAATATATAAGTTTTGAATTCGCTCCATTACATTTTGAGTGAGTTTCAGTATCCAATAGGGCTTTATGTGAAACAGGTATTGAATGGCTTAGATTTGCTTCTTTAAACCATCGACCAATCAAACAAGCCAATGCTCAGTATAGCCTGGCTCATTACACCCTTAGTATTCAAATCCTCATTTATTGCATAAGGTACCAAAATTGAGTTATCAAATATGCGGAGAGATGAAGCATAACAGTATTTACGAAGTATGAGAAAAAGGAACACAAATTTGTATGAACTACACATGACACACTCAAATAAGTTTATGACAGACAGTAAAAAATAAAATCTGACTGATGAGGAAAATATATAAAAATAAATGATTGAGATGGAATAGCTATTGCAACATTCCATATATTCTTTCCTGTTGTTCCAGTACTCAGCAATCAAAAGGGCTAAATGAATCTGAAACATATTAAAGAATTACACTCAATCCATAGTTAAATTCCAAGTTCCCAACATTTTCCCACTATTCACAGCAATCAAATAGAGCATAATTTAAAATTGGATCATCAAATTTGACACAGTTTATGTACAGATTCCAAATTCACTTTAAATATGATCTCTCAGTAACTGAACAAAGCATAGAACATCAACTGGATCAGTGAATTTATGACAGTTTACAATAAAAATCCATTCATTTGTGTGGGTGTGTGAGTTGGGGGGGGGGGGGGGGGGGGGGGGGGGGGGGTGGGGTGTTTGCTGTGTGGGGTTTGGGAATCTAGCTTTTTCTTTATATTTTATTTTCACTAGATTGTCAGCAAGTTTAATAACACTTGGTTTGAGTGAATCATCAAAATTTTACACCCTTTCTAAAGGATTCCAAGTTATGTTTTTCTTTTTTCCTATAATTTATTGGCAATCAAACAGAGTTCTTAACTCAAGTAAATCATCAAATTCGACACAACATAAGAAGCAATATAATTCAGTGACAAGTAGAATTGAACAATTACAAACACACCAGTACAGAGACTATGAAAACTTGACATATATTTGGGCTCATTCCTTAACAGAAGCTTTCGGGGCAAATACTTGTCTAGTAATATCAGAATATCACAAACCTGAGACAAAATGGAAACAACAGGCAAGAGTGAAGACTTTGCCAAGAAGTTTGGATTGTTCAGGTACTTGCAGATCCTGGGACAAAGCTTCTGAAACGCCGAAATGGGCGGGTCTGAAGCACATTCCACCATTTTAGCCATACACATTGCTGAACCCACTTGTACCCCTTTGTTCTGCTCACTCAGTGCCTCGAACAAAGGCTTCACAAACAGCAAAACCACCGACCCAAGACCACCATTGTCACCCTCTCCCTTCAGATACTGCGACGAAAGCGAACCAATTGCATCTCGACATGCGTCTCTCACACCCGAATCAGAGTCTTTGAGTCTTCTCACAATGTGGGCAATGATTTTCGTCAAGTGGGTGGCAGTCGAATCGCCGTGGACGGTGCAGAGCGCGGCGAGGAGGCGGAGAGACTCTTTCTTCACGGGGGCTTTTGGGTCGTTGGTGGCATCGTAGAGGCAATTGAGGAGCATTGAAACGCCGTCTGAAGATAGGGTTTGGATGATTTTTTCGAGGTCTTCGACGGCGATCTGATGGGTGTCTCTGTCGGAGAGTTTAGATAGAGAAGTGAGGACTCGTTGCTTCAGCTCAATCATGGCGAGGTGGGAGGAGAGAGAAGATGAAGAGGAAGATGATGATCTTGAGGGCGTTGTAGTGGAGGGTTGGCTTGGGGATTTCGAGGACCTTGAAGATTTGGGTCCTAGTGAACTCATTGTGGACTTTGATGAAGAAGCACAAACAGTGCTGCATAAACCCAATGCTGAAATGGAGAAGGGGAGAGAGATTGTAAAGACTTTTAGTGCGAGAGAGTGTGTGTAGGTGTGTGTGTGGGGAAGAGGGAAGTGTGAGAGCTAAGGGTTGAGAAGGTTACCCACCATGAAAGCAAAATCAAAGCAACTCAGAAAGGAAAATGAGATCTGCAAGAGTGAGCCACAAAGTTTGTTTTTCAAATAATGAGATCTAATGATTCATGTGAATGGGAAATTTGATACACCAGTAATATTAAACGAGTTAATAGACTGTTAAATTTGTCTACGAAATACACGAGTATGATGTTTTGCTATAACATTAATTTTTTATTAACTGATATTAGGACACAAGGAACAGCCTTCTAAAGAGAAGGCACATACAAATTTTAGAATTTGAATTGAAAATAGAGAACTACTACTTTATCAAACTTTGTACGTATATACAATATACACACAAGAGTCACATGACTTGTAAAAAAACATTACGCAGTATATATGTATTTCTGTATCTATATCTATATGTTGGTGGGAGGACTGTATCTATATCTATCTGTATTGATGGAATATTTGGAATTTTGGAGGTTGGACACACCCTGTCATCCTGTCATTGTATTCTTAATCTCTTGACTTAATATATTATATATACGTGAATGTCACCTTTGTGGTATAAATTTCATAAATCAAAGATGTAGCAACTCTGTTATTAGATAGACATTTTTGGAATGAAAATTTGGAAAGAAAATGCAACCCATATATATATATAAAATATATATAGACATAGTCAAACAAGAAGGGACTAATTTATATTTATAGATGAAAAATTTGTGATATGCAAAAAATAGGTAAACATAACAATTGACACAAACTTGTTCTCAACTCAATATTCAAAATCGACATGATTTTTAATTAATTCTCTTGAAACTGATTCTAACTTGTACTAGTTAAAAAATAAAAATTTCTGATTAGACTTGAACTGGATTTAGATTCAATTATTATTTATCTAAAAAAATCATCATCAAAATTGAAATAATCAAAATTCGTGGTTGGAGAGGAGTTGATTTTAGGCTTGTTTCAACTTTTAACCCCTTCAACCCAACCATACATGTATATCTGTTAGACTGTCTTATTCTTGTGTGGACTAGTCTTTGAGAAAATGTGGTCCAAAATTTGTGAAAACTCATAATTGGCTTTTGGATTTCTCTCAAGTTGCACCATACCTGTTTAAGGTTTCAAAAGGGTTCAACAATCCGCCATTGAACGCTCAAAACTTGCAGTACTTCATTGACAACCCTCGTTGGACCTTCAATACAATAAGTGAAGAGAATTTGTTTGTTTGGGCCGGATATGGACCCACTTGGGCTTTACCCAGTCATGTTGCCTGGGTCACGAGTCCCTATAACCTTTGGGCCACACCGGCACTTCTTGGAGTAGAAGTTGAGCATTTTGATATTGTCCATACGTGTGGAGGAGTTCTCATCAACTTCTGTCAAATGGTCAATGGTTGGAAAATGGTGAAACAAGGTGTTTTTGAAAATAAATAATGATTTATAAAACAGAGTTTAGATTATCTGTAGCTGAACGTCCACAATCTTCACGCGCGTGCACGAGTGTGTGGTGTGTGATCATATAAAGTATAAAACTTGTTTTGTAATGTACAAGATGAGCTCACTTCAACGAATCACGTGACACCCAGATAATGGATCCCATGTGTTTTTGAGCACCATAGGAGCATTGCTCTTTGAAAATTGAATGTTTTTATAATTATAATTTCTAAAGAGGAAGGGTGAAAATAGATGATAAAAGAGATAACAATAATCAAGCAATTTTATTAATTACTTGGGATTCATGTTGCGTTTTATTTGAGACGATAACCAAGTCAATTCACTCGTACTATCATATTATTTATCTCATTAATTTTATTTACAATTTTACGTTAACTTATCGTATCATTCTTTATTAACTCTACTTAAATTGACTTTTATTATTATTTTCTTCTAATTATTTTTCGAACTCACATTTCACACATGATGCTTAAAGGTCTTCTTTGAATGACGTGGATTGCGCTCAATTCCTTAGTTGGCTTATGTGTTTAGATGTTCCTTTTGAAAAATATAATTTTTTAAAGGAAAATATAATTATTGTATTGCTACTTTTAAAAATTATAAAGTTACTTTTTTTTAAAAAAAAATGTAAAATATGTTATTTAAAATTAATAAATGAACAAGTATTTTGAAACAACTTAAAAAGAAAAAGGTAAAGTGCACTAAACCCCCCTGAAGTATGACCAGATTGTAATAAACCCCCCTGAAGTAAGCAAAACCCCCCTAAAGTATGGTTTTGTTGCAAGAAGTGAACATCCGTTAGCAGCTGTTAACAGAAAAAGCAAATTACCATTTGCCCCTTATTTGAACAACATCATTTAGGTTGTTTTATGTTGTTAAGGTGATGTGGAAATAAAATATCCAGAACCAATAGAAAAGTGACACCTAGCCCACAAAGACAAGATTTTGTTATATATGTTTATATACCTCTAATCCTACGCCTCTCCCTGCTTATCATACGCACCCGCCAATGTTTCTCTCCCTATCTCCCTTTCCCTCTATCTTCTTCGCTGGTTCTCACACAATGGGTAAAGGGTACTCCTAATCCTACACCTGCGTGGCCATTGGGATCTTTCTCAGCTTCACCGGCATCATCTAGAACATACAAGTACATCCTCGATCGCAAACTCTAGAACAAGCCATACCCGATCTCTCTCACCATGATCCATGTGGGTTTTTGCTCCACCATAACCCTTATCTATGTTCGCGTCTTCTTTCTCATCGAACCCATGTCACGTGACCTCTACCTCTCCTCAGTCATCCCTTTTCACAAAGGCAGCCGCTTCAACTCTCAGGCGACCGCAAAAACAAAGTGAAGACTTCACAGCACATGACAACAAATTCAGTAGAGATAGAACCCACCAACCAAAAATTCAGTCACCGACGGCCACTACACAAAATCCAAAATCCAAGCCACAACACAGTCGACGACTTGAACCGGCTAGGTGCCGTTCTATCCGAACACAGTTTGGATAGTACTCGCCGGTGCTTGAACTCACAAGAGATAAACTCCATTGACGACAAAATAGGGGAAATTTGAACGGCGAGTGATCTGCCACAAGCAAGGACTGAAACGCAAAGGTGGGGGAATGAGCTGTGACGAGGACGACCGCTTTGAATGTCGGTGGCACTGTACGGAAAACAAGGATATAAGTTGGGGAAAGGGTATGTTTGAGATTACAAATTTTGCCCAAGGCACATGGGTCACGTGTTCTTAACTGGCGTTAAATATGGGATGACCAACTAACGGAAGTTGAGTTTTTGCAACAACGGAAATACTTTAGGGGGTTAAGTGTCTGTCTTAAAGTTCAGGGGGATTTTTTTTAGAGAGAGAAGAAAATTCCCAAAAGAAAAAGATGAAACGGGGAGAGAGTACCATTTTGATTGTACCTATCCATGTAAAATATATAATTTAAGAATGTTACCCAATTACCTAATTTGAAAATATAATAGAAACGCTCCGAAGGAATGTGCCCTCCTCCTCCCCTAGTTTGCGGAGATAAAAAATGAAAGAAAAATAAAAAGATGATTTGATTACAAGAGTGGGGAGTGAGTATGAACACGCTATCATGTCAGATCCTGCCGCATTCGTTGACTGGTTCGACCCGATGCTAAAAAGACGCAGAGCGTATGTTGCATCCACAGATTCAATAATGCCATTCAAGTTGACATCTTCATACATGTGATGATTAAATGATATTTATAGATAGTTGGAGAATTTTAATTTTTCTTGGTGGGTTTTTGTATCTTTTATCCTTATGCTTCTCTGTTGGGTCTAGGGAGAGTTAATGTTGTCATATCCAAACAAAGTTGAGCCTCCGATTAATGTTCACTCCTTGGCTTGTCGGTATGCTTTAATTCTCAATCTTCCTCATCTTCTAATTAATTTGTGGTTTGCTTGTTACATGTGATCCTGATGAATTCCTTTTTACTCAGTTCAGATGTTTCTTTTTTTGATTCTCTGCATTTACTGATAATTGAGGGTTCTTTTATATGGTTTAAACTTTAAAGTAACTTACTATTCTTTTAAGAATTCCCTGTATTAATATCTATAGTTACTGATAATTGAGGGTTCTTTTACATATGGTTTGAACTTTGAATGGTTTAAGAGATATCTATTGAATAATGCCACAAGTTTGTGTAATTAAATGGACTTTAGGGTTTTGATCATTTTTATTTATGTCATTGATTTTTAGCTTGGAAGAAGTCAAATAATAGTTAATGTCAAAGTTGAAACCATGATTTTGTTAATGGTATGCTGAAATTTTGCTTGAATGTAGTTTTTCCTTTCCTCTGTGGGTTTGAAAGTACCGAGTTCATGTATATCTGTAGGTCCATTCAGAAATCAAAGAAGCAAATTTTAGGTGCATATCGGTCTTACGACGGTTGAAATACAATTGATGGAACTTTACTGGGACGTGTGTTTTAATTTTTTAATGGCTTTTGTTGGTCTGGAACTCTGGATTACTTATTGGTATTAAATCAGGAACATCAGCCAGCTTGCAATTAAGTTCCATTCTGATTCAAGTTTGGTGGATTTTTTCCACATTTTTATGGACCAACTCATTACTGGTTGGCCTAGAATTGTTAATTTCTTGGTGGCTTTGACTGATCAATAGCTTGAATTAGTCTTCCAAATGTTTGAGATATTATGCATTTTTTTTTTGTTCATGTTATGCACTTGAATCTTCATTTTCTGATTCTTTTGGTGCTTTCAGAACCCATTTAGTGATTACCTGAAATGAAAATAAAAGAAAAGAAAATCCTTTGATTGTTTTCTTATCCCCTCCTTTTGATACTCATGCCCTTCAATCAATCACTATAAATTTCTTCCTTTGCACATGCATCTGTGTTAATGATAGTTTGTCTTTATGTTTTGCAAAAAATTTCTAACCAAGAAGTACGAACTAGATGATTGGTTCACCTGATAGTCAGTCATTGCCAATTTCCGTCACTTTGGTCATATAGTCTCATGTTAATACTGGTATTTTCTGTGGGTTTAACAAGAATCCACTAGTTTAGAAGTGATATAGTTTATGGCTGTTGGGGTTTAGAAGTATTATAATTATGATTAATTTATTTTCTTTCATAATTTGTTCCATCCAGGATCCTTTTTACCTGCTAAATCTATCAGATTTTTTTATGGGAGCTCTCTCTCTTTCTCTCTCTCAGCTATTGAAAATTAAATGACAAACCTTCAACTTATCTTTTATTTTTTCTTGATTTATTAATTTTATTGGCATTTAGTTCTTGTCAGTATTGAGAATTTCAATAGAAAATTTTAGGCATGAACAAGTTACCTAAATTCCAAAACAATATTACAAGTTCATCAAATTAATGTGTATCTTATAATTCATATGCATGCTGCTACTGCCTAACAGGGCCTTGAACTGCTTTGATACAACCGCGTGAGGGTCATCTTTGGAGGCTTAGAACTTGTTCCTCCTAGAAGATATCTATTCAGACCTTCACCAAAATTGGACAAAAACATGGTTCAAACACTGGAAGCTATAAAGGGTGGCGGTGGATCCATCAAACTAGGGACCACCGGGACAATCAGTGCCCTGATGTCAAGGGAATTGGCATCCGTAAAATCTTCACCTCGAATGTCAGTATTATCTGGAAATAAATCTCCTACAGCTTCAGTTTTGGTTCCTAGTGGTTCTACCACCAAAAGACTAAAGCCAAGAACATCAGCAGATGAAGGGTGCAGCAGCAGCAGCTGCAAAATCATTAATCATAAAAGGCCTGAAATTGCAGAGAAAGCAAGATACTACAATCGAAAAACTCATCAAATTCCAATGCTAGATTCTGATAACATTTCTTTAGATGGATCTCCTATTACAAAGAAGCCGGTCAAGAAGGGGTCTTACATAGTTGAAATTGTGGATGTTAGATGTGGGAGCCTGGATAGGACATGGGCTACCCCTATTACAAATCGAATCAAGAAGCTTCGATTCTCGAAGCTATCTCAGAGCATTGTCTAAGCTTCCAACTTCTTCGCATCAGCTTTCAAATTCTTGTAACCGAATCCAGAAGTCCCATTCGGCCTATTGCTTTCTGCAACTTCCACCATGGAGCACATGCTTGGTATAAGCTTGCCACCTCCTCGCTTCTTCTTTTTCGGGGTCGTGACCAAGGATCCAAGCTTTGGTTTGGGAGTACTAGTGGAGGCCATGTCTTTAGATTGACACTGAGGCTTCTTGGAGCTTTCCGGGCCGTCTAATTCTAGCCGGCTAAAATGCTCCATTTCTTGCAATATAAGAGATCCAACAGTGCCTCTGGTGCCTACTTCTACTGGAGTGTTTGCAGCCATTTTGTCTGGGATTGTTGTGGTAATAATGTTGGATTTATACATAATTTTTTCTAGGGTTGGAGGGAAGGTGGATGCTTGTTGATGGAGAGAGATTGTATTTGGTCTTGTTTTGATGGGGGAATTGCTTTGAGTTTGGGGCATCTTGGTTTTGGTTTCACATGAATTGTTTACCTTACATTCTTTATCTAAAGCCAGAGAGCATTGTCTTGTTGGAGGATTGGGTGGAGATCTGGTCACTCCATTCATGTGCATGCAATTAAAACATTAAGCTGCTTGACTTCTGAACCATCCTATTGGTTGGTTTTATTTATGTGGAATTATTTGTATAACTGAATCACTACATGCAGTTGAATAGGGTGAATTCTTCCATACCCATTTATGTGTTTTTTGGTTTTTTGTTTTCTGTTGTGGGGGTATGGAACCCCATTTATGATTGAGATGTGTCATGTGTGAAATGCTTTTGCTGGTTCCTTATATTAATATCTCTTTTCTTTTGGAAGAGTCATGGTTGGTTTGTGATTGACATTCTGTAAACATATTATTGCTATGTTTGGGAAGCACATGGAATTAGAGGAAATTTAATACAAAATTTGAACTAATTTTTTTTTTTTTTTTTAATTTTAAATTCAAAACACTAATTCCTTGCTCCCAAACACAACATATGTAAAATCAGAAATTATCTCCGCAACCAGTTTATAAATTTAAAATAATTATGTTGCATTTGAAAATATTGAATAGACTCCGTCTTGGATTTGAAACAAATTTAGTTTATATTTTTAATTAAATTTTTTCAATTTTAAATCCAGATCGTGGTTGGGATGAATATATTATCTTGAATTTAACAGGACAATGTAAAATCTACCACAATCGTATAACACAATCCTTATACAATTATTAATTTATTATAGTGTGATAATTATATTTAAAGAAAAATGTGTATACATAATTCTTGGATGACATGGTGCTTATCAATCACGTATCTCTGCCATGTCCTAAAGTGAAAGGTTGAAGATGTTTTTACTGTATAATTTCATCCATATTTATTCAAAATTGCAGTAGGACAATCACTATCAAGTATTAGGATCATATGCTTTCACATAAGTATATATTTTTAAATCTGAAAAAAAATAGAAAAGATACTGTTGATTACAACTTTAACTTTTGTGTGGTAGCTTCAACAACATTTAGCTAGAACATGTCAATTGACAGAAGTGGATTGACAATTTTGCAAAAGCATTAATTATAGACCTACCTAGAACCTAACCTTGGCCTACCTTTATGGGATGCAACATATCAAGAAAATGAGAGCAGCCCAATCTCATTGGTTGAAGAATTGGAGTCACAATATCAAGTCCTTCCAAGGATTCACGGGGTCTTATCCATTAATCCTCGGCAAATGTTTGAAAATGACACTCTTTTTTTTTTTTATCTGATAATTCCATTTAATGTTTTTTTTTTTTTTTAAATAACATTTAATGGTTTTAACACTAACAGAATATGTTACTTTATTCTTCTCTACTTCATAAATCTATCTGAACAATACTTAATAATATATATTTTTTCTTTCCTAACAAATTAGAGAAGGGAGAACTCGAACACGGACAAGCCGACACTCCACCGACGGATAATGTCCTACTTAATAATGATTTACTACATGTCTTTTGTTGAATTTTAGAAAAATAATAATAATAATTGTGTTATATCATTATTAAATAAATAAACACAAGTATATACATTTTAGTATGTCAACATCACACCCCAAAGATCAAAAATACAAAATGAATTGTTGCATCCAGCATAATAAAATATTCCATGCCAGAGATACCCTGTGCTTTGGCCGCCTCCACTCATAAACTGAAGATGAACATTCTCTTCTTCAGTGTGTTGTGCTAGTGGCAAAACAAGCAAGAGTACTTACAGTATAATCACCCTTATTGATTCCTTTTCTGTCCAAAAATATAACCCGTATGGTCAGTCAGTATATCAGATGAACTAGTTGAGATGTAAAAAGATAATTTTCAGTGGCTTCCCAAAGAAGAATTAGTATTATTAAGAGAATACAAACTGTATTTGGCAGCTCTATGTTATATAATACAAAAAGCACAAGGCAAACAGATGAAGCTCAATCACGGCTTGAAATACAGCTCAACCAGCTTCTTTAAAGTGTCAAATACACTAGTGAATGGATTAAATTCAACAGCGCGCTTCAATTCTAAATCAGGAAATTGGTTCATTAGAGCCTGTTGCATTCCAGACATGGACATCATTGCAGCTAGCTGACTATTCGACTTCACCTCACAATCTTGTGGGGTATCAGTGATTTTGCTTGTGTCATACCCAAAGTTTGCTAGATTAGTTTTGTATTTCTCTATGAATGCAGGTCCTGGATCAGGTGTCCTCGAGTATATCTGAAATATTAAAGACATAATTTTGATCAATTACCCAGTTTATGAGATTTATAACAAAATTGGCGCCTCACCAATTTCATATGGCAGTTAGTTTAAAAAAAATACCATGTAGAGGGTCCTATAACAGAAAAAAATAAAAAATAAAAATACAGGCAATGGTTCCAAATTGACGAGAATTTGTTTATCGTTGGGATGAAAAGGAACTAATAATTGGTTAATTCTGGAATACGATTGGATTTTAGATGCCATGAAGCCAATCCGGGTCTACAGAGTATACAGTGAATGGTAAAAGAAGTTGCACAATGAAGTTCATCATATAGAGATGCTAGTTGTTACAATAGACAAATACCCAAGGATGAAACAGCAAATGCATAAGTTTTAAATATAGTATTATTTGCTTAATCAAAAAACAAACTGTAACTGCAAACTCATCCAGTGATTGGACACGCTCAAGGTTTGATGGACAGTATCTCTAGAAGCTTTGACAACTAAGAAATAAAAAATCAAGAGGTGGCAATTTTACGTCTATTATATTAAAGAAGAGAAAAGCTGTAGATTTAAATTATGTCAACAAAACCTAAACAAGTTTAGTAATATTCAGGAAAAAAAAAAAAAAAAAATTAGTGAAACACAAATCAGATGACAGCTGAAGTATAATCTAAATTTTGTAAAGAGTCCTACGAAAAGGAGTCATCTTTGGGACACTATTCAGCCACACAAACATGAACAGCCAAAATATCCTCTCATAGAATTACTCATAGGTGAATTACCTGAATAAAGCCTTTGTCTTTTGCTCCAGAAACAAGAGCGAAATTGTCATAATCAGTGGCAATCACGTCATAGGGCAACTTCGGAATGAATGGCAATGTAGGAAAACGAAGGTAACATTTCTCTCTAATCATCTCTTTCCTTTCTAGATCAGTTTCAGTTTTCTCCGTATCTTCCTCCGAAAGACACTGAACTCTTCCCCTTATACCAGTAATATATCCATCAGGGCCCCCATGGACACAGAAGGTATCAACCTGGATGGCAGGTGCATCCATATCAAAAGAATAAACACCCTGCAAAATTGACACAATTGAAATATTTTGGCAGTCAGAATCCAGAAGGGCAAACATTCTAGCTCAAAGCATCATATATATAACAGGATGAGAAATGCCAATATAACTTGCAATCCATGGCAACACTACTTATTTCTTGCGTCCACCACAATATATCAATGACAAATCTCTATTTAGTACAGGAGCAATTGATTACTTGCCACTTGTATGGCCTGAAGCCTAACATTTCTGATTGGGCCAACCAAGAAGCTTAGCGTTATTTGCTATGTGCCTTGAAGGCTTTCACAAGGATGTCAATTGGATTAATTCATTGATGAGACACGCCTACATGAAGTGAAGGGGTAGAAGAACATGGTTCTGTTTCCGTAGGCAAACTGTTAACCAAAAAACGAAAATTTCCATCATAGATTACAAACATACCTGCCCTTCACATTTACCTGCGTGCAGTGGCAATCTTCTTGACCTTGTCCCGCAAAGCCACGTTTAAGTGAAGCGACTTCAAACCATCTTCCAGAATATCTGACTGGGTCAAAGTTTTTTGAGGTCATAGCTTTCATCATCATGAGCATCCTTCTTTTATCATCAGATCCTTCATCAAGTGGAAGAGTTGGCGTACTATCAGCGGCACTGGCAAGCTGGCATAAGCTACGCTGATGATAAATATCTGCTGCATAAATCTGCCCAATGAATTGAGGATATCTTTTAAGAATGGCTATTTTTTAAAAGAATGCTGATGTTTGTTATGTTGTTGTCCTTTAATACTTCTGAAATCTTGGAAGAGACTATATACTGTCAACCCAACAAAACCTTTTCAGTTTGCCTTCCAACAGAGTACTGGAATACATGACGTAGCTGAAGGGAATGAAACCCCAAAATTAAGGAGATCATCCATGAAAAACTAAAAAACAAGAAATCCAAATGTCTCCTCTATAACAAACTTCTAAATTCTAATCTGTTAAGAAAGAAACATAAGGATCCAGATAAAATGTTGAATTAACATGCACTTTGGAATTACCAATAGGGTTGATTAATGGTCTATAATCTTCAAACTATAAAACCCAGAAAATTATTTGTTCTCTATCTATACCTATGTTCTGACTGAAACATCCTTATAACATAGGACGAGGGCTTTTCAGGTTTCCTTTCAAGGTTATTTTCTGGTATCAGAATCGAAAATACTGGTAAAAGCTTGTAGTAGTGAAAGAAATAAGGTAACCTGGTTCGTTTGAGAAACAAAGAAAACTGATGCTGCAAGCCCAGATAATACCCCTCTGGTCACAACCTTACTTGATGCAGGTAGCTCAAAAGAACACTTGAACATAATTTTCCCTGCCACTACCCTAAAGCAACAGAGGAGCAAAATATTACTGTATAAATTACATATACGAGACAAAAGATGAAGTTGACACTGCAAGAAGACAGTCATTGGCTCTAACTCACCTTCAACCAAAACTTCTGGATTTCAAAGAAAATTAAAATATGTGACAGAAATGGAGCACAAAGTGGGTGGCAAGAGTCAAGACAAGGAAAAGGAAAACAGAAATACAGAAATGCTGATCCTAGTAAGCAAGGCAAGATAGTCAATGACTGAATGTGGATTATAGATAAAAGCAACAAAGTTTGTTTACATACACAATTTTTCTACACTAAATCTTGTCATGCATTCAGATTTCATGCCGAGGAAAATCATTAGCCCATCCAAATAATTACCAGATTTACATGTAGTCTGCAGCCCCACCCTAAAGTTTAATGTATTTAGCCATCTTTAATATGACTTTTTAATTATTTATTTTTTTCAAATTTTGGAATACCGAGGAAAAATTTTACCAAGATAAAACCTTTTTCGCATGATTGTCTCCCAAGTAGCAGGAAATCTGATAAATATTTTACGAGTAATGCTCCGAAGAGTACCCTCTCATGTGAAGAACCATGACCTCTCCTTTTCTAACTCCTTTTCTAACTCTTGAATTGAAAGATGTATTAAGTAGGGAGACCTCATGACCTTAGGAGCATTACTCATATTTTAGATGTTTTCTTTCTCTGCTTATAAATGCCGAAGAAGGCTAAGATCCCAATTTTTGTATATGCGCCCTAAATCCGAGAAAATGCCTTTTAAAAATGCAAAATTTGGTGGTGATCAATCACTCCTTTTTTGACTTATCCCCAAAATTGCATCTTGTTCCATAATTCATAACAATAAGAACAGACTCACCCTGATGCTCCCTTTGGTTGCTGAGAAAATGTAAGAAAACAGAAAAGATTGAAAGTTTCGGATTGCAAATTTAACTAATTCAGAACACCCAAATTTAAAATAAAATAAAAACAAATAAATAAAAAGAAATCAAAGCAGCATGAAAAATAATATTTCAAGAACTCATTTTTCTTTATTTTCCTTAATTTTTTTCTCAGGAAACAAACTGGGTAAAACGCGAGAAGACGAAGGATTGAAGAATGATTTAGAAGTGTGGTTCGTACCTTGGGATGTGGGGAGAATGTGATTGGAGAAGAAGGGGCGATGATTGTACAGCAACAAGGTGATGACCCATTTTCTGATGATATTTTTTTCTTTTCAAATCTCTCCCAAAAATGGAATTTCCATTACTTTCTCACTCAGAATCAATATGTTATGTGATTGAAGGAGATAACCCTTTCTTATTGGAACCATGGAACCGTTGATGGTCTCACTGGGATACACACAACCGTTGAGCTCTTTCACTAGATTCTTCCTTGTCCCTCTAGATTTATCACGAACGACGTCGTTTGTTGTTGATCCAAAGGTAGGTGGCACCCGATCGAATTTTAGTTTGGATTAAATGATTAATGTTGTTCGAATCGTAATTTTGTCAACATGTTTTTTTTTGTTTGAAGCTTCGACTTATTTGATTCAATTGACTCAGAGCATCTCGATTCTTCTTGTACAAATAATCTAAACCCTCTACTTGAATTGTTCAATAATTAGTTAAACCCTCTATTGAATTGTTCAAGGACATATATAAAAATCGCCAAAAAATTAACGCACCTACTGCCACTTCCACCAAGGGCATGTACAAATATATACATACACAATTACACACACACACACACACGTCAGCTTGCTCAAAATGACCCGAGTTTGGTGTCCTCATCAACAAAGTTCAACTTGACTTAACAAATTGTAAGAAATTACCTAAATTATAGCAGTACTCCCAAGACCAGTAACTGGACCCGCCAACTCAACTCTGAATATTTGTGAGCTTATACTGTGTACCGCGTAGCTTGCTTTAATCACCAATGTGAACAGGCTGTTACTTGGATATCAATCATTTTTTAACTTCCTATACTTCTTGCACTCAACACTAGGACAATCCACTACACAATTGATCGCCTTCCAAATCCAAAAAGTATTACAAAGAAGAAGCAACATAAACCCATCTTCTCAGTAACTTCTAAAAAGAAAAAATGAACTATTTGTTAATTGATCTGTAAATCAGAAGAGACTACTTTTCATGTTTCCACCAGTTACCAGATTGAAAAATGGATCTTCCTTGTCACCATTATTTCCACTCTTTGTTTCCTTAACATGATTCCCTGTTACATTTTCTGTAGATGGCACAGGTCTTTTTACCGATACAAATGCCACTTTGTTATTCGAACTAGAGGCAAGTCTAAAAAAATTTGAGCTTGGAGACAAACTTGGAACTGTATGCAAATCACCTTCTTGGAGAAGGTCCTTTCTTCCTGCAACACTTGAACCATCATCCACTTCAATGAGATCTTTTCCACCATCTTTTTCAGTGAAGGGACATGCCAATGTGTCGGTATTATCCTGCTTGACACGAGCTGCACGTTCTTCAGAAGTATAGTTACCATCTGCCTTGCCAAGTTCATCACCTGCATCAATCAAATTAATACAAATCATAGTGCTACACCCAATAACTAGCAAGAATTTGGAACTAGGTCATAAAATTCTAGCAAGGTATGATATGGGGAAAGCGTCTCAAGAGCGTGTCCAATGAACACATCTCTAGCGAAAACCACTCAGGGATTCCTGACTCCAATTTCTGAACTGCAATGAAAAATTGAATCGGAAAATATTAAAAAAAAAAAAAAAAAAATTCAGCTAAAAATTCAATCCTATGGTGGCCTCAAGTGATTTGATACAGATCCATAGGCACTAAAAATTATTCCCAGCGTGTAAATTCATAAGTTAACACATCACATAGTAAAACTGACAAACAGGTTTATCTAATTGATTCATATTTAACCCGACATCCAACGTCCAAAAAGTATGAGCAAGCTATCAGAGCCCCCCTCCCCAAACAAATAAATAAATAAATCAAGGCGAAGACAAAGACAATAGACAAGTGAAATTAGACAATCATTGTCCAATATAAAGCTGAAGTGTATAATCTATTTAAAATATACACATCACCAACAGGCCAGTGGCCTAGCGGTACCAAGCTCCTACTTTCCAAAGAGAGGTCAGGGATTCGAATCTCGGTAGAGGCATGTGTGTGTGAGTACCAATTAAGAAAAAATAAAAAAATAAAAAAATAAAATAAAAACATATCTTGAGACTTACCTTAAAGTTGATTCTATTTTTGTTGAAAAAGAAGGAAAATAGACAAAAAGAAAAAAGAGAAGTTTACTGGATGTTCTTACCTCCAAGCAAAGTCTCAATACTTTGATACCGTATGGCTGATGTCCCTTGAGAAACACCATCTCCAAGATCCTTATCTTGGTTTTTACTCTCATTTTTACTGACTCTCTCGAGTAAGACGTACTTATCTATTTGCCACACACACTCTAGGGTGACGACCTCCTCATTTGTTGGGTAATACTCTCTAAAAACCTGAAATTTATAAGAGGCAGAGAGAAAAAAAAATTAAAAGAAAGAAAGAAAGCACCCTATCTGTAAGCCAATAGGTAAAGCTACAGGTACAAATAAAAGTGATGTATGTGTATAGGCAGGCTAACCTCAAAACCTTCTTGAGTTATTTTTACAGACTGCTCCTTTTGAGAGACAGAAGAAACATCGTTGAATACCAAAACAACATCGAGTAATATCTGTTAAAAACAAAAGAGTCAGATTCATTTGGTAGCACAGAGCCTAATTTTCTTTGTAACATAACAAAAAGCAACTAATTCTAACATTAAAAATAAAAATATCTTAGTGCCCACTCTTTCGGCAATGGCATATTCCACCAGAATCTAAGCAAAGGAAATGCCAATGTTTCAAATAGTCCATTAATAGTATTTCCCACTTCTTGACCCTTATAAAAAGGACAATACTGTATTAACTGGACACCTTAAATCCATATATTGAAGAGTACCACCTCTGTCCTTAGGCATGGTTATTTCACATCCCAAAATCCTCAAACTTTTGCCTAAATGTTCTCATGCCTGACACCACAAAATCGTTCATATCATATAACATGGAACTTTCATATTAATTGATACCGGCATCAAAAAATTGACCCATCGATAAGACATCTAGATTATCCACTATGAGCTTACAAGTCACACACTATCACAACTTTATTAACAATAACTATAAGATTGTTCAAAAAAGGTTATTGCTTACTTGTTGAACCAAAACTCGCAGGCGTGCAAGCAAAGCCAAAATTGTTGTAGAAAACCCCATGAAAAACGACCGAGCTAGCAAAGTAGATATCTCACTGTGGGAGTTAAGGCGAAAGAACAAATAATGAATTTTCCAGACTGATGTCTGTGTGTTTAATTAAGAATTTTTTTTATGAGTGAAAAGACATGCAACTTACCAAAAAACACCAACAAAAGATAAATAAATAAAAGAAAAGAAAAAAAGGAGAAGAAACATGTGATTTAAGCTCATATCTTGAGTATTTGCCTTGCTGATGGAATATAGTGCATCTAAACCTAAGTCACATATAGCAGAAGCAAGAAAGTGGCAAACTGTAAAATTTTGTGAAAGAGCACCTCCAGAGCACACATTTACTTTTATGCTATTACACACACACACACACACACACGCATATATATAATATGATGTAAAAAAAAGTTTAAGCAAATATATATATATATTTTTGGGGGTAAGTACATTCAAGCAACTCTTAATATTAGTAATAATTTAAAATACAAAAAGTTATACTATTTTTTTTTATTTTTGAAGAATGCAAACAAAGAAATCTATACACTTATTTTGGATTCTTAAAGAAATATTGTTTAATTTTTATACATGAAATGATTAATTTAAGGAATTTTAAAACAATAAGCAATAAATAAAGTAAAACTATTAATTGTCTATATAATTTGTTTGCAAATGCATCTTCTTTCATATATACACTTAATATATTTAGAATATTATATTTTTTGTTTTAAATTGTTTGCGTATCTCTTATAATTAAGACATTCGTAAAGGAGATTATGGAAACGAAATGATCAATATCATGGCAAGGATTTTTTATTATCTTTACTTAGTTCATTCTTAGTTCTACATCTTTTTCTAACAGTTTTTATTCAGTATTAGGTACATTCTGGTTCAAGACTGTGTATAATTAATATCACATGTGGTTGTCTATCTATCATTCAAGGAATGTGAATCTGTTACAATTTGAAGATTCACAAATTGAATTCGAGGATTGACAAAATTGATTTCGCAAATTAGGGAAGGATTTGCCCTCGGAATGGCAATTCATGCATGAAGTATGAGAGCGACACCCATATAGGAGGATTGTGAGACTTAGCTTTAGACAGAAGCAGCTAGAGGATCAAAAACAAAAACATTCCAAGAAAATCTTTAACAAGAAGACATTGCAGAGGGAAAGAATGAGTATAATACAAAATAATATGGATCATACAACAACACAAAAAATAACAACAGTGACAGGACACATAAGCATAGAAAACCATCCAACAAGTTGCATGCAAGATAAAAATAGGGCTTATAAAAGTTCGGACTGATAAAGATACTACTATTAAAACCCCAATAAATGCAGTATGCATTAACATGTAATGAAAGATATCAAAAACAATTTTCAAACCATTAAAGAACTTCCCAGAAAAGAAAATTATTTACATATATATACCTTCAAAAGATTCTTACAAGCTTATGACTTTCAAATATAATATTCCGAATAAAAAGTAAAAGCACTAGGTAAAAGTATTGCCTGTACAAAGAGAATTAGTGGCATAGCTCTTACTAAGATTTCTTATGTATAAGCTAATATCTAAGTCAGTTAAAAACTTCAATGTGATGCATCTTTTCAAAACTTAGTCCCTTATTTTACAATAATGACACAAAAAAAAAAAAAAAGTAAATCTATTCATACATTTAAACAATTAAAGAAGGATACGTAGCTGCCTTCAATATTGGTTCAACCATCTGCAATGAAACAAAGTGAATATTAGGGCCAGCACATGCAAAAAGGCATCAGTAGTTCAAAAATTGATCAATACAAGACAGCACTAATAACAACATGACATCCTTACTGCACCCACTTTTAGGGATCAATTCTTGTTATACAAGGGGGCTTGCAACTTATATTTGCCATAGCTCAAAGAAAATATTGGTTTGGTTCACATATATGGAAAGCTAACAACTGCAACTCGCCACTTTCAGTTTCAGGTGCCTGGCAAAGTGCAATCTGAAATTGAATGCATCAAGATCCGTCTACGCATTGGTAATACTGCCATTCACACCATTTACCAAGTACAGAAGAAAAGAGAATAAAAGGTGCTTTTCCATCCATTTGGCAGGTAGCATGAAAGGTGTTTCAGTTAAGTACATATATTACGAGGCAAAGCACACTAAACAAATTTTTAGCAATCGCAGCCGAAGCATAAAAATGACGTAAACATATAAATTAGAACAAATATACATACATATATATATATATATATATATATATATATATACAGCCAAAGACCATACAAAGCTCCTTTGTGGAATTAGGAGTCTTGGCTTCCTATCAAAATATTTGCATTTCTCCACATTTTTTTTTTTTGATAAGTAATAATCGATTAGAAAAGCGTTCAAAAAGGGAACTTAATCCTTTATATAGGAGTAATTCCCATTTAATATAACTTGTTCTCCAAGAATGACTCAAAATTTCTACACAAATCCATTTCTTCTAAATCATATATAGTTACACATGAAATTAATATAGACATTCTATAAAAGTTTAAAATATATTTCAAAAACTCCCCATAATTTAGAATGTTTGAGTAACATCCTCATTTTGCCGATGTTGCTTTTCTCTCACTTCCCCATGAAACTTGAGATTTACATCTCAAACAAAAGCATTAGTAATTTGTAATACTTGCCCAATGCCCTTCTCTTTTGATCTCCTTGCTATAGTTGCCATTTCTTTCACGTTTCTGCATCACAAATTTACTATCCAACTTATTCCCGGTGTTTGTTGCCCTCTTTGTTTTTATTATGGGTCTAATACCTGCTTTGAATTATTGTGGAGTTGGTGCCGCATGAGAAAATTTATCTTCCTCGGGCTGACGTTAGCCAAACTCGAATTTTAATTATCAATGAAACAATTGCTAACTTCCAGATTATTGTTATGTTTGCTAGCTACTGAGTCTTTTTTTTTTTTTACTAGGAATAAGAAAATAATTTAATTCAGGAAAAAATAATAATAATAATTTAAAACCATATTGATTTTGGATCATGGAGTTTAAAAAAAAAAAACTCCTAAATAAATTTTCCAAGTAGGTCACCTTTTGCAATGAATAATTCTGGCAGGAAGATTGGAGGCCTGATTTCATATGAAAATTGCTTAATAACAAAATGGGAAGAATAACCATAGCTTTGATATTACTGTTAGGGTCGTAGTTGAAGAATGTAAGTGACATGTTGTGTTTGACATTTAAAACAAAACAAATATATGTAAGATAAATTTGAAGATTACAACTAGGGCCATATAGAGTCCCTTTGAGAAACTAGGAGACTTCACTTCGTCAAAATACACTTGAAAAGATTACATAACCCCTTATATAGTTTAGATAACTGACATTTAATATGACTTGCTCCCCAAGAATGACGCCTCAAATTTCTAGACATATTCAATGTATTCTAAATCAAATGTTCTATCCACACATGAATTGTGTAAATTTGAAATTTTCTAAATTATATTCCCACACACTGCCTCTACTTTCTTTTAAAACATTTTTCCATGAAATGTTAAATTTTCTAGATATTTGTGACATGGTGCAAAAAGAAGAGTTAACACCAACAAGCAATTGGCTGAAACTTTTGATAAAGCAATCACCATGGAAAAATTTGGATGGGTCAGGCAATTCAAAATTGTTCAAAATTTAACCAAGATTTTCAAAATTAAAAGGTAGTGTTGAGATTAATTTTTAAAAATCTTGATAAGTGTAGATTCTCAACAGTGCTTGTTCTTCAAATATCTTCATATCCGATCTTTCGATGTCTTTTAGTCTCCCTAGGTAGTTGAGTATTTATTTAAGTCTAAAAGGAGTTAACAGTGTGTATAAAATGAGGCTCTATATATTCCCTTTCCAAATAATACAATAAATATGTTGAGTAAAAATCAACCTGCTTCCTAACAAAATGCAACAATAATAAATTTTCAAGCGGATACAAGGCAAAATAAGGAAAGAGGTCAAATAAGAGGAACAGTATTTATATGAAATAAGAGAAGACCACACCTGTGATAGTATACGTGCAGCTCCCAAAAGTCGCTCCATAAAATTATGCTTCCTGCCATTGCATTTTCTCCTCTTTATACTGTTACAACATAAAACAACAAACTATTTATATATCATACACAAACAATCCATGAACATTTTCCTATAGAAAAGCACATAATTTCATATTTCAAATGAATTGAAAAAACGTTAATTTTAGTAAATGGAATAAACATTACATATATTCACCAAAATTTTTTTTATAAGTAACAATACATGTATTCACCATAAAATCCATTCAAAACCAAGTCCTTTAAGGGCCATTGTTACAAAGAGAGTCTTGTCCCACATCGGATCTGGATGGGAAGTGAAATGGGTTGGGTGTTAGCTCCACCTAATAGCTTAAGCTTTTGGGTTGGACCACGAAGCACCCAGCCTGTTACAGTTGGTATAAGAGCCAGACTCAAACCTTGATCCGGTGCCACGCCAAGCGCCCGACCGGAGGCGTACAGTGATCACCCCAGGTAGGCAGCCGGACCGCAACGAAGTCGTTGCGAGTTCGGGTGGGGGAGAATGTTACAATGAGAGTCTTGTCTCACATTGGATCCCAATGGGAAGTGAAATGGGTATAAATGGGTTGGGCGTTAGCTCCACCAAATAGCTTAAGCTTTTGGGTCAAACCGCGAAGCACCCAGCCCGTTACAGCTATCCACCACTACTTTTAAACATGTCTTTCTTACATATTTGATTTTGACTACGAATCTACACACCATGTCTCCACACCTATATAGGAAGTTTAATGCTGCAACCTAGGAAATTAAAATGTACAGAGATGGCAATATATGCATTCTCGGTCTTATACTCCGAGATGAGAATAAATTATAATTAAATGCAGGCTCTCTTTCACAAGTAACAAATCAATTCACCCATGCATCCCTAGGAAGCACAAATATGGATACGGGAAACAGATACCGCAACACAACAAATCTATTAAAAAAAAAAAAGGTTACAAGTACAGCTAGGATACAACAATTACAATTTAATATTATGAATCTGTAAAAGACAACAATATATTGTTTTAAAGAACATATAACAATAAGAAAATTTTCATTAGTAGAAGACACCCCTCCTCCTCCTCCTCCTTCTCTCTCCCCACCCCCATTTACCTGTCTGCAATTGTTTTTTAGCCCAGAAAGGTCAATTTGGGCTTTGAAGTCCATTTTCTTTTATTACATTTTAATCTATGAACTCTTTTAATACTACAATCTGACCTAGTAATTACAAAAATATTTACAAAACAGTGCAGATGTATCTGCGAAGTATCCAAAAGTATCTGAGCTGCATCCGATTTGGAAAAAATATTTAAACTGTTCGGATACTTCACAACCGAATTGGATACGTATCCGACACGTATCTGTATTGACTACCCATAAGATACGGACATGGCACTCTTAGAGAAGTATCCATGCTTTTTAGATGCATCAAAATACTTCTTATCATATATATGTTTTTTTGATAAGTCAAAATACTCCTATCATATAACTAATAAGAGACAATTCTTTAGTAGAAACCATAAGTAAAATGCATTGAAGATGCATTTTTCCAATGGCAGATCCAGAAATTTGTCTCAGGGAGGCGCCAAAGCAAGATTTTACATAACTTGTTATAAATAATATAATAATTTATATTACAATGAATTTTATTATTTTTAGATAAAAAAAATGTTAAATTTGGATAAACTTTACATTCTTTCTTACTTACTAGTAAGGAAGTGAAATCTACATCAGTAATTACTTTTGGACCCACCACCTTTGTTCCGAGTAAAAAATGGGGTTTGGTCAACCAATAAATATGATATTTTTCCTTTCTTTATTATACTAATGAAGAAAACTAAATAATGTTACACCGCATTATAAGAACTATCTTTATATAAATATATATAAAGAACTATCTTAAAAGACCAAATGTTGATGGTTATGTCATTGAAAGCATAAAATGATAAATGAAGTTACTAAACTAGATGTCACTACCAATGTTACGGCTGCAAATGAGCCAAGCCGAGCCGAGCCGAGCTTTAGGTTGTTCGGGCTCGGCTCGCCTAGGCCAGAGAGGTGCTCAGGCTCGGCTCGGCAAATTTCTCATGAGCTCGGTCTCGGCTCGGGCTCATCTCGTGTATATAAATACTTATATAAATATCAACTGAATCAGCACACCAACCACAAAATCGCCACCAATCATCCTTGAATCAACTTCCAAGTTCACCCAAATTATCTATTTTCATCTTCTTCACAAGCTTCAGATCCATCCATCTTTGATTCATCAAAGGAATATAAAGGTAGAGAGAAATAGAAAGAGAAGGAGAACCTTGAACTCACCGGTGGAGTCCAAGGACGGTGCAGTCGCAATGGAAGGATCACCGTTGTTGAGATCCATAGTTACAGAAGTGCGTTGCCGCTTCTATGTTTTTAGGTTTGCAGAAGTGTGGTTGCCGCTTCTGTGTGTTTAGGTTTTCTATACAATATCCAAAATCCAATGGCTGAGAATATGTGATGAAACTATGCTTTGGGCTAGTGGGCTTCTTAATTAAATGGAATTATTATTTAGATGGGCTTTAAATTTGGCTATTTGTATATATAGGTTAGGCTTTTGAAAATTGTACTTTGAATATAATATATTTTTATGTAAACAAGCCTGCTCACGAGCCAAGCTTAAGAATGCTCAAGCTCGGCTCGTTTACTAAACGAGCCGAGAAAATGAGCTCGGCTCGTTTACTAAATGAACGAGCCCGAGCCGAGCTGTTCATGAACACCAATGCGAGGGCCCGAGCCGAGCTGTTCATGAACACCAATGCGAGGGGGGGAGGGGGGGGGGGGGGGGGGGGGGGGGGCGGCCATGGCCCCCCAAGTATCAACTAGGTGAAAAAAAAAGTATAAAATGATAAATGAAGTTACTAAACTACCCAGATGTTGATGGTTGTCATTGAAAGTATAAAATGATAATGAAGTTACTAAACTAGATGTCACTAAAAGTCCCAGAAGTTGATGGCTTATGGGTTTGATTATTATCACTACCGATGTACAGGGCAATTTTTTTTTTTTTTTCAAAACTCTATTTATAGTACCTATTTATGGTTATTAATGGTGATTTTTTTTGGTACTGTTCATCAGTACAGTGTTGTTGCTACAGTGTGGAAACATGTAGAAACACCAAATTGGTGTTTCGACTTTGGGCCACTGTTTATGAAGTGTTTCGGTACTGTACAAAACAAATTATTATTTACCAAACATGTTGCGGCACAAAACAATGCTACAGGACCTGGCCCAAATCAAAAAACACATACCAAATAGGCCCCGGGAATAAGACAGCTTAAGTGTTGGGGCTTCTCTGAAAATAAACCAACTCAGTTTTTTATTTTTTTCATTCTTTTCTTTCTAGAGTTTGTTTTGTGTGGGAGGGAAGGGGCACAGGCTATGCCAGTCGTCTACATCTACTAGTGATTTTCTTCATATTTCCCAGACTTGGAGGCCAAACATGTCAAAATGGAAGTCTACATGATAAATTAAATCAAGCAATGGCGCAACAAGCCAAATGTCAATGTGAACAAGTGCAAAATGCATCATATATTTAGTCTCCCAAATAAGATGTTAACAACATTAAATCAAAAATAAACCACAAGAGGAATTAGGAAATCAGTCTGTGGATAAAATTAGATTGCATCAAATCTAGTTTGCTTCAAATACATACCAAGTCAACCAATGAATAAGTTTGCATCTTTTTGCATAAGCAAAATAGGTGCACTTCAAAATATCGTAGAAGTCTGAATAAGATTTCGGTAATAGGAACTAACCAAATATATCGATAAACAAATAAATGAAAATGAATTTGAAGAAGTTATTTACCTCTCCAAAAGGTTCACCTTTTGCTTAGGTTTTTTCCCAGAGAGAACTTGAAAAGAGGAGCTCAAAATCTCCTCCAAGCTAGCCGATTGAAGAAGTTTCAAATTCCTTCTCACCTAATGTCACACATAAGTCTAACAATTAAATATACCAAGGGAAAAGACCTAAAAAGGTGGGGAAAAAAAAAAAAAAAAAAAAAAGGATAAAGCTCAAAAAAATAAATGGACCTTCAAAAGGTACTGAAAGTACAAGCATCGCCGATGCTGATTCTTGTTTTTATATACAATTCTATCAAGGATCCCACATTCTGTCTTAAGCTGACCAAGGAATGACTTTAACCTCTCCTCAACAATTTCGATTTGTGAAGTCATGTATTATTAGTCTGTTAAGCATGGAAGTGACCCAAAACAAATGAAAAGAAAGTAACATGAACCATTAAATAGTTAGTCAAATTGGATAATGAATCCTTTGAATACAATATAGAAAGAAATACCTCATTGATCAATAAAAATAAAGTTAGATAATATTTGTATTCATTCAGAAGCAAAAGAAACAAAATAAGAGAGTTTTACGTATAATAAAATAATAAATATGAATTATTGTACATGCTTACTAAGCTCATGTCCAACCATAAGTTCCATCGTACGGTAGAAACCTAACTGGATATCTATAGGATTGCAAGATTGTTGAGATCCTGATTTGACTACCAATTCCACTATATAGCCATTTTAAAAACCTATGTGTATGCATGTGTGTGTGTGTGTGTGAGAGAGAGAGAGGCCCGGGGGGGGGGGGTTGGGTTTGGTGTTGGTATCGGGCTAAAAAATGGTTCTTATGGGTCAAATATGGTCATCGGGCATAATAATCATATCATACGTCACGCGCTTTGCAGGTGATTGCTTGGGGTTTTTCTCTTACCAGTAGTATAAGAGTAAAGGGTAATTGTAAAAAAATTGAGTAAATTTAGAGGGTTATTTGACCAAAAGAAAAGTTTAAGGTGACATAGTTATCGCAGGCTCTAGGTGCAGTGAGCACAAAAGGTCTTCTGGAGCCTAGACATAAGGCGAGAAGACAAATGCGAGCAGGGGTGAAGTAATGGCTTGGCAACCTGAGGTATGGATAGGCTTGTTCAGTCGAGTTTATGATTGTTCCCTCAAAGAGAGGATCTGGGTGACTTAAGGTCCATGCTGTTTATATAACATGCAAATAAATGATACAACACTGAAAATCTGGATCAATGGAACAATACAATCATTCAAAGTTTCAAATATACAATATATGATTACAAGGCATACAACTATAAGAGCCTGTGAGTCAAGAATATACATAATCAAGTAAATAATCCAGAATCTTACATATCATAATTTATCTTCTAAACATTAAATATTTAGCATGAAAAATTACCCATAAAGATTAACTATAAAGAACAGGGTTAAACCCTTGAACTCACAAAGAACACACTCACAAGAGAGAAACTGAAATTATATTGATAATGATGATCTCTGTAGACTTACATCTCTTGCCTTTTATGTAGGCAAGTCAAAAATAAAATAAAGCACACGTGAAATAATATTAAAGGGGAAATCTGAGATTTGATGTAGTAGATTTGATGGAGTAGAATCCTCCTTACATCTTGCAATGGAGAATAATATCTTCTATTGCTGGCAACTACACCAAATCTCCTTTTGACTTTTCCTTATTTATTTATTTATTTCCTTCTATTCTCCTTACCCTTTCAACCTCCCTGATTTGCGATGATTCTTTTGACTTTTCTTTCTTTATTTATTTCCTTCTATTTTCCTTACCTTTTCAGCCTCCCTGATTTGCGATGATCCTGTATGCTCAGATAATCGTGAGCGCGTTGTTCTACATCAGATAGTGATAAAGAAAGCACCAACCTTTTTTTTTTCGGGAAGTTTGACAAAATCTTCATAAATTGTAGAGTTCGCAGATAAATTTTTTTTTCTTTTCTTTCACAAGCTTATTTGTTAGTTCAATTTCCACAAGTTTACAAAGTTTCAACTAAATTAATAATAATAGCAACCAAGTTCCATACTTCAAATTAAGTTGTCATGGGTAATAAACTACAAATTACAGACAACAATGAGAGACAAGTAAAAAATAGATAGAGCGGAATGGTTGAAGAAACTTACCAAGACAGAGAAACGGTTGTCGACGGAGAGGAAAAAATAATGAAATAGAGAGAGATTAATTTTGTTATGGGACGAACAAAAAGAAAAGGAACAAACAGAGAAAATTTTCTGTTGTGAAAGAAAAGGAAAAAAAAGGAGGAGAAATTAGAGTTGTTCTCGATACTAGGGTAGGAGGGGAGAGATTTTGTAGCATAGAACTCACCTGAAGGGTTCCAGGGTGTGATCAGGGGTGCCAAAATGGTTCCAAACTAGTTAATCCGCCCATATCCGCCCCATTTTTTAATGAATTTGAGTGAACCATATTCAACTTCGGGTTAAAATGGGTTGGATAATCAAAACTCTTTCTCCCATCTATCCCTCTTTCTCTCTTTTCAAAGGTCCGATCTTCCCTTCTTTCTCTCCATGTTATGCCCCTCTCTCTCTCTGAAGAAGCTCAACACATGGGCACACAACCAGCTACATATGTCCTTGTACATTATTGTGGAATCTAGGGTTTCTGTAAGCAGAATTATTTTAAGGGTTATATTTTGCTATGTATTTTACTGTAATTGGAAAATAATTAGATCTTTGTGAATGATTTCTTTGTCATAAATATTTTAAATGTTAAACGGGTCAGGTTGATTAAACGCGTGAGTCGTGCTAACCTGGATTCATGAAATTTTAATGTTGAAATTTCATAAAATAGTATAAAATATTAAGAAATCTTAAGTAAATATTGTAAAATATATATGGATTCAGAATATTTTTTCAACCTATTGCTTTTGGTTAACCCACCTGAATAGCAATTAAAATTATTTTTTTAGTAAATAAAGATGGAATTAAACTAAAAAAATAGTAAGAATTGTTTTTTACTTTTTTCTAAAATAAAAAAAGGGGTTGCTGGGTCATCCCATCTTGACCAAGGCCATATTAACAGTTTGAATATATTCGACCCAAACCCAGACCAACCCGCCCGTTTTCCAGAAAGAAAATGGGGAAAAACAAAAAAGATGGATCTCCGTTACCAGTGATTAAACTCTGCAAGCTCGACCTTTTGGTCCAGACCAGTCTCCGACCATTAGAAACCCTACTGACAAGGCTCTGCCGACTTACATGACTTCATGTACTATATATAAAGAGGAAATCTTGTGTGTTTGCAAACGATGTGGGCTGATAACACCGACTGTTTAAAATCTAAATTTTTTTTTTCAATTTTACCAATTTCAATTATAAGGTTTCAATTTTATTCAACCGAACATAGTCTATGCAACATCTGAACTAAATAAAATCATGCCTCAAGACATCCAAATGACGATTATTATCATAACTTGTACTTTGGCGGGTTTACACAAATGCAATGTTAATTTAGAACATTTTTACTATGGATTTTGCTCCATGCATGAGAGGTTTTTGTTCTAGTAGGCAACATGAGAGGTTTTCATTCTTTGATATGTTGTAGACTGTACTACCATCAGGACCGGCCCTGAGATTCCAAATATTTTGCGAGGCCCAAACTTTCAAATGTGAGGCCCTTAAGTTTCACACACGCAAAAAAAAATTATAAGAGTGCGAAATTTTAACACGCTGTTTTCAAATTCTATATCTAATATAATTGTGCACCTGTGCATTGTGCATTGTGCATAAGACAACGAACTAATAAATATAAATTTATCACCACCAACAAATAATCGTGCGCATGTACAGTGTGAATAAGACAACTAACTAATAAGTATAAATCTATCACAACAAATAAATAATTGTGCGTCCATGCAGTGTGCTTAAGACTACTAATTAATAACTATAAATTTTTATCAACACCAATAAATAATTGTGCGCTTGTGCAGTTTGCATAAGACAACTAACTAATAACTATAAATCTATCATCACCAATAAATAATTATGCGCATGTGCAGTGTGCATACGACAGCTAACTAATAACAATAAATTTATCGATTAAAGAGTGCGAAATTGTCACAGGCACAAAATAAAAAATGAAGAGAACAATTTACTAGAAAACAGAAAACTGCAGCTTCTTTTACATTCATTGTTTATATAGCTACTAAAATTTGATGATTACAGATGACAAAAATATGTGGAGATGAGGTGACTATATAGGAGGCTGAACTTGTAGTACTGAAGAAGTAGTGGGACTTTTAGGTTATATGTGGCATCCACTATCATATAGTTTTTGTGTTTCACTCTTTATATTAACTACACTACACTTTGTGTGTGTTTTTTTTTGGAAAAAGTTAATTATTAACTCAACGGCTCAACCCAATAGAAGGGATCCTTAATTTTCGTAGGATTGAATGTGAAAATGCAAAAAATTATGAGTAAAAGGCGTATGGTTGCTGCTGTTGTGAGATTGGAGTGGAATTAGGGAGAGGAAAAAAAAAAGTACCTGCCATAGATTATGGACTCGATCGCCATGAAAGACACATGTAGAAAGGCACACATTTATTAAAATACTAAGAGAACCATAATATATTCATTCAGCTTTTGATAGCCATCACACACAGTGACACACACACACAAAAAAAAACCCTAGTTTGGAAGCTACTTTTCACTATTGGAACAAAGGTAAAGGCCCGAATCAAACGAACCAAAGTTAGAACAAATCAAATGATGAGATGAACGAAAGAAAGAAACATATATAAAAGATTTATTCATGCAAAAGGAGAGAGAAGAGAGAAAGAGGATGAACATACCTTGTCACCTGAGGCGATAGCGGAGGCTGCGCCCTGCGGAGTGTCGAAGCAAATTGTGTCGTCTGAAACTTGCCCTAACTTTTTTTTTTTTTTTTTTCAATCCCCTATGGGCCTCAAAATTTTAGGCCCAAGGCGACCGCCATGGTCGCCTTGGGCCAGGGCCGGCCCTGACTACCATAGGTTTGGATATCTGAGTAACTTTTTCCTTATTTGAAATCATACCGTTAATATTTTCTGAAAATTAGTTTTTCTTCAAATTCAGAGAGCATTATTTTCTGTTATCTTGAAATTTTTTTTTTTAATCAGAATTATTGAAAATATTTCTAGGAGCTAAAATGAAACAAGCTCTTTGATCCTGGAGTTCTATAGCTCAGTTCACTATTTGCTAAAGCTTCCTGAAATCTCCCTTGATGTTGCCTATATTGGATCTTTTGCCAAAAAGCACATGATTAAAACCTCATAAAAATATACACCGTATAAATAAATCTATAACTTTTAAAGGATAAAAAAAATTAAGAAAATTAATTTCTCTTGGTTCAAAAATATAAGGTTTGCGATAATACCGGTGAATTTATACTAATGGGTTGTAAAAAACATTTTTCGGAGAAAGGATAAAAGACAATTAAAGTACAAATGTTTTTCATACGCAATGCATCTCCTTGAAATAATAAGTGAAGAATAGTTCAAAGAATTATTTACTTGTCAACAAATTTGAATGACCTTAAATAAATAATAAAAAAATAATAAAAAAATGCCCTGCAAAATGCACATTTCTCTAATACTATTAGTAACAATCGACTCTAAATGGTGTAAATATTGTTCACTCTACAATTTACACTCAACTCTAAGTACTCATAATTTTACTCAAAATGCATCTACCTGCCAAAAACTTCTTCGCCTCAAACAATGCTCAAAATGCATCTATGTAATAAACACCAAAAACTTCTCCGCCTCAACTGATGTGAGATTGTAATGATTCACATCATCTAGGAGAGGAAATGAGGAGGAGGATAGTTGTAGGTGATTCTAATTATAAATGCTCAAAAAAAAAAAAAAAAAAAAAAAAAAAAAAAAAAAATTATAATACCTTTTTTTCAGAAAAATTATTCTTTCAATTTTAAAGAATGACTTAAATAAAAGAACACTTTTTGGAAAGTATCCATGTCCCCATTTGGATCAATCAATAGAAGTTAACCATATATTTATTAGGTGATTCACAGAGAGTGGTCCAAGGGTGGTCACCTGCCCCAAAAGTCAAAAGAATCACAAAACCAATTTAACAAAACCAAACTCATTAAGTTTGTTTGCAAGCTAAGGTCATGGGGCTAGCTTGGTGACATTTGAGAAGAATGGTTACCAAACTCGTTAAGGATTAAAGAAATGTAGTTTTATCTTGTCAGCTTATATATGTATTCGTCTTTTTGTTTATAGCCTTGATTTGATTGAAGTTCCAAAAATTTTAGTCCCACACATTATGATCCACACACGTATTAGTTGCCACATCCAAAGATAAGGAAGCTGGACAACAGATGTGTCATTTGATTGATGGCTCCTCCCAGAAAAAGGCTGCCTTCCAACAAGCCTGCGCTATGCATATAGATACACGCGCATATATAATCAATATATATATATATATATATGCATATAGAGAGGATAAAATGGTACTTTGGTTGGGTAATACCGAATCTTCCTGTGTGTCCAACTTTAGACTTTATCTCTCCCACCAAATTTATTAACTAGTGTATATTATAACATAGGCATGGGAATAGTTATTCTGTGGAGTCTGGTTGGGAAAATAAAGGATTTGTTTATTTGTATTTGGGGGGCTAAAAGATAAAGTGGATTTATGTGTCATTGTGATAGTGTTATGCAGCTTTTTCTTTATTCCATAAGGCCAACTTTAAATCCCTTTGATCTACATCCACCAATCACATTTTTGAAACTTTACCATGTTTAGTCTTTGGTCTTGTCATTTCAAAATATAAAAAAATTATATTTGTTGTTACACTACGTAACATTTATGATTTTTTATAAGTATTGAAACAGTCATTAGTCTCAACAAATAACAGTGTTACAAAAAGTATTAAACTGTAGAGTTGTTTAGGTGATGATATCTATCGTTAATCTATAATTAATCAAAAGTTCATACTCCATACCATACAATTCCTTAGTACCCACCATACATACGTCATTTACCTGCTATATAGTATATACTTTACCCAGCTGGCCTCTCAACTCACAAGTCACAACCACAAGACACCTGTGGTATTTGTAAATAAACTTAGTTTACCCGAACTACCCTTTTCTTCAAAATGACCAAAATGCCCTCCAGACCACGGTATTAGAGAACTTGGCCACTCTTAATTGACCAATATACCCACGTGTCCGTAGAAACCAAGAAGCCGGCAATTCGGACTTTTTTGGTATAAAAAAGAACAAGTGTACCGGTCAACCGCCACTTCAATAACAGCAACCCTCCTAGCACAAAGCCAAAAGAGTTGTCCAAATTAAGTTTATATGAAAGAACAAGAAGCTATAAGTTTTCATGGCTCCAAGAATCGGTGAAGCCACCGGAAAAATGACACAGCTTTGCCGGAAAATTGTAAATGTCAACATTAGGTGGAGTATATTGGAAAGGGTATCCATTTTTCGCCGATTCTTTCATTTCGTTTGGGACAGAATTCTTGTTTGCTCCATGGGGAAGTCAATTGGGTATCAACCTTTGTCCAACCGGCCTTCTTCTCCGTCCATGGAGGCTCTCGAGTCCGGTCTGGGACCGGAGTGCCCCACAACCTCCTGTAGCGGATATGATACAGATTCAGATTTAGTCACCTTGAAGATCAGTCTACTGGGTGATTGCCAAATTGGAAAAACAAGCTTTGTGGTTAGAATATATCTGCTTTATTGTTTCAAATGATATTTTCAATGTTTATTTTATTTTTTCTGTATTTGTGTGTGTGATTATGTGTGAATATATCATATGTGTTGGACCAATTTAGAGATAGGTACAAATATATCTCATTTGTCATTTTTTTTTTTTTCAAGATCAAGTATGTAGGGGATGAACAAGAAAAGAGATGTCTGCAGATGAAAGGATTAAATTTAATTGATAAAACATTAGTCGTACAAGGTGCACGGATTGCATTTAGGATATGGGATGTGGGAGGTTTGTTCATCAATCTTGCTTAATTATTATTTTTTTTATATACATACATACATACATACATATATATATGTATATGTTAATGTGTGTTCTTTGCAATTACTTGGATTTAGGTGACAACAGATCGCTTGATCATGTTCCCATTGCTTGCAAAGATGCAGTAGCAATTTTGTTTATGTTCGATCTTACTAGCAGGTGTACACTAAATAGGTATGTATATATATATATATATATATATATATTTATATATGCTAGTTCATGATGAATTTATCTTTTATTAGTAAAAGAAAAATTAAAATTTAGTTTGATGACTGATTCGAAAAAACTTGTAATTTGTTCTCAATTGCAGTGTTATTGGATGGTATAATGAAGCAAGAAAGTGGAATCAGGTATTAAACATATATAGCTTCTATTTTTATTTGTTATCTTAAATTTGGCATTGAAAAATGTCAGTATAAAGATCATATTCATACATAAAGAAGGGTAACATTGGCAATATGTACAGTAGGTGAAACTTCATTATAGTTGTTGAAAAATGCAATCCAAACACAGAGAAAAGGGTTATAATGGGAATATTAATTGCAATATGTACAGTAGATAAAACTTCATAACAGTTGATGAGAAATGCTATTCAAATCTCAAACACACAGAAATATGTACAGTAGTTGGAATTAACTTCATTGCAATTCGTGCGTTTTTTAACTTGTGCCATAGATTAGATATAGAAAAAATGCTTGTATTTAGACTTGTTTCTTAAATCTAGTCCAAGGGTTTTAAATGAGATCAACACTGGGTCCCATACACTTGATCAAATTCATTTAAAAACCTCGAAAATATGTCTAAAAAACATTGGTTACTTGGTTAATAAGAACTAATGAGGAGAAAAAGGGGTGCTTTAATTAATCATCAGAACATCATCAGTTTGATGTGCGAAATTCAACAGTGGGTTCATATAACGTGAGTTCTTTATTTGATGGACGGTCTGATTCAGTAACATGATAATCATCAATTTTTTTTTTTGAAGTGGATGAGGTCCCATATTTCATGATGGAGCATTGTTCCCTTGTAGGTCATCTACATATATAAGCATGCGTGTGTGTGTCTATATATATATATATATATACAGACGTCTAACTTCTTCTGATTTTGATATATAGACAGCAATTCCAATACTAATTGGGACCAAATTCGATGATTTTGTCCAACTTCCCCCAGATTTACAATGGACAATTGTGGCTCAGGTAATAGATTTTGAAATATTATATTTATATATGCACAATTTTTTTTTAGTAATACCACAAAAAAAGACATCCTTATCTTTTTGAAAGAAGTTGAGGAGATCGAATCGTATGCATAAAAGAGTTGGGTACCTTGTCTTATAGTTATATATATATATACACTCCGTATATATATGTACAAGGTGTATTGGCGTGTGAAATAGACTGATGTTTGGAAGACTTGGAGTCTTCATTTGTCAATTGTAGGACATATGCCCACTTTCTGTGTGTGCGTAGAGAATAAGCCAAATTGGGCGGCAATTTCTTCGTGAAAGTTGAATTGCTAGTACAAATCTCTACTTTAGGAAAAGAATAAATTTCATAGAAAGAGTTATTCATATCATAAGCTTTACACGTATGACATTGTTATTATGTATGTACGCGTGTGTGTTTTTACAGGCGAGGACATATGCAAGGGCTATGAAGGCGACACTTTTCTTTTCGAGTGCAACGCACAACATCAATGTGAACAAGATCTTCAAATTTATAATGGCCAAGCTCTTTAACTTGCCGTGGACGCTCCAAAGAAACCTCACACTAGGAGAACCCATCATTGACTTCTAAACCAATCTTACCACAACATGTTCCAATCCACTTGTACATAGTCAAGGAATACAAACACCACAGTTTTCTTTCGTTTTCAGTTCTAGTTTCATGAAACCATGCTTTTGGGAGTACTTAATTGATGTCATTAATTTGATATTAAAGAAAATTTAATTATAACTTTAAAAGAATTTTTTTCTCAAAATCCAAAACACTTAATTTGATGCTCCCAAACATATGTAAAACCCATATACAATCAATAGTACACAATATTGGATTGAATTTATTAGTATTATTATTATTATTATCATCGAATAACTATTTGAAGAGTAAGTAACAGCTTAATAGAGGTTAAAATTTGCCCTTCCTACTTGTATTACCATTTTGTGCCACCATGGGCCGGACCCTACCTTGTTCATGTTGGGTCTTGTACATCCAAATCAAGGGTCAAACTTTTTATACAGCTCATCATATAATGGACACTGATCCATCACTAGCACCACGAAAATCTAGTAGCAACTAAACAACTCTATCACAATTCACAACTCATAGTCACCATTATTATGGTATTTGCGGGACCTACTGAGCCCATAGGAAATGATAACATCACAATGACTATGACGCCTAGATGGGAAACCTCTCCCTAAATACAAGCAAAGATTAATTTCATGAAATAAACAATTACTTTTCCGGGGCCAAAAAAACAGAGACATGAGACTTCCATCAAGTGATGCGGATCTGTAATAGTTATAAAATGTTGCAAGAAAGGCACTTCGAAAAGTTCAACACTTAAATTAAGGTGTCTTGTTAGTGTCGATGCACAAAGATAATGTTAATAAAACTCTCACATACTGATAAGAGAAAACCAAACTGGAGCAACCATGAGATGTTATCATCCAGCTGAGTTCTCGTGTAGTAGCACATACTCCCGGCTGCAAAAAATTCAAATATGGGAACAATCATATTTACTTAAATTGAGAAAAAAGAAATGCAGAGCTAACACAGTTAATGAGCACCATAGCAAGGAATGACAATCATAACTTAAGCAAAGAGTTGACAAGCAGTACGGTAAACTTTTACTCTCAGGGCAAAATGTAATGTTCAAGTGGCGAGGAGGTAAAGGAGTTTGATAATGAATCATTTTCAAATTTAGAAGGGAAAGGCATGAAAAGGGATAAAATAAAAAAAGGCTAAATGCAATCACACAATCCCGACAGATAACACATGGATATGGAGTAACAAGAAAGTTAACCATCAAGAAGAGAGAGAAACACCAGCCACATATTATGTGGGATAGGATTGATAGTGTAGGATCAACAAAAGAGAGAACACAGCAAGTGGGGGAGGGACAAACCCTAAAAATTAAACCCCAGGAACCCCTCTGGGAAGTAAACAAGCTTTCCAGCTTATGAATTGAAAAGAAATATATATATATATATATATATATATATATATATATATATATATATATATATATATGAAAAGACAGTAAAATAGAATATCAGAAGCAATCAAAAAAAATGAAACAAATTAAACAAAAAAAAAAAAAAAAGACAAAAAAAAAGGGGCAAACTTGGAGAAAAATACAATTACATATTAAGCATTTGGGCATAGGTCCTTCCATCAAAGTACAGCCTCAACATAGGCACAAAGCTTTTCAGTTCCACAAAATCAAGTATCAACACATAATGTCAAGCTGAAGCCTCCCACAAGCCAATAATAACTAAACAATATTGTCATAGGTCAGGCTATGTATCCTTCATAAGAGTATATAGGGGCTAATAGGGTCATGAATAATCTGTTCCTACGTTAGGTATCGACTGCTGGGACTGCTGGAGAGACGGTTAAAATATATATGTATATATATATCTATATATATATATATATATATATATATATATATATCTAATAAATCAGTGTCGTTATTTCAGATCTTAACTTCTTATCCTTCACCATTCGACCAGAATGTGAGATGCAAAACAAAAGATCATCTTGAACCTCAGAAGAAATCACAGGCCATAACAATCTACTACAAGGTTGACCAGAAATAAAAATTCACGAGCTCATTGAGATAGAAAAGATGAATGAATACTACCATTGAAAACCAAAAATATATAAAAACATAAATAAACATATCATTTAATAATTCAGATAAAGAAAAGGAGATCCAATCAGCTGTTTCAGAGTTGCCCAAACACTGTCAAGGGAAAACAATATATGTATTTATAATGAATACTACCACTGAAGACCAAAATTATATAAAAACAGATATAAACGTATCATTTTAAAATTCAAATAAGAAAAAGGAGATCCAATCAGCTTTTTCAGAGTTGCCCAAACACTGTCAAGGGAAAGCAATAAATATACGCGTGCACACACATACAAGCAGTAACAACAAAAGCATCATCTCTTCAGTGAAAAACAGCCCCTATAATGTCAATAATTCTTTCACACAATCCACTCCTAGCCCAAAAAAGATTGACCTCGTCACTTACATTCACCCATCCAAGCAGACAACCGTTTTCACGTAAATGACACTAATCACTCAGGAACTTCGTAAATAGTTAGTTTATTTTGTAGAAATAGAATCCAATGATTAAGCATGGGACCAGGTTAAACTCATACAGCAAACTAACTAATATAGAGTTTGACCAGATAGGCAGATACCATATGTAATAATACTAATTCAATGAAATGAGAGAGAGATGAGCAGATTAAAGCTATCCGGCAGTCAGTAAATGAGAGAAATAGAAACTACTTTTTTTCCATTTTTCTTTTTTGACAAGGAAATAGAAATGGAGAGAGAACTTCAACTTGCTTTAGGCCTCCTCCTGAATCAGCAGAACTAAACATTGATAAAAGATCTCAAGGAATCCAGCCAACTTGTTATCACACATGGACAGATCGGCAAACCACAAAACTAAAAAATGCCAAGTGAATGGCATAAGGTGGCAGTGTTAAGTATTGCACGAATCAAAAGCCCATGTTGCTCCTACCTTCTTGGAGTGACCAAAGAGGCCGACTATAATTAGTCATAACCTTCAACATTATAATGCACAAGTCGCTCACATATCTGAAATCAGTTCTGATGCTTGACAGCCAATTGCAACAAGCAATGGTGCCTTAAGGTATGGCTAACTCAATTAGCCAAAAAAAAAGTGACCCTTGGCTTATAAAAAGCAGGGGCGGAAATTTTGGGCCTGACCTGTGAACCCAACCCGAGCCTGGTTTAGATGGGTTTGAGTAAATAATTTAAAATGCATTTGTACCGTAAGGCCAACTGAACCCGCCTACAACTTACACAGACCTAATCTCCACCTAAAACCAAGAGGCTACTGGTAAGTAGAAGAACTAACCATTTAAAATCTTAAGAAACCAACAAGAAGCCAAATTACCCAGTAAAAGATTGGTTACACTCAAGTGTGATGGATGTAACTTATTGCTATCATAGATGCAAACTCACATAAACCCTTACCAACTGAAATCATCACAAACTTGAAATATTTTTACTCCATTGCTGAAGAAGATCAATTAATTTTGACTTGAAAAATATCACAAGTTGAGAGGAAAATCAAATAAGCATAATTACATAAACAAGTCATTTCTCACAAGGACAAACTTTTACAGAAAGGGGTATTTTAGAAAGAAAAACAGTAACCTACTTGCTAACGCAACAGCAACAAAGACAGAAATATTAGGATAACTAAAGAATAAAAACCATCAACTGAAAGGGCAGTACTAAAATCTCAAACAACGAAGTGAAGAAGCTAACTAAAATGCCATGTGTCAAACTAAGAGTTCAACCATGAACTATATTTTACCATTGACTCAACATGTGTCTTTGATATCAGGAAACAAATGAAATGAATTCTTTACATTGAACATCCTAAAAAGAGAGGGGAAAAAAGTATGTGTGAATGAGAAGAAATCAAATCCCATGGAGAATTCGACAAGATGGAGATGAACAAAAATTCAAGACAATGGCCAGAATGGAGTCACGTTGTACAAATTGGAAAAACACACTAAATTGACCAAGATCATCAAATTGGAAAAGATAGATATTATATCCAAAGCACATGCTGAATATTTATTAATGGCCTACTTACTATTACCAAACTTAATACTGTCTTTTTCAAAAAGTTCATAATAGCGTTCAAGGTGAATGCGATTATCCTGCAAACACAAAAGAAAATGTTCATTCAAATTACAGCAGAAACAATCAAATTTTAGCTTAATTGTAGTACCCACTGAAAAAAACAAAACCATAATTAAAGGAAACAAACTTGCATTAAGAAAAGTTCCATTTGTGCTTCCAAGATCCATTAAGTATGGCCTATCATGGAGACAGAATAAATAGATAAAATTGTAGTTAGATTTTATCCACTCCCCATTTTGGGAAATGATCACAAAATAGCTTAGATCCTAGTTAGATTTTACTTGCTTTGATAACGTACCATAAGCTTGCTCCTTGCCTACTTGCCTGACAACAAAAAAAGTAATAAAAGAGCACGTTCATGATATCAATGATAAATTATAACTTCAAGTAGTGAATCTACCTGTACTGAAGAACAGCATGTTGTTTGCTGCAAGATGGGTGATCTGTACGGATGTCTGCTACCCTCCGCTCACTCCGGAAAAGGTAACAGCTTTGACGATGTATATAAAGGGGCTCTGTCCATTAAAATGTTTTAAGCCAAAGGCATAACTACTAACCTAATTATCAGAATTTCTTCTTATATACAAGCAATGATAAAGCAAGAAGAAAGAAGGGGAGCTGCTCCTGTCATCATCATAAATGGAGTTTGTATAGTTATAAGTTAAAACTTCACATCAGTCACTATTATTAGATGCATAAACATAAATTAGAGCAGTTATGAGTACATCCGTGAATTTTACTAATGTCATTTTATATTTCATAAGTTACACATTGGCTACTGCCTTCAAAGGCATTCAATTAAATATTCAAATTGCTACAGTTAATGAAAATAAGTAAATAACTAATAATTTAAGTGGAAATGGGATTAACACCACAATACACAAACATCTATCAATCTCAAGCATATCACTAATATAACCAAGTAAATAGAACAAATAACTAAATATCCGGTAAAAAAGGAACACATAATAAAATCATCTTTAGATTCACACATCAACAAAAATCCAATCAAACAGGGTACAGATTCAAAAGTGGGCATTTGCAAAAGTAGTAATCAAGGCCTGCCAAGCAGTATGCCCATGGGTGCAAGATTTTGGAGACCTGGGACCTTGGCTTTTGATCTCAAACTATTCCTATTCTTTCTTCAGAGCTGTAAACCTCAGTCAGACGGTCAGAGTTGGATATTTGAATTTAAACCTTTATCAACCAAAAAAAGGAGACGTCACATTAATTCACACAATTATTAATGACATCATAATGTTTCATTGGTTAAAACAATTCTTTTATACTCTTAACCGTCTGATATCAGGGAATCACAAAGGCTCATCAAGCCTTCAAGGTGTAACCAAATTACATATACTCTTAACTGTCCAGTAACAAAAGTCAAACTTCAAAGCAAAAAGATAGAGCTCTAGTCAAGCTCAAAGAGTAGTAGGAAACTCAAAGTTAAAGCAAATGGAGCTTAAACAATTAACATTAGGCTTCAGCCATTTCACATACAAGCTTCTGAAAAATGAATTCAAAGTGTGAACTACCCAGACTAATTCCAAAATACTTCCGTAATTTTTTTTAATAATTGTATATACAGAGAATCAGGTTCGCCTTGCAGATGAAATATGAAATTCTATTTAAGCATCTTCAAATAAATTCTTTTGGAACTCATAAATTTCTAAGCCCGCCAATTGGTTAGATACCCTATTCGCTAACATGCTTGTTATGCTGCCCAGATAACAAGTTAACCTTACATAGCTATGCAATCCACTAAACTCGCAGTTGTTCTTATAAATACTAAAATGAAACTCTAATACGGACTATGATGTGGAAGAGAAGCTCTCATCTCTCTAATCAAATTCATATATGGCACACATGAGAAATATGATAGGCATTTAATCTAACAGCTGAGCTTGACAAAAGACGGATCAAATAAAAGTTGATTGTGTCCGAATACTTAGAATATTAGTTCCAGAACCATGTTTAATCTAATCCTGCATCTTTTTCAAGAACGAACTTCAACTTCAACAAGAAGAATTCACCACTTGGCATGTCAACCAATTTCAAATCATAAGGTCAAAAACTAAAGTGCAACCTCAGCATAAATGAATTTTAACAGTGATGTATATGATAATGATGGCTGTGAGGCATATCAACTTCAATGGAAATTGTGTCAACTAGAGAGAGAGAGAGGGGGGGGGGGGGGGGGGGGGGAAGAAAAATTCCAGTAACAAAGCCAAATGGTTCTCCATCAGCAACGAACAAAGCATGGGAAATGTTTATCTAGAGCAAAGCAAGGAAAAATACATGTAACAAAAAAAGGAAACACAAGGTATGTATTCATGATACAATATAATACAAGAATATGGCTCCTAGAAAACTTATCATTAAGCACTTCACCACCCTTGAAAACATACAGTCGCCATCTTATATCTGGTTTCCAGGCATCTGGGGGTTCAGTGAACAGCAGTGTCACGACTGATATGTAAGATATCTAATTAGTAAATGAACATAAAATTCAAACCATTAATAGAGAAGCTCGCATGACTGTCGTTTCAACCAATAAATGCTCGGGATCATTCTTTAAATTGTTCCAGCTATGATGACATGCATAATCTGAACAAACCAGAAGAGTAGGGCAAAAAGCTTCCCAATCAGAGATCATCACTGACACTTTGGACAAAGTGAAGCATTTTCTTCTTTCCTTCTATTTACTTATGTTTGGGTGCATTGAATGAGGTTAATGAGTGGTAAAAGTGAGAACAGAACGGACTCTTCCTATCTATTCCCTATCATTTTTCATTTCTTTGTTGCACTATTCTGAATCTGCCAGGAACATGCAATAGTGCAACACAGGTGATGCGCCAGGGCCCCACAGGAAGATCTTAATGGCTGAATTAGGCTGTATACAGGAGCTTTTAACATAACAAAGTATGCGATTCTTCTCAGAAAGCATCTTGCTTGCCACATGTCCTTGCATGAAAACCTCGTACCAATGAAAACTCAAAGAGCTTCTACAGGACAAGCGAACAGAGTATCTAGTTAATAAAACAGTCTCCCTCCTTTGCACACACACACGCATGCATTTAGAATGATAATGGCCTATAAGTCTTCTACCAGCACATTTAGTATGACAACAACCAGTAAGTCTTGCATCAACTAGTAGCACAAAGTAATAAATATCTTTACAGTTTTACTTAGAAATTATCGTCAATTCTACATTAAAGGGTACAGCAAAGACTTATCACAACCAGAGCCGTAGAGCCACAATACAAAATTCTTTTAGACTGAGTATTTTCATTGGTCAGACTTTCAACCTTGATGATCTCATTTTAAATGTGTATTTCAATCTCTCACAAAATAAAGTAACATCATTAAATGTATGAATATTAGAAAATTAAAAACTACAGACAAATAGAGTCTGACCAAATATAAGATTATAAAAGATGCAAACCAAAAAACCTATCCACAAAGTAATATGACAATGTGAAGATTAAAGGGAAAGACAACAGTCAAAAGATAACTAATGTATAATGAGAACAACAATAAGAAGACCACCCATTTGAAGCATATAAAAAATGGAATGAAAATGACCTACAACTCCCAACGGAAGGCCCCCAAAAAAATTTATTTTATTAGATCACCCAACCAATAGGAGCAATTTAATACTGGACGAAAGAATTTAATTCATCCTAAAACTTTTGATCACCTTTTTTTTTCCTCTCCTCATTCCACGTTTTTTTCTCCTCTATCATTACACCAACCATATTAATAATTAAATATGTATCTAACCGATGATTGTGGGAATTGGAAAAACTTTCCATCTTCACCTATTAACTTTTCTCTCTTTTTTTCCCCCTTATTCCCCACATTTTTTTGTTCCTCTGCGGTTGCAAGTTGCAAAGTTTTTTTCTATCCTCTATTCATTACATACTCTCCATCAAATTTATTGGAGCATTGAACCAGATTTTTTAACATCAGGTTCTATTTTTCTTTAACTTAAATTATTTTGTAGTCTTATTATTTTTGTTACCATAAAATTGTATATTTTGTTTGTGACCATTTTTATTAATTATTATTTGATATTAATATATTACATATTAAAACACCACTTTTAAACTTTTCACCTAAGGCCTCAAATCATATTGAACCGCCCCTGGATGGATTGTTTTATAGGTAAGATACAAGTGAGAAGTTGCAAGTGGGAGAGCATCTTTGCATGGTGTGAAGGAATAGAAAGCATAGAATGAGCTTAAGACAGCATGTACAGCTTTCAAAATTTGAGAGAAACTTTTAAAATGGTCAAATTTTTACTAGATTTTAAGCAACTGTGTTATCCTTATCAGTTTACTGGACCATCAGGAATACAAAGGCCCAAGGGTTCTGCCAGTGACTTTCAAATTGTTGTAACATGTTCATTAGATAGCAATATATCCTCAAAATGTACATTGGAAGCCAACAACCATTGTGCTTCTTTGAGAATTGAGACTGACTTTGGTCTGTAAGTTAACCAACAGAACCGCTATTATAGATTTCTCTAGCAGGTCAAGCATACCGTGTCCAATGTTGCAACTATGCTAATGTTGCACAAAAATTATCTGCATGGAAATATAGTAATTTATTTATACCCTATAAGAGCAGGGGGCTCTTCCCATGCAATAATTCAATCACCCAAGAATCAACGGGCAAAATTGCATGAATATAGTAAGATGAGCAAAGGTGAAGAATACATAAAGGAGATGAAAGGAGGAGATTATCATCTGAATCCCTCAAACTATTTCAACAAATTTAGATGCCCAAAACTCAACAAGGATGTAAAGAGTTCTATTAGAGAGTTCCTCTCCAACCAAGCTAAAAGAGAAGACAACAATTCATTATTCTTAAGTTGAAGGCAATGAAAATATTACCTCTGACTCGATTGGTTTCCACAGCAAGTTTTCCAGAGAGCTCAAATGAAGGTTTTTGCTGCAAGTTACAGTGGAACTTATAAGACAACAGAATGTAGGCACAAAGCAGCATAGGTAAGCAAGCATAACACGTGCACTATGATAATGCTCAGAACTCAGAGCAGTGACAAGAAACAAGGCTTATCCTTCTCTGTAATTTCCAGAATGTATGAAACTGTGTAAGGAACAACAAATTATTAATAATGAAATTTCGTGACTATGCTATGAATAAGAGCACTCAGCAGACAAAGCAGACTTTTACCTTTTCCTTTACTTCTAGGGCCTCTTCAGCAGCCTTCATTTTAGCTACTGAATCATCATCACCATTGCTGCCCAACTAAGGTTTTGATCTCTAATTAGAAACTCTATGAAGGTGTATCAAAAATAAAAGCAGCAAATATATATATATGTGTGTGTGTGTGTGTGTATGTATACTTTTTTTTTTTCTTAGTTATATGTGTGTATACTTTTGAATGGTAAAGTAAACACACAATCCCTTTTTATGGTGTGTGTTTGGACAAGATTATACTAAAATTTGATGGTTAGGTGGGTATTGCAAAAACAGTAAGAAATCAAAAAGGGAACATGATAGTTGCTGCCATCAAACAAAATCAGAATTGTTACCCTCTCTAACAAGAATTACCAAATGGCATAATTAGGGTATTGGTGGTTATTAAAGACTAACAAGTTCCACTGGGGAAGCCAATGATATGTCAAGAATCTGGTATGCAATTTCAAGTAGATGCCTAGTCTGTCAAACTTGAACAAATAATTTTAAGCTACGAGAAGAGCAATGACATTTGTAACTCATCTGGGTAATCCCATGCCTAAATTTTATGATGTGCTTCGTATTGTACGCTTGAATAAAGAAATTTTCATCTGCACCCTAACCGTCCATTAGGGATGAGAATGCCTACATATAGGTAAGCATTCTCCTAAATTCAAGTAAAAATAAATAATAATAAAAAATAAAAAATAAAAAAAAACATATTATATTCACAATTGATTGAACTTTTTTTGCTAAAACAAAATACATTCGTACAGAAATAATTCACGTATTGTTCTTGAACTTACAGGATAATTCATGTAATTAGTAAAATAAAATAGGGTTAATATTTGTCTGAAATATAGTCGTGCAAAGCTAACTTAAGAAATTGTGATTTGTGTAGCTGAGGGAAGTTTGATTAATTTCAACAAAAGTTTAAAGTACAATCAGCAGCTTACCGTTGTTCATCTTCTCTTGCGCGTTGTTCATCTTCTATTGAATTTGTACCCTGAAAAGATTGAATTAAGGACAGTCACTCTATTTGAACATCAATGAAGACAGAAACAGCTACTAAATATATGCTTTACTTATTATACAGGTAAAAGAAAAACAAGTAAATTTTTTTGTCAAGTATTTATACATTAACTAAAAAAATATGTTCTATGTCAATTGTTTCTAAGAAAAAAATCAAATAGAAAAAAAATAATAATTTATCTCAACAAGATAGAGAGAGAGAAAGTACAAGAATATAAATTTATGTTTGAATTATGAACACGGACAAAATAATATCATATCAATCAGTAAGAGGCTTCACAAATCAATTATGCTTTTTCAAATGCAAGAACATAAACACAATATACATTATGTCTGTAAAAGGAGTGCCTATCACCAGAAACCTTGTGATGATGATCTGAAGCCGAAGCTGACCGCCCATGTTTTGACCTAGAAGAACCTCTATCAACAGCAGCATCCCTTCCTGAACTTCTCTCCCTTCTCTCACTCGAATCTTCTCTATCTGAACCCGTTTCCCTGTGCGTAGCTTTGGTGCGACTAGAAGGTTTCTCTCTTGGTGGTGAGCTTGTTGGGTGTGAACTCCGATGCCGAACAGGAGATCTTTCTCTTCGAGATGGGCCTCTTCTACTCGGAGATCTACGTCCCTTAACCGGAGATTCTGAATCATTTGTTAAATTACGCACCATTGATTACCTCCAATACACATATTTATCTGGATTAAAAATATGTAACGTATATAAATTGGGCAATTAGAAAAAATAAAAAAGGTCACCTAATTTTAAAATGTACTGTATAAAAATTTAATTCCTTTCTCTTTCTCAAATTTATTTTAAAATTTACATTTCATCTACAACAAAATAATTGCATATTCTGCTAGAAGCACACACAGAATATCAGGAGAGGAAGAACAACAATCTCTAGGGTTTAACGAAGGGTTTAGCATAAGTGTCATTTGACTCATTTCATCGCCCTCCCATGCGAGAATGATTAGAAGGTTGAGTCCGGTGGAACAAATGGATAGTGTTTCTACCCAACCAAATATATATATATATATATGTGTGTGTGTGTGTGAACAATAATAAAAAATCCCTACAGTTTAGGAATTCAACGTTTTCCATTAGCTCCCATTATAATAAATTATAAAAAAAAATAAATTAAGGTGTTATATGATAAAACTGAAAATTTTAAGTACTAAATTTTAAGTCATGAAATTTTAAGTGTTAAATATATTAATTTAAAAACATGTTTGATAATATTCTAATTTTAAATACTGAAATTATTAAATTTGTTAGTTATACACAAAATTAATGTTATGTTTAGTTGGAGGGAAGGATTGAGGGGGATGAATGAGAGCAGAGATGGATAAATATTTTCGTATTTGGTTGGAGGGACGGGAAGAGAGGGAGGAAACAAGGAGGGATGCTTCATCCCTCCTTTCTTTATGTTTTTCTATGAAGCATCCCTCCTTCCTTAATGTTTTTCTATCCGCTCACTTTTTTGGGGAAGGGAGGAGGGAAAGAATGCATAACTACCTATGAATTGATAATTTAAATTTTTAATCTTTTCAAAAAAATTCAAATAAATATCTGTCTTTTATAATTTTATATAAAATGATATATTAGTAAAAATAATAGAAGAACTCTCCTTCCCTTCTTTTCAATCAAACAAGAAAAAAATATCATTCCATTCATTATTTCTACTATCCATTCCATTCAACCAAACATAAAATGGGAAAGACACCCTCCCTTCCCTAGGAATATCTCATCCATCCCTCCTCCTATCTCTTCCATCCATTTTTCCATCCCTCTAACCAAACGAAGCATAAAAGTCTAAAAATTGTACGGATTACATTTTTGTCCAATATCTAGCACTCATACTAATTTTATATAACTCATAACAATTTTATATTTGTAATATAAAAATATTAATAAAACAATCACATTAATTTTATTTAAAATAAATATTAAAGTGAAATAATCATAAAAAAAATATAATTCTTATCTAGGAATAAAATTATATTATAAAAATAATTGATAAAAATTTAAAATATATGAATTTTGAATTACGTAATATTTATTTAAGATAACATTTAAAATAGTCATTAAAAAAAGAGTTTTAAAATCTATTCGCTTATGTCTTCATAAGCAATCCTCCTCTCCTTAAAATTTTGGCTTTTACTTATCATGTTAAGTGGTGTCTTCAACTTTTATCAAACACACTCATTTTTTAAAATCACTTGTCTTTAAAAATCAAATCACTTAATGCTAAAGTAGAAAATCAAACTGTCCTAAGTCCATATTCAAATGACATTAAGAGAAAGCAAATATTCAAATGATAAATTTAACAATCCATTTGGTTCAGATTTGAAGAAGGGCCACTACTGGGCAAGTGGCTAAGTTGACCACCCCACCCACTACTGGACTATGAGGTGGGCAGGCCAACGGGAAATGTTGAGAACTGGAATTACAAGCTTGATAAATAAAAGTTAAAACGAGTAGAGGAACAAATAAATGTAAGAAGTAAAACTTGTTTAGACCCTAAAGCAAATATTTAGTACACAAGAGAATTGAGTTGTTTTTAAATGAAATTATATAATAAAGAGCTGAGATTGGGGTTGTCTACAACGAAGAATGCGTTTAGGAGAAGAACCACTGAGGAGCAGAGGCTTGAAGGCATGTATGTTATGACTAGGCAGTGACAGAGAGAGAGAGTAAAGACTCGACGTATGTTCTGATTAGGTGGTGACGAGGATGAGGTTGGATCTTAGCTTCACTGTTTTGCTCCAATCGCAAATATTGCCAACCTTGGTTTGCCTTGTTTCGAGACTCACGTGTATGATTTGTAGACAAGTATTCAAAATTTCACAACTGATACCTTATTTTGTTTTATTTTTTTATAACACATGCCATACCGGATTCATATTTTCTTTTACACAATACATTCGTTTATATTTTATTTGAATTTTTATTTTTATTATATTTTTTTATTTCATTGAAAAAATATTGACTATGGGAATGAGTGAGGGCACAGACGCGTGCCTCTATCATTTGGTGTCACAGTAATGTCATACAATACAATTCATGCTCTCTCTCACATTCCTTCAATCAATTTTATTTTTCTTCTCTCTTATGCTGGACTAATAATTCCATTCCCAATCACTCTCCAGTGAAAATCTTAATTGATCATTTATCATTTTGGGATCAATATTTTTAGGATTTGTATTTTTAAAAAATTAAATAATTTGTTTGAAATAAAAATAAAATTCCATTTATATGTTCGAAACAAATTGGATTTGAAATAAAAGGAACTCCGTTTTAAGGTTGGATGTAAGATGAGATTTAAAAGGAAAATAATATATATACCTTTTTCCTTATTATAAATAAATAAAATATGATTATATAAATATCAAATTATAAAATGAGTAAATGAAAAAATCAACTTAACTTTCCAAATGTCCTACACTAAAAATTTGTATTGTAAATATCATAAAGAGTACGAGCACCCGTAATCCCTCCTTCAGTAATATAAGCTTTTGTACTCCAAATAGTCATCTAACAAATCTATTGGGCATAAACATCTACATAATATTATGTTATTTATTTTTTTTTTTTAAGAGAGCTAGGATAAAATTGGTATTGTCTTCTACTGTTCCAATTTCCCGACTAATCAAGCAATTCAATTAAAAAATTACGAATTACCTAGAAAAATTCAAATTGAGGCAAGCAACCCTCCTTTGTATTTGACCGTTCTGACACCCACTCCAGTTTTAGAAAATTAGGAATACCAATGTTTATGTTGTAAAAGAGCTGAAAAGGAAATTAAAAATGTATATAGTACGAATTAGTTAATAATAATAATAAAAGAGAAAAGGAAATCCCAATTAAAGGCCATCCAAAATTTCACCAGGCCTAACTGGTGAGCGGTCAAAGAGTGCTGAAATTAAATTTATTTTATTAATAAATTATAAAGAATTAAATTATTTAACTAAATTGTTCGTGTCTTATATGGTAATTGGATAGCCAGTCGGATCCCCTGGGAATGGACGGCCGTGATCACTACACATGTGAGTGAATGTATCCGGCCAAGTGAGACCCGTATTTTTTGTGTCATCATCCAAAGAGGGCATGATTTTTACGTTTTTGATTTCATTTTCTATTTTTGGCGAATCTTTCTGTACTTACATTAATTACACACATTTACACACACTCCATAATTTTTACATCAAACGACACTATAAAGCTACTGTTTCATTTTCATATGCATACTGCCTGAATCCTATCTATCCTATTCTAATGGCTGCTGCGGCCGCGAACCCTACTTGCAGAACTCGCAATTTGCCTCTGCCAAAACCATATCGTTCCTCATTCAATCAATCACATTTGCCCTTCAAACTCGACAAATTTGCGTCTCGCCCTTCCGCCATTAAAGCACCTTCGATCTCCTGTACCATCGCCAGAGACTCCACTCTTCCAATGGAAATAGACAAGAGAGAGAGCGAATCGGCGCTTCTTCAGAGACCCGACTCGTTTGGACGGTTCGGCAAGTTTGGCGGGAAGTACGTTCCTGAGACCCTCATGCACGCACTCACCGAGCTCGAATCTGCCTTCCGATCTCTCGCCGGAGATAAGGACTTTGAGGTTTCTTCGATTACCCAAATTTATATCTCACTTCAATTTTCTGTTGGTTTTTGTTATCTCTCAATTGTGTTTTTGATTTGTTCATAAAATTCAGTTCTTTTTGAGGGATTTGATGGCTTTCTTTTAGGATATTAAATGACAAATTACTGTTATTATGGTAATGGTTCTATAAAATTGGGGTTTGTTGGTTGGCGAGGAAAGTAAGGGAAATTAACGGAAAATAAATGTTAGGTGTCCCATTTTTATTTTTTATTTTTCTTTTTGTGATAAAAATCTATTGAACTTTCCGCTTATACGACTGTTATAGGAAACAAAAGGCACGCTTCTTGGTATATATATTGCAAATTTTATTATTTTATTATTATTATTTTTTTGATAAGGAAAATTTATTGAAAAGCCCTAGAAAGGGGAGCCAAACCCAAGGACAAACACTGAGGCCAAAAAATGCCTCAAGCCTTTAAAGAGGCCAAAAAAACAACAATCTCCTCCAAAGAAAGCAAATTTTATTAATTAGAAATAGAGTTACAAGAAGATGAAGCCCATGTTGGCCAAACATCCCAATCCACATTAGTCACTTTATCCAGTAAAGCCCTTTTGCTTATCTCATGAGCCACTCCATTGCATCCTCTACGTACCCAATGCTAAGTTACATTCTGTCAACTGTTATAGCAAAGTGGTAGTATCATCCACTAAAACGTAACTGCATCAACAGACTTCAAGTGCTGTGCATAATGGGTTGGGAATCCCCTTCAATGTCAACCTCCTTTTACCCCATTGAAGCAACAGATTAACACTAAATCTCAACACTATGCCGCCTCCACTATTTTTAGACCACTGGTGGTATGAAGCATCAATATTAAGTTTGAGTCTACCATTTTTAGCAGCAGTCCATTTTTCCAAACAAGCAACTGAATGGGATGTAATAGGCATAGATTCCAACTTGTTTTGCAACTGAACTTCTTTAAACTCATTAAAGAAAAACACAGCTCTCTCCATAACTTGAACAAGATCCAGTTGAACACTATTAAATACACAATTGTTTCTTGCCTTCCACAAGTGCCAACAAATGAAAGCAGCCAAACTGATAAGATCAGCACCTCCTTCCTCTCCTTTCCATTGTTCAACCTAACTTTGCCATCTCTGGTACCAGAAATTGACAGAGTCATTAAAATGAATCCTTAGTGGACTAAGTCTCCATACTATTTGCACTATAGGACAATTAAATAGGACATGTGCATTAGTTTCATCAGATTGACCACATAATTTGCAAATAGCATCTTCAACCAAACCGCTCTTTTCGAATTAGTCCTTACTGGAAGAGCATCATGACAACACTGCCACAAGAAAAAATTTAATTTCCTTGGAATTTTAACATCCCAAATACCCTTCCAAAGTGATTCTCTCTCAGAAACACCACTGCAGCTAGCATTTCAACTGACACTTGACTCGTCATCTTCAAAGCCAACTGATAAGCAGCCTTAACCGTAAATCTTCCATTGGCCGTCAATCACCAAACTCTACAGTCCTCACTAGTTGTAATACTCAATAGAATTTGCATTATGAGACTGCCATCTCTATTATTAAAATATCTGTGAATCAAATCAACTTTCCAAGAATGAGTCATTAGAAGTTTAGAACTAAAGATTCAAACTTTTAAAATCATTTAAAATATAATTATGATTACGGTAAAATGCAAAAAATAAAAATAAAAACCAAACAATCAAACTCGAAATTTTCAGATTTTGTAAATAATCCTTGAACTATCAATTTGATAAATGAAACCCCTATAATTTTGTAAGAACTTGTGAATGAGACTGTTGTTTTTTATTCCTTATAATATGGATGTAAAAATAATCATGTATGTCTCAGATGACACATTATTGTCGCATTTTGACCAAAACATTATTTTCTATGGACTAAATTACTTTTTGGACCAAAATGTATTGGAAGATCTGTCTTTGAGACTCAAATGGTTTTAAGTGTTTAACTTAATTTAGGCAAATGTTTTTATTTGAAAATCATTTTTATTTTCTTTTTTAATTACTTTTAAACAAATAAAGAACGCTACTTGGTCAAGTAATTTTGCAATATTTAGTTTTTTTTTTTTTAATCTTCAACTACTTATTGAAATAAATCCGGTATCAATTTCGATTTTTGCTACTTGGTAAACCAAACAGCAAATTCAGGGTCACCCGTTAAACCTTGGGGTGAACAGGAATTGAACGTTGATAATTTGATATCACAACTTAACGCCAAACATGTTGATAAATAATAATTAAAATTGATAACATTATTGAAAACATGGAATAGGAGAAAAATCAGATGAATTGATAAAATTAAGGCTTTACACTAGAGGAATACGCACAAGATCAATTTCCAATAAAGCACTGAGGGAAAGCTGAAAGGCAATTTAAAATATGGTTATAGCATACTGGCTAGCCCCATTGTTGATCCTTATTGGTAAATTGTACAATATGATATTAATGAGATGGGGACAACTGATGAAGTTATGAAATCACTTTGAGAAATTACAAAAAGGAATCAAATTTCCATCAGTTTGAAGGATTACAAATTCTGTAAATTAAGAAAGTGTTTATGTGGTGCAAAGACAACAGTTTGCGAGTTTTCTAGAGGTATTTCTTGCATTCCATGCTCTTAATATCAAATAGGTCATAAAGGCTACAATTTTTATCATACTTAAACTAGTACAAGTATTTTGTTGTAAAGCAACTGTATTCTACAAATCCCTTTTTTACTTGATGTTCTTTCTCTTCCCATATATATCAACATAACCAATATATGCAATTTAAAATTTATACTGCAGATAGAATTGAATGGGATTTTGAAAGACTATGTTGGTAGGGAGAGTCCTCTTTATTTTGCGGAAAGGCTTACTCAGCACTATAAATGTCCCAATGGTGAAGGGCCTGATATTTACCTCAAGAGGGAAGACCTGAACCACACTGGGGCTCACAAAATAAATAATGCCGTTGCCCAAGCTTTACTTGCAAAGCGTCTGGGAAAAAAGCGCATTATTGCTGAAACTGGGGCTGGTCAGCATGGAGTTGCTACTGCTACAGTTTGTGCCCGTTTTGGTTTAGAGTGCATTATTTACATGGGTGCCCAAGATATGGAGAGACAATCACTAAATGTCTTCAGAATGCGACTTCTTGGAGCTGAGGTTTGTTCATCCTACTTTTCTTTTTAGTTCTTTTAAGTGATTTATTTCTTTTTTCTAAAAAAACTCATGTAATTTATATATTGCTTTGTATTTCAAAAATAAATTCAAGAGTATATTTAGGTCATTCAGTGTTCTACTGCATCATTATGACCTGATGTTAGTGGAAGGACCTTTCTTCTCCTTATGATATTGAATGGTGGCGCTCACAGTCAATATGAGAAGCGCCAAATTTCTTTCAGCTGCATACCATTGTAATCTTCATTGATGTAATTACTTCTCTGCTGTGATATAAACTGCTGAGTCTTTAGGTATTTTACTTATTCCTCAATTCTGAAGGGTTTGTTGGTGGGCTGTCTTGAATATTGGAACCAATTGTGTGCCGTTTTTACCCCTTTTTTTTGTAAGTATAACACACTGCTGTCTCCCTACAGGGATTTGAGAACTGTACCTCCCCCTTTATGTACTTTTTTGTCATTTCCGGCGTTGAATTGTCCATTGCCTCATTATCATTTACCTATTAGGTGAATTTTCTAATGTTAGTTCTAGCATCCTTATGAATACATGTTTTACTTATTGATTTTGCTGCTTGAATTGGGTAGTCATCTGGTTCTGCTTGTTAAGCTTGAATCCAGCTTTAGAGTTTCCCTTCCTTAGGCACCTTCTTGAATCCATGGACCTCTGCTGTTACTAAAATGTTGGCTTACACTGGAAGTGATTGACTTTACGTCGCCTGACGTGCTTGTTGCACTTGGAAAATTTTCCTTGTTTTTTTACAAGATTATTCTTCAACTCTGCTGTTTTATTTCCTCTGTTAGAGATCTTCTGCTCATCTCAAATACTCACTGTTTGCTACTTTCAATTGGTCATTTTTAGAGGTTGGTAGGACCACCTAGATCAGAGTCATGTTGCCTCTACCCTGAAGAAAATTGTGGTGTACTTATTGATATTTCATATATTCCGAATTACCGTTATATTTATCCCTTGTGAGCAAAGAGCAGCCGTTAAAGGCAGCAAATTAAATTACCTATTTAGAGCATTCCAATCACCATTGGTTATGATTCACAGCTTCATCGTTTCATTTGTTTATATGTAAACTAGTCTTATGGTCCTTTAGATAATGAGATTCGTCTTACTCTAACCCCAAATGGAGTGCTTACTATTTCTTTGTTAATTCATATTTTAGGTTAGAGCAGTCCATTCTGGGACAGCCACACTGAAAGATGCTACATCAGAAGCTATACGGGATTGGGTGACTAACGTGGAATCAACCCATTACATCTTGGGATCTGTTGCAGGGCCACATCCATACCCCATGATGGTAAGAGAGTTCCATGCAGTGATTGGTAAAGAAACGAGGAAACAGGCAATGGAAAAATGGGGCGGGAAACCAGACGTGCTGGTTGCGTGTGTTGGTGGAGGTTCAAATGCCATTGGACTCTTTCACGAGTTTGTTGATGATATAGATGTTAGGTTGATTGGTGTGGAGGCTGCAGGGTTTGGCCTTGATAGCGGTAAGCATGCTGCTACTTTGACTAAAGGGGAGGTTGGGGTGCTCCATGGAGCTATGAGTTATTTATTGCAGGATGAAGATGGGCAAATCATTGAGCCTCATTCCATTAGTGCGGGGTAAAGCTATATAACTGATTTTGCGTTATAAGATTAGCTGCAATTTTTTCTACCATGTATGAGTAACTATATTTTTTTTTCATTTGGTTATTAGCCTGGACTACCCTGGAGTTGGACCGGAGCATAGTTTTCTGAAAGATATGAGACGTGCAGAATACTATAGTGTCACAGATGAAGAAGCATTGGAAGGTATGTGAACTTTAGTAACACATTCTTTTACAGTTTATATATTCTCTGCAATGACGATAATTGTTTGAGTAATTAATGTTCATGTGTGTGAATAATATTGTTCTTGATTGAGTCTGAGTGTTGCAGTACATCCTTTTTCAATTGCCTATCTAGAATAGCTGTTTTGCTAAAAAGATGAAATTAATGTACCATAGCTTTATAATTAAATTTGATAGTTTAATCTAGTTTCCTTCCCTGCTCTCTTTTTAATTTGATTTCATTGAGATGCTTATACACATTAATAATATATTTTATTCTATTTTTTAGCTATTTTGATTTATCTCCCCTTCTCATACAATGTTATATATATCAATTCTTCAACACCCTAGTTTCCCTTCAAAATTTGTCTTGTAAAAGAAATCAGCCAAGTCTTAAGAGATTTGCTGATTCAGAATATGATCCTTCTCATACAATGTTATATATTCAAAATCTCAACCAAATATGCCACATAAGGGCCTTTGGGTTTGCTCACTACTTATATTAAGGTTCCATAACATGACTACTTAGCTATTTAGTAAGGCCCTTCTCGGGAAATGGTTGTGGAGATTTGGTGTGGAGAGACATTGGCTTTGGAGGAGGGTTGTGGCGTGTCGTTTTGGGGAATTGAGAGGAGGGTGGAGTTCCTTGGAAGTGCGGGATCCTCGGGGGGTAGGGGTCTGGAAAGTGATTCGGAAGGGTTGGGATGATTTCTCTAAACACATTCGATTTCGTCTTAGAGATGGGAGGAGGATTTGCTTCTGGGAGGATGTGTGGTGTGGAGATGTTCCTCTCGCTCTCGCTTTTCCTCAGCTCTACAGGATTGCTTCGGATAGGCAGGCCATGGTGGTCAACTGTTATTATCTTGATAATGGGAGACTGGTTTGGGATGTTCGATTCAGGCGTCACTTTCAGGATTGGGAGATCGAGGAGGTCATTCGCTTCTTGGAGCTGCTTTATCGCCAAAGGATTGTGGAGGAGGATTCGGACTGTTGGTCTTGGGTAGCAAACTCTCATGGGCGTTTTGAGGTGAGGTCCTTCTTCAAGTGTCTCTCATTTGATCCTGATGTTCGTTTTCCTTGGAAGTCTGTTTGGCGCTCCAAGGCTCCTCTCAAGGTGGCTTTCTTTGTGTGGTCTTCGGTTTTGGGAAAGATCCTAACCCAGGATAATTTGCGAAGGAGAAGCCAAGTGGTGATCAATCGTTGTTTTATGTGCCTTCGTAATGAGGAATCAGTGGATCACCTTCTCATTCATTGCTATGTGGCTAGAGAGTGTTGGGATTTGATGCTTGGCTTATTTGGGCTTTTTTGGGTTATGCCTAGATCTACAAGAGGGTTGATTGAGGCTTGGAGAGGTTGCCCTGTGGGGACTCACAGTCAGGATGCGTGGAGGGCTACGTTGCTTTGTGTATGGTGGTGCATTTGGCTTGAAAGGAATAGGAGATATTTTGAAGGAAAGGCGATGTCGATTTCGGTGCTTAAATTCTCGATTATTTCCACTATTTTTTGTTGGGTTTTAGGGAGAGATCATAGATCTTTGGAGGAAATTGTTGATTTTTTGGCCTCTTTGAAGGATTGAGTGGCTTTTTGTATCGTTCTTGGGTTCCGCTCCCCCTTGGAGTGTTTTTTAATAAAATTTTTTATTTATCAAAAAAAAAAAAAAAAGAAGCCATTTAATACCAATCCAAAAATAAAAAATAAAAAGGGAAGCCAATTATTAGAATACCTTTAAGTTCCAAGTACCCATCTTGAAAATGTGTGTTATTATTTGTAGTATTTTTCTTGTTCCTTCTCATTTTCTGTAGCAGCTCATCGCTTGTTTTTTCTATGTGCCTTGTTACTTGCAATTTATGATCTTATGTCTATACTTCTACTTATTTTTTTGCAAAATTGAGTTTAATGATTGAAAAGACCAAAAAAACAAAAAATCAGTTTCCACATCTAATAAATTTTAAAAGGTTACCGAATGTGGTCCTCATTCGAGGGTCTTGGGAGGGGTGGACTGGATACAAATTTAACCTTTGACATTATCTGCATAAAGTGGAAAACCCCTTTTTTACTCTTCTTCTTGGCTGTGGGAGTCTTTCTCCATCTGACTATTCTCAGAATTTGCAACCTCTTTCTCATGCTTGACAGCCCAAACATTTTACCAATGCTCCATAACAGAGTAAATAATAATAATAATTTCTGAAAACCTCTTGCATCAGCATGGTCAACAGTGCCTGAAATTCTTCATAGTAATGACATTTAAATCTATTCTCCCCCTACCCAACCCAAAAAAAAAAAAAAAAGGGACGCGCCCCAGTCCCTTCTTATTCTTCATTTTTTTTTTTAATAGTTTGGTAACACTTCTTTAATTGAATGCACTTAAGTATGCTTCTTTCTCTTTATCTTAAACCTGGAAATCTTTTCTCAGGCAGGATCTCAAGCTCAGGAGAATAAAATTCATTGAGGGGCTAAATATTATTGCTGGAACTTTCTGCCTTACAAACCTTTCAAAAATAAAAATTAAAAATCTGCAAGCACTATAATGTTTATGTCTTGTATGGAAAAGTGAATGTGATTCATACCTGAAACTTTCTAGTAACTTCAGAAAGATTTTAGCCTACCAGCACGTACTGCTGTTAATCTTCTACAATTTGAGGAAAAAAAAAAACACAGATAGAAGAACGATGAGTATTCTATCTGGATGTTGTCCTCGGATATCTATTTCATCATGGTAGTTTTTGTACACTTATTTTGGTTTAATAATCATGTATCATGTTCTCATTTGATTGTAGTAATAGTGTTTCTAAAGGCTGGGGTTTGTTCGTCTTCGTCTTAATCTTCTTGGCTTTTGTCATCTCCAATATTGGTTTCATTTGTGCTGTTTATGCAGCTTTTAAGAGATTGTCTCGATTAGAGGGCATAATCCCAGCATTGGAGACATCCCATGCACTGGCTTATCTGGAGAAGCTGTGTCCAACTCTACCAAATGGAACTAAGATTGTGCTCAACTGCAGTGGTAGAGGAGACAAGGACGTTCAGACAGCCATTAAGTATTTGAAGGTTTAATTGAGGGTGGAGCTTCTATCAAAAAAAGAGAAGAAAAATCATATCAAGAAGATGTCCCAGCGTTTTTCTATTTCTTGCAAAAGTATGTTTTGTTGTATGATCGAAACCAAACTCTAGCAGATTGGACAAAATTACTTTTTAAAGAGAATCTTCCTCCATATAGAGACGTGGTTAATGTAGTCAATCATAGCATTACCCAGTATTATAGAGCAAGCTTGCATAGCATCTTGAAGCTAATAATTTGAATAAATGGGCGTTCTTTTTAAAATATATGTGTCTTATATGATTTTATGTTTAATTTTTTTTTTTTTATAATCACCTTTAGGAAATGTAAGAGGCATTTATATATATATTTTTGGAGTACTTCTTAAAATGCGTCCATTTGGTTGCCAAACCAATCATACATTGTGACGCTATGTACTGGAAGAGGGATCCTCGCTTGTGACATTTTCCAATCAAGCATTTGACACACTTATGTCTTGAAAGTGGTATCATTGTTGATTCTGACATAAAAATCAGGGAGTAATTGATAGTCTTTTTGTCCAAGCATGGTTCCAAATCTTGTAAAATGCTAGAGCAGGCACGCCATTGTTCCATCACATAGTTGATGAGTATTTGAGAATACAACTCATCAATATTATAACTCTAGCATTACATGGTCTCCTCTTCCTCCTCCGACTATAGACATGTAGAACATTCTCTTGACTTGTGTATTGAGTTTTATGAACTTGTAGAACATTCTTTAGAATACTCTAGAATGGTGGTAATGAAGTCTTATAAATGTTTTAAATATTACTATTTTATATTAGTATTTTAGGATTGTCTTGACTATTGGACAGGGGATAGGGGATTATATTAGTATTTTATGAACTCTTGCTCTATAAATAAGTGGGAAACAATACAAATCCTTTAATTCACTTCAATTCTCTTGCTTTAGTTTGTTCTATAAATAAGTGGAAACAATACAAATCCTTTAATTCACTTCAATTCTCTTGCTATAGTTTGTTGGTTAGTGGTTTGTTGGGTTTGTTAAATGAATTTTAAAGGAATGTTCAAATATGTTTTTAAAATAACGGGATTACGGGCTCGTTGATTAGTATAACTCTTTAGTTGAGAGTTCATGAAATTTTCAATTTCTCATCTTTTTATAATAATAATAAAAAACTAAGTTGTTGTCAAGAGTCTATGATATGATTTTTATTTATTTATTATTATTAGAGTAGTGTGCCCCCAACAAATAAAACGGACTCTTATGTGGCTCAATAAAGTGAGATCAAAACGTTTCAGCCTCTTCTAATAAACCTTCCATCAAACAACAATAAAGATTCAACCAAACAAAACTCTAAAGGAAAAAATAACTGAAATTTCAAAAAATAAGAACTCCCAATGAAACAATCAACTAAAGGAGAACACTCAAAGATCAAAAACCCAAATTTTACTCAACTTGCCCTTCGCTTGTCCTTTCAATTGTTCTCTATAGTTCTTGTCCTTTCAATTGTTCTCTTTGGGAAGCAAAGAAGATATATATATATATATATATATATATATAAAACTTTAAGTTATTAGTCACTTATAGTGGATTTATACTAACAAAAAATTGATGTGTTTTGAGTGAGAGACTATACTAATCAGTGGTTAGGGCCCTTAGGGGAGAAAATTGCGAATAAAGTGAAGAGAGTAATAAGGATTCAGCAAGTCACATAAAAATGGTAGTCAATTATATCATTTTCCTTTTTATCAAGGTCCTCAAAATTGTCAACTGTTTGGGTCAGAAGAACAACATCCAAAGGCTACGAAGAATACTGGGCTCAAGCTCAACTAAATAAATAGGCCCACTAAATGAAGGTGTTATACGTAGTATAAGGAAAGCGAAAAGTAAAATCAAGTTATAAATGTGAGAAATGCACAAATCACAACTAATCAACAGCCAAGGCCAAGGCCCAAGTAAAAAAAAGGGCTCGACCAAGGCATTAAAAGGCCTCGACCCAAATTATCGCACATGACTTAAACAGGGCAATTTTTTGTTGATAGCCCTAGCCCCATAGGACATTCCCTGTTGAAATCAAACCCCATCCCTTTGTATAAAATAATCTTTCACATTCTAAACTTAATTTTCATCACCTAAATCATAAAAAATAAAAAATAAATAAAAAAAAGAAAGGCAAAAAAAGAAATGGCAGTTTTGTAATACCGCATACTTGAATACAGCAAGAGAAGTAACATGAAGCCAGTCTACCACATCACATACAACATCCAGTCTGCTACTATACCACATACATACATGCATACAACAAGGAAGATTATACATCATATTATATTATATTATATGCTCCACTTTCTATTCTCGTTCTTCTTTTTCCACTTCTTCTGACAACTCCATATAATGATCGCCAGATATAGATTCTGCAAAAAAATTGAGAAATTAACAAAATATAAGTGCATATATACTGCATAGACACAACACATATTTAATATCCTAAAATATACTTTTAAATGTATGAACTACATAAAATAAAAATGCCCAGCCAAAATAAAGTTATAAACCATATTATAGCCCTAAGAAACATGGGAAAATTTCACAAAATTCAAGCTAGCTCCAAGAAACTCCAAAACTTTGCAATTTTTTTATTTTTTATTGGACTGGATTGACTTACCAAATTCTACACTGGGCAGCTTCCAATTTCATGATTGCGCATGCAATCATATTAACCGTTTCATTGACAAGGTTGTGAAGTGTTGACACTGATTGAGAAGGGAGATATTCCGATGTCGATAAATTATCATCCATGATCTGAAATGAAAGTGTTAATAGGGTTCCTCCAGTGATCTCCTTCCCATGCACCGCTGGCCTGTCAGGAATTATGGCGAATCCCGAGGCCAAGATTTGCACTCGGTCTGGATCACCACCGTCTAAGATCATTTTCATGGCGGGAATGTCTATAGGTGCATAAACTACGTAGGAGCCTGTTGAATTGGTGCAGCTCTCTTGTACATAAAGAATCTTTACATTGTTTGGTGCATGCTACAAATGATACAAAATAAATTTTATGTAAAATCTCAGGAATGTAAAGAACAAAAATAAAAATGAACCAAAACAAATTAAAAAGAGAAAAAGAACGACTTACATCTACTACCACAATTGAAACACAATTCCCTAGGTCACGACCAGTACCAATGCGTACCATTTCTCGAGTGGCGCGGCCTTTAGAAAGGATATCCCACTATAATATAATTACAAGGCACAGATATTTGAGTGAGAAATTTAATCATTTTGAAAGTAATATTGAAGGCTGTTGTCCTTTTTAGGTATGAAATATGCATATATGATAACATGAAATGAAAAGTTTTCAAAACACTTTATTCAAAGTTAAATATACATATTTTTTATACACTTGAAGGACTTCAAATGGTACTTATAATTAACTTCTAATCTTATTTGCTTCTTCATTTAATGCATGCCAATGATGTTAAATATATTAGGTGTTTCTTCTTCAATGAGTTTTATTATGTGCGCGCGCGCAGATGTTATATATATACATATGCGCATGCAGTAATGAGTTAGTGTGTTTAAATACCCAAAAAAAAAAAAAAAAAAAAAAAAAGTTAACTTGTTTGGATCATTACATGGATTATGCATGTAGGAAAATTAAGGATTGTCAAGTAGCATCCAAAATAAACTATTGCTGAGAGATTTCATGCTTGGATCATTATAAGTCCCTAGTGTGACTCGAACTCTCGACCTTCCTCTTTGAGGTAACTTTTTTCTCAGATAAGTTCTATTATGGAAAACAAAGGATATAAAATGAGGCTTATGCGTTGATCCATTTTGAACATGTACCTGATTACGAGCATTTCCATCTTGAAGAAATATGAAAACCTTTTCCGGGGAGACTGGAAGCCATATTGTAGTTGCAGTAGTGATGGCGACACCACGAGGTGATCCTGGATCATCTAAGTTCTCGCAAGCCATGATCATGACATCTTCAGCACCAGTTATAGGTAATGGCCTCCATGGGTTTTCGGGGGAAGCGCTAACACTGGCATAATAGTCTCTCATCATTCTACCTGCAAGCTTTAATAGACTCTTCCTTCCCTCTTTAAGGTCTTTCACTGTGGAATAATAAATATAATTCCATTCACTAGCTGAGATCAATTAATTGAACTTAATTCTATCATAAAACTACAAGGATGTAAAAAGTTAAATTTGTACACATTCATGTGATCCCATTAAAAACTACAAGGATGTAAACAAAATTAAGGGTTTATTAGATTTGTTACTCCAAAAACAGTTTCAAAGAACTCAGAAACTATTCAAATACAAAAGACAGTTATATGAAAACAAATATTTTTTTTAACTGAAAATTTAAAAACAGTTCTAAAAAAATGGTTAACCTAGGTTTTTGTACATATTTATGTGATTCTATTATTTTATGTAAAAGAAAAGTGAATTAGGGTTTACCGCTTTCATCCATCATGGTGGCGTGGCGCTCGCATTGCCACGCTAAAGTTGCAAGCCAACGTTTCGCGCCAAATGCAAAACCAGAAGAAACTATAGGCCTGAATAATTCCTTAACTGATCTATTATCTACTTCCAGATTTTCAACCCATGTAACCTAGGGGTATTATAAAACAATCAAAGTTGTAAGGAAAATATATTTGAATATAAGTACACTAATATTACAAGAGCATTAATTATAGAGTTAGCATCTCCACTTACCATTGAGTATCCATCTTCCATTTCCTGAATTAAACAGCCTGATGATCTTCTTTCACATTTTATCAATGGCATAGGAAAAATGCTCCCCAGAGAAGCATCCACCACTATCCAACTCTGTGATGCCAGCTGCTTACAATGCCTTACAAAATAACTTTCTCGACACCGACTAAGTGGTGAAGGGAGATGATATTCCACTGTCATCTGGAAAATTATCAAATTAGGAAAAATTTTAAGAACCGACTTTTATATATAAATGCACACTAGCTGTGAGATGCATTAATTCATATGGACATGGAAACCAGATCTAATGAATTTTTATTGCCTAGCTACTTAAAAGAGAAGTGATCAGAGGACACATGTTGAACACAATGTGATCATGATAGTTTTATCAAATGTGTGACTATGTTAAGCCTAGTTATCTACTTACTTCAATTTACATGTATATTTTCTTAAGCTAGAGGTGGTAAGAAATATATGCCTCAACTAGTATGTATGTGTCCAACTGTGTCAATCTACCATTAATTAATACAACAATTCTACATGTATATCAACAAAAGTTGTAAAATCTAGAATGCATGCCTCAACTACTATATATGTGTCCAGTTCATAAATAGAATGCATGTCATTTCTAAATTACCACTTGCAAAGCTCCATTAGGGTTCCCCGGTTGTCCAGTCGATTGGACTCCAAGTACAGTGGCTTTTGAGACAATATTTGAAAACATAGTTGACCATTGATCCTGATTTTAACACAAGAATTTCTGTTAGTTCACAATATTCATGCAATAAATACATTTCTTAAGCCCCCAACCCCAATGCACACACACAAAAAACAATAGGGAAAAAAGAAAAACGTACCACATCCATGAACATCTTAGCAAGGTTGACTGGATTCATAAACACTCGGGCACTTTCTCGGGAAGCTTCAGTTTGTAATGGTTTTGATTTGAATCCCATTGATGAATTACTAGGGCTGAGATTTGGGAGCTGTATAGGCTCTTCCGTCTTGACCATTCTTATTATCTCCTGTAAAGTTGCATCAAGTGGCCCAAATCTCTTCTTGTACTCAACATCATTTAGTACCCAACTACCTGTATCTATATCCTGGAGCCATAAAGGTTCTCGTGCAATGGCCATTTGTGTTAGTTCCTCCACTGCCGCAGCAGCTAGATCATTGATTCTAGGCTTGTTTACCTCAGCACACACTGAGACAGACATAAGGAGATCACTTGCGCGGTAAATCTCCTTAGCAAAGATCGGTTTGGAATGGTAATGTTTATCGCAATGATCAGGTGAACTGTGATGGGTTTGGGGAGAAAGTGAAGGGTTAAAGGCCACAGACTCTTCACCTCGCGCTGAATTATTAATGCTTATGGTCTGTAGTTTGGGAAAAAAATGAACATTATAGAAAGAAAATTGCAAAAACAACCATTAACCCTTCAAATTAAGAAAGAATACTAACAAGCACATCTCTCTACTCCTTAATTCATATCAATTAAACATAAAAAAATAAGAATGAGAATAGTAAAAAATAAACAAGAGGCTCGACTATGAATTTGATCTCATGTATATACTGATCAATTAGCTAGATCAATGGTCCAGATATACATCCAACAAGTGAAAAATTGAGGCATTGTCTGTCGTGGCTCAGCAGGGTGTGGGTACAATTATTTTGAAAGGTGATGCACAAGCTGTAATCTTAATTTTGGACATTTTCACTTTGCAGTCCAAGATAGAAACTGATGTAATTCAGTTCATACCAAAGGGAGGGAATTCTATAGCCCATGTTTTAGGGAAGTTTGCTCTTAGAGTTAAGCTTGATGTTCTTCAATGAATCTCTTTTTTGCCAGAAAAAAAAAAAAAAAAAAAAAAAAAAAAAAAAAAAAAAAAATCTTATTTTTATGATTTTCGTATCTCGGACTAAATGGATAGATTTTAAGGTTTCTTTAATTAGTTATTTATTTTTTAATTTGGTAGAAGCATTTAGCTTGTGTCATGAGTAGTCCTCAATTGATGGATCTTCCATGAAACAGTAAGACATCCTTAAAATAAAAAAATAGTGCATATATTTAAGGAAGTAACCCTTTTACCTCTGAATTCCCATTGAGCTCATCTAACCCTAATCTGCTTTCGGAGTCCATCTTGTTGCTGGAAAGAGAATGAGCACCTTCACAAAGCTATGAAATGAATGAAACCCTAAAACAGGCATTACCATCAACATAACTTCAGTGTACATACAACCAAAAAAATAATAATAAATTAAGAATTTTTTTTTTTGAGAAAACCCTAAAAGAGGGGTAAAAAAGAAAGGATGCATGTCTATCTTTCTAGATAATCGATGAACTTACTTTCTGGTTTCTCAGGATCAATTAGTTATCACAAAACAATCACTTCAATAGACTTCAAAAACTTTACAGCTTTATAAATATATAAAATTAAAAAACCTTAATTTTCGGATCATCTAAATTTAATTTAGATATATCCTTCTATACCTGAACAATTACCTCATGTTTGGCTGCAACATATATTAAGTTGATTGGAAAGAAATGGATTATATAATTAATCTAAAAGACAACTAGATTGAAACTAATGGAAAAGTGACAAGCATCAAGTCATCAACAAAACCTATCCCTCAAAACAAAAACAACCGTTTTTTCTTTTCTTTTCAAGGAACAAGGAATTATGTTCGAGATCTGTAGATCGATACAAGCGAGTAATCTTCGTAAAAGATGTGTATAACTCTCTCTCTCTCTCTCTAGAGAGAGAGAGAGAGAGAGAGAACGAGCGAGCGTTACGGTGCAGAGCCACCTGGAGCAAAACCAGGTGAATTGAGATATTGGTTTTGTACTTTAAACCGACATGACGTGTCAGATTCTCTCTCCATGATTGGTCCACGTTTCACGAATTTACTCGTTTGTTGGCATCAAAGTGCGAGTGAGCCATTCATTATCATGTTATATAGAGAATTTAGCGACGGTATGTGATTGATACATTACCAATATTAATGGTGAAACTATTCGACAAGACCACGAACCATTGTGATTTAACGAACTATTATCACACACACACACACACACAAATTACTAATGAAAAATAAATTTTGAAACAAAAAAAAAAAAGGCAAATTACTAATGAAAAATAAATTTTGAAGCCAAAAAAAAAAGGCGGAATAGGGGGATCCAGGCTCATTAAGCATCACCCGGTCACCCTTTGAATGCATCTAAGGACTTAAAACCCTCGGATTCGTTGTTCGGTCATCTCTTTTGGTTCATATAGCACCACTTGTAATATTACATTCAGTTCCCAATTTGTCTGAATTTATTTATTTATCCTAATAGATTAGGTAAGTTTTATTAACATGACACTTTCGTTTGTTTGTTCGGGCTTAAAATGTTTTTTAAGTAATATTTTTTTACGTAAAATATATATATATATATATATATATATATATATATATATATATATTGGTAGTTTGGTAAAGGACTTAATTTTTTATTTATTTATTTATTTTTATTTATTTATTTGGGTGTTTGGCTTCTGAAAATATTTTTAAATGAAAATCCAAGAACTTATTTGACTCATTAATTACTAAATCTCTCTTACCTATCCATTAGTCTAACTATTTCTATTCTAACATTTTATCCATAAATTATTTTAAAAAATATTTTACATTGAAACAAATGAAGTATATTTGTATAGAGCAATAGTTAGGTCCTCACTGGTAAGGATCTACACCATCCTCACTAGTGATGTGGACCAATAATAAATTAGTATTTTTGTAATTTGGTAAGTGAGTATTTACCAACTTATTAAATTTAGTAATTAAAAATAGTATGTCTATTTATTATTAGTCCACATCACTAGTGAGGATGGTGTAAATCCTTACTAGTAAGGACCTAAGTATGGTTCATTTATATATATTTTTTCCATGTTATTCAGGAATAAATAAAGAAGAAAAAAAAAACTTTACAATGTCACAAGAAGTATATGTATACCCTTAGGGCCCAACAAAATATGGTCAGAAGCTCAATTTTTGAATGGTTGATTAAGAGTGGCGTGGAAGTTAATGATTGGTTTGTGATTCTAATAATCTACTATTGAACTTATATACCGTAATATGCCTAATTACTTTGGTAAAGTATTTGATTATCCTATTATAAGCCGAAGTTATGTGCTTTGGGAACGAATTATCAATCGGCCGATCCAACCCATTCGTACGGGCTCGATCTTCGTATCCCATGATACAAACACATGGTTTAGTGTCTTTAGGGGGCCATTGAAAGCCGGTGTAATTACGTGCCAGGGCTTTTTCTAAAAGCCCATTCACCCACGATTCAACTATTATATAGAATCTCAAGAGAATTTTTTTGATAGGGAGGTTATTGGTATCCGGTGGTGAATTATGGAGTGCCTTCAAAAAGATCGAATACAATCATATTTATAAAAAACAAATTTAAATCTTAACACATATTTAAAGGTTGTAATCGAGTTAGGGTGATAATTCGTATTCACGGGTCGTAATTGTGTAATGTCAACTTAAGGTATTATACTAAACAGCTCAATCCGAACACGACTTATTTAATAATCGCGTCAGGAACTCTCAACAGTAACCCTATTTGTTTATTAAACAGGTTGCACGTTTAATGACCTATTTATATATATATCTATATATATATATATATATATATATATATATAATTTAAATTATTAATAATACTCAATAAAATAATAAATACTAAAAAAATATAAGTTTTAATCAATTAAATTACTATATAGTTTTTAGTTTACAAAAGATTAAATTATAAGACACAAGTTTATATAGTAATTTAATAACTTAAATAAAAATTTATTTACGATATATATAGTTAAACGTGTATAAACGGGTTGAACTTCTCAACCCAAACACGACACGATTAGTTAAACGGGTTAATCGCGTCGACCCGTTTATGACCCGAACTCGTTTAAGGTTAATTAAAACCCGTTTAATTCATGTCGTGTTCGAATCGTATTAGTAGGTTGTGTCAATTTTTGCCATCCCTAAGTCTAGTGAATTTATTTTAATATTTTGTTGTGAATGACTTAGTATATGTATAACCAAATCACGTGCAAGCACAGATCTACTGTAGGCTCAGCTGGATGTCCGCCCAATACTGAATTTTTTTTTGTATTATTTACTCTTAAATTTTTAGTAATTTTTATATTATATACCTATAAAATTTTGAAGCTATCCTTACTAAAATTACATAAAAACCCCACGTATAAGTTTGTCCCACGCATAGTTTTGTAAGTCTGTCATTGTGTGTGTTTGTGTGTGTGTGTGTGTGTGTGTGTATATATATATATATAACTGGCATGCAGTTGTACTGTGATTGCCGTATGCGTCTGGTTTATAAAGACTCCATACAATGTGTTGGACATGAATATGATCCTTGCAATGGTGATGGCATATATATATATATATGTCTGTTCATATATGTATATGTCTGTTCTAGCTAGGAGGAAAGTGTACAGTGTGCATGTGACCGGGCCCTACATAGCCTTACTGTTTTTTTTGTAGCATTTCCTACATTTATATGTATTGTCATTGTACCATTAACCAAGTGGTTGGTTTTGGTGGCTTTCTAGAAGTATGATAATTTTGTAAGTCATTATGTGGTTGGATCCATTCAGATTTTTCTTGGAGAAATGCACAAGAATGGGACCAAACTTTGCAAAAAATATTGTGTGTGTGTATATATATATATATAAAAGAACACTCACACAATTAAACAGTGTCTCATATGGCCTTAAGTCGACAAATTCTTCTCCCACTATACACATTCCCAGCATTAAAATATAATTAACACAGTATTTTTTCCCCTCCGTGACATGGCCGATTACAACTTTTCTTATAATTAACCTTTTTGTTTTTTTTTTAAGAATCAATTGCTTAATAGGAGGTGACTCATTTGTCTGCGTTTGCAACTTCACATGTGCGGGCATGTGCAAAGCAATTTATTGCACGTGCATGAGTACCCATGTGTCATTCCAAATATATGAGTCCACTTAGTGGAATGATTGAACCTTGAAAGTGCCATTTTTCCGACCATCACCATAGTTGTGAATAGATTACTCATCTGAAACCCAAAATTCAAGGTATTTGACCTAATTTTTGATTGGACCCCACCAAGTAGGCCTTAATTCACTTCCTGATGCCATTGAAAATGAGAGTTATATTATCCTTAAATATTCTTCTTTTTAAAGTTCATTAAGTAAACAAGGAAAACTATTGCCTTATCACACGAGGGCTAATTTATATCACCCACTTTTTGGTTGTAATATATAGTTGGTATTAACACCTTATTTTGTCCTTCAATATTTAATTTTAGCAGAAGAAATGAAAATGAATAGTCGATCGGTTATTTGGCACAAAAATAAATTACTTGATCACCAGTTCACTTTGTACAATCTTTGTAACATGTAGTTGGTATTTATTGCCTACTTTTGTCTTTTAATATTTAATTTTAGCAGAAGAAATAGAAATGAAAATTGGTAGTGTGTTGCAGGATAGTCCTCCTGTTTTGTAGATACTGTAAGCGTCAACAGACATAACTCTCATGTGTTTGTACAAGCTTTCCTCTTTTCGGCTGTGGTTTGGTTATGATGCTATCTGTCATGACCAGTGTAGATATTGTCTACTTTGCACACTTTCTGTATTCACGATTTTTAAAGCATGTCTGTGAAAATATCCATACACATAAGTGCCAACAATTTTCCATAGTCGATGTTGCACTTCATATTTAACCCCTCAAACACAAATTAAGTTAATAGGTGTCTAGATAGATTAATATATATGATATATATATATATATATATATAGAGAGAGAGAGAGAGAGAGAGAGATATATATATATTAATGATCGTGATTTTTTTTGCAAGTCAAAACTTGTTAAATGTTAGATTAATAGATGAAGAGAGTCAAAACCTGGTACTCCATAATTCATGAGAGGCATTAATGATCTTGATTAATATATAAAAGAATCAATTTTATAATTTACAATGTATATATATAAGATTATTATTCCATATAAGAATTAAGTAATGTCATAAAGGAGATTCAATAATTGATAAGGAATGAAACCTGGTATATATATGTGCTAGCTTAGCATATAAAGGGCTTTGTATATAAAGGGACTCGAGAGATTGATGCTTGGTTTATGCAAGGATTGGATGAAAATAGGTAGTGGACGTGGGAGGGAGGATTGGAAGATTACAAAAATGACAGTGAAGATGTCTGCATATTACAAGGCAAAGGTCAGATGATGGAGGTACACACAGATATATAGATACCCCTCACTAATTGTCCTTTGCAAGGGACTCCCACATTGGAGACAGCAACATTTCCTTGGTGCTTCACATGGAAACTATCCTTCCCGGAGTATCTATACATGCCTACTTGATGTTTCTAATTGAGTTTTTTAAATCTCTATTTTAAGAATATTTGACATTTTCATTTTCACTATTTCATAAAAAAATAAAAAAAATAAAAAAAACCTCTCTCACACACACAAGGCTTACGAGATTTGGAAATGGGGAACCGAATACAAACCTAACTTTTGAAATTATTTGTACGGAACTCAGCAGACTCCTTTGAGCATGTAGTTGTTACGATTGAAGCTCAGTAACCAGAGTCTTTTAACAAGAGAATGGTTCCTCGCTTGACTATCAAGGCTTATGAGATTTGGAAATAGTGAACCGAATACAAACCTAACTTTTGACATTATTTGTATGGAACTCAGCAAACTCCTCTGAGCATGTGGTTGTTGCGGTTGAAGCTCGGTAACCAGAGTCTTTTAACACGAGAATGGTTCCTCGCCTGGTTATCAAGGCGTGCTTATGAGATTTGAAAATAGTGAACCAAGTACAAACCTAACTTTTGACATTATTTGTACGGAACTCAGCGGACTCCTCTGTATCTGTTGCAGTTGAAGTTCAGAAACCAGAGTCTTTTAAGTAGCAAAAGATGTGCTTAAAGCTGAAAACGGTCAATGAATGGGACATCAATTAATTCATTTTAGGTAACCTTACTATTTCATTTCATATCAAGATAGAAATTTTGGCATTTCCTGCAAAGATTTGCTTTTAACTTGGTGTTGATTCATAAGGTACGGTATGAAGTTACATATCACAAGTAAAGACCATGCCAAGGGTACCTCGCCTGGTTATCAAGGCGTGCTTATGAGATTTGAAAATAGTGAACCAAGTACAAACCTAACTTTTGACATTAACTTTTGACATTATTTGTACGGAACTCAGCAGACACCTTTGTAGTTGTTGCAGTTAAAGTTCGGAAACCAGAGTCTTTTAAGTAGCAAAGGATATGCTTAAAGCTGAAAACGATCAATGAATGGGACATTAATTAATTCATTTTAGGTAACCTTACTATTTCATTTCATATCAAGATAGAAATTTTGGCATTTCCTGCAAAGATTTGCTTTTAACTTGGTGTTGATTCATAAGGTACAGTATGAAGTTACATATCACAAGTAAAGGCCATGCCAAGGCAACAGTACTGGCTAAAAGGACATCTGATGGATGCTTAATGAAAAACTGTGACCTTTGTAACACTGCATGTCACCCATTTCTGTCATCAAGATTTACACCGGATCACCATTGAAAACAAAATGGACTTTCCTGCCATGCAGATGTCAAATCACATGATTGTAATAAGAAGGTACTGTTGGCGTTGGATTAAATTACGCATCATTTTCTCATGGCGAATAGCATAAGTACTGTAGTACTCTACAATTAGGGAAACTCGTGGCATATCTGGTTTGCCTTCAACCAAAAAAATCCAACTTTGGATGAGTATTTGCATTTCTTGTCGTCAGGTCATGCTGTCGATTCGGGCTGCAACCAAGAATAAATCATGAATCATGATAGAAAAATAAACGTGTCACACATAAATAATATAGAGTTTGACGTGATTCCACATAAGCTTTTGAAATGATTTACTATGCAAAATTAAGAAGATTTTAAGTCCTAGTTTTCACCATCTCTATTTTTACGATTTCGGTGTCTCGCTGATTCCACCTCAAACCTTAATCGTCTTACAGAGTACAAGACACCACATACCTTATATTACGAAGGTATACTCTGAATGGATCACTCGTAATCAAAGGTTTTTTTTTTTATTTTTAATTTTTATTATTATTATTTTTTATCACTTTACCAGTCACTTGCGCTCTCCCCTTATTGGTTCTTGATATATATATATTTTCATATTCTTCTATTTTTTTTTTTTTTTTTTTAAGTCATATCTCTCCTGAAAAAAAGAAGAAAAGAAAAATAAATAATCTCTCTCTATACCTAGGACCACCTAAATTCCAGTGCCAGATTTACTCGATCTTGTCGATTCTTTCAGAAAGATGCCAAAACTAAGATGATAATAGAAAAATCAGCAAATTGAGATAATGCACAAGAGAAATAATTAAGTTCAAAAATTAAAAAAAAAAAAAAAAGGTAAAAATTCAGAAACTTATAAACAACTTTTATCGAAGGAATCCCCAAACAAATACTTCCAACCCAAATCAATCAACAAGCAAGCAAACAAAGGCCCCCCATAATAGAGATGTGAGGGAACACCTCTCCCCAGTTTAAATTTTTGTTTTTTCAACAAAACAAATTAATGTATTAGCTACACAATTATTCATTACTCATCCCAAAAAATCAAAATAAAATAGAGCTCAATAAACTAGACATATATTGTTTCTTAAGAACATTAATTACATTGAAAGTTTGAACTATTACATTTAGGAAAAAAAAAAAAGTTTGAACTATTACATTCTTTTTCTTCCTGGCATATTCCCATGGAACTTTGAGAGCGTGTACAGTTTCTTGGCATGTAGATCGAGATTAAGACTGGTACTAAAAAGTTTGAGGGCGCAAACAGTTTCTTGGCACATGAATCTCGTACAATGACCTAACCTTTTAATTGTAATTTTTTGAACACTTTTTTAAAAAGTGCATTAGGTAAAGTAACTAAAAAAAGAAGAAGAATTGAACCAATATAATTGCACGTTTGTAAGATATGTTTTAATTAATCAGCAAACTAAAGTCCATTAAACAAACTAGCGTCAGCAAATGCCAAACAAGTGCTTAGAATAAATTCTTTAAAGTCACAGCAGGCTGCCTTTGTTTTTTGAGAATTATTTTTTCAACAACTATTTTTTGCATTTTGTGGCTCAAGTCAACACTTCATTCCTTCCAATGATGGCCTACTTAATTGGTTTTGTTTTCAACGGATGCATTGACATTAAGTATAGCTGATCATCAAATTAACGTGGTGTCCAAAATTCTGATTTAAATTGAGAAAGAGATGAGAGAGAGAGAGAGTCACTGTACTTGAATATCACGAGACTTCAACAAAGAGCATTGTAGCTTAAACATATTAATGTTGTTTGGATAGATGGAAATCAATTTTCCAACTAATTAACTTAATTTTATATATATATATTTATTCCTTATACTTCCACATTCATTTATTTTATTTTTTGATTTATTTTTATCAAATTTGTGATTGCTTTATTTGTCAGAAACCATTGATTAAAAACAAAATGAAATTGTTAGACGCTTCTGGTTTTAGTTCTGAAATTAATTAAAGAATATATATCTAAAAAAAAAGTTTAACAAATGCTCTTGAGGTGACAACATACCAAAGAACTGTTCAAATAATTTTTGTGAGTTGGTGACTCATTCAAATTATTAGTGGAAAATAAGATTTGACAAATCTCTGTTTGGTGATAATCTAATCTTAAACCACAAAGGTCAATCCCTCTCTCTCTATATATATATGTATATATCAGATGCTGATGAATTTAACTACCTCAACTCCCTATGGCCCACAACCCAGATTCCAAACTCAGTTCCGTCTTTTTCAATATTTATGGTGATTTATGGACTATATATATCATCATCACCTTAGAAGGGCTTCTCCATACTCCTCACCTACCTCTTGCTTTTTCAGATGGAAAACTCTATGACTTCTATGAACAAAGCACTTGTTTCAGAAGCAGCTGTAGACTCCCATGAGGAGGAGGAGAGTAGTTGGACTTATTACTTCCAAGATTTCTTGGGCAACAACCACAATATTAATGAAGACAACAATACTGCTTCCTTTTCTTCTCGATCTGCCGATCAAAACCCTTCTCTTGTTTCTGATGCTGCTTCTAATTTACTACTATCAAAGAAGTACTTCCCCAACAACGATCAGGTTGTGGGCTTTTCTAAAAGTAAAAAATTGAGCTTCAACAAGAGGAAAGCTAAAGGAGCTTTGTTTGATGCTGCTTTGGAGGATACTGCTAGTTCTCCTCTAAATAGTCCTAAGGTAAGATCTCTCTCTCTTTCTCTCTCTCTCTCTATATATATATATATATATATATTTGTTTAACATACAAATAATGATATGGTAACAAAATTTATATTTTTCTAAATAGTGCTTTGGAGGATATTTTTTATTTTTATTTTTTCAATAAGTTTTTTAGTTTCATTTTATCAATCTATTTTTTTTTTTTTTTTTTTCCTAACTGGGACTCACACACACTGCCTCCACTAAGATTCGAACCCTGGTTTTTTGATTTTTATCAATCTATATATTTACTTGTATACTCTTAATTAGTGGGGTTTTAATTTTTTTTCTTTTTTATGTAAGCATTAAAAAAAAGCCTAATTATAATACTTTGATGTAGATGTTTTTATCTTATTTTTTTTTTTTATCAATCTATATGACAGGTTTGTGGTTTGAATCAACTTGAAGTGAACCGGAAAGAGAGAGGTGATACAAACATTTCCAGGGTAAAAATAAAATTAAAGAAAGGAAACAATTATCGATATGTGGTTATTTGATATATATTGCCCAAGTAAATTAATTTAATTTGATGCATGTTGTATGGTTTTATATATTATAGATATGGATAGATGAATAGATTTTGCCTAACAAAGTTGACTTTGAATACTGGATTTAATTTATAGGAAAAATGCAGCAATTCTGGGAAGACAGATGAGGAGAGAAGTGAAATGGGTTTTGGTGCAGGAAGAGATAGTGACTATACAAATTTGAAGAAGAAGGGTCTTCGCTTAGTACCCGTGTCTATGTTTGACAACTATCTCGTTTAATATTCATTCATCATCCATTAACAACTCTCTCTTTCTCTCTCTCAACCTGTAAAATTGCACTAATAAAGTCATACTAAATTGACAAAAGATCTTGTGATATTAAGAGTACACTTTATTAATTTTCTTCACGTGCAAATCTGCAATAAATGAATCACATATGATATATGTGCAATATATATATATATATATATCTATTGTTAACATTTAAAAGAGGCCTTCCAATTTCCTGCCAAATCCTTTAGTTACCAATGTGAAAGCAAAAGCTGAATTGTAGTATAACGAAGGAAAAGAGAAATCTTAAATACAAGAAGGAAAAAAAAAAAAAAAATGAAGAGAAAAAGAAAAAAAGAGAAGTACTAGCTAGTGATTTACATTTCATGGTAACATAAGAAACATATATTGACGTACCGATTAAAAGTCTGTACTATACAAAAAGATGAAAGGTGTAAGCAGGGGTAGAGTCAGTGTGTGTCCAGAGGGGGCACATGCCCCTCTTGGCCACCTGCCTATTATAAAATATAGTAATTTTTATTTTAATTTGTATATTTATAAGGAAATTTCTATATAATACCCTCCCTAAAATTTTAAATTTCTAAAATTGTCTTTTAAAATTTTCTTTCCTTTTTCTTTTGCACTTAATATTCCTTTGATTTCCTTTAAAAAAAAGTCAAATTTTCCTTCTTTACTCAAACTTTAAATTTCTTTTTTTTCCTTTCAAATTTCTCATTTTTCTTCCCTTTTTTTTTTATTCTTCTTCTTATTATTTTTTTTTTGACCCCCTACTTCTTAATATTCTTCTTTTTGCACTTAAAAATGATGTATATAATATGTACTTTTTTTTGTTCTTCTTATTTAAATTATAATTTTTTTTGTTTTTTTTTTACACTATGCCCCCTCTGAATTAAAATCCTGGCTCCGCCCCTGGGTGTAGGTGAAGATGAAGACATGATTACATGAGACACGGTATATTTTTTCAAATCAAGAGCAACTATATTTCTGTCTAAGTATTAATATTTTCTGGAGAAAAAAAAAAAGAAAAAAAAAAAAGAAAGAGAAGGTAGCTAGAGTTCTGTTCATTGCATCAAATATGGAATATGAAATGATATGCTAAACAAAACTCATCCTCCTCACAGAAATAGTACTCGAGGACCATTATAGCAGAATAAAACTAAGTGGGATGGATAGAGCTTAAGGACTAAGGTTGACATTCTGCTGCAACCATACATATTGATAAAAGAAAACTATTATAAAAATAAAAAATAAAAATAAAGTTTTATACAATTCTAATTTGAATGGGTAATACCCACCTTATGAAAGAGCTTAATGAGGTATCCTAAACTTTAGTAGCCAAAAATACCCTGAATACCATATCGTTTCCTCACATGCAGGCTTTACAACCCTACACACACACACACACATATATATATTGTATTTGTGGGTGATGCCTTCGGACCTGAGCTATATATATATACATGTTACCTAGCTTCCACGCTGAATTTGCAAAAAACGTGGGTACTACTGTTGCCTCTCCTCTGTTTATCTAATGTTGCATGCAGTTCCTAAGACCGCAATTAAATTTGTTTTCTGAAACAAATCATAATTCTTTGTTGGGATTTCTTGAAGATAATAACCAGCACTATCTTAATTTCTTGGCTCATCAGTTGTTTTTTCGGGCGCAATTGTTGTCACTGTCAATTAAATGCTTATGTTTTGGTGGATGGCACTTACCACCTAAAGTTCAATGTAATGTCTCTTTCATTTTTTAAAGCCAAATACTTATCAGAGTAATATTTAATACAAACACATCACATTTAGGTTAAATTAAAAAAAGTTGAAAAGAAAATAGAAATGAAAATCAGGTGAATCTGAATTTATTTTTCTTATTTATTATTTATCTAATTTTATAATTAAATAATACGTGTGTATTTATGATTGGACACAAGTAGGTAAGTATTATCCTAATTCAAATCAACATTAATTATGTTATTTTTTTTAATTGTATTTATGAATTATAACTAATACATAGTTTTCTGTTTGTTTTAACATTGTAGATGAATTGCCATGTAAAAATAATTCTAAACAAACAATTATATATATAAACTTTAGAGTCCGCGTCATTAAAAAGAAAAAAGACGTGGAACAACGATATAATTGTTTTAACAAATAATATAAAACTCTAATTCATTTTAAACAGTAATATGTCCTATCTTGAGACAAAAAAAAAAATCGTACAAAACACAAAGAGCAATCCAACTATTCAAATATCCATCACTGCTTATTATCAAGTTAACACATCCTTTTGTGCTAAAAAAAATAATATAAATAAATAAAGCATCCTCTTCAACTTGGACCTCCAATCCAAAATATGTTGAAATTAAACATCAAAATCAATCCGGCTTATAATAATTGGGAACCCAAACCCGTACCCAAATCTAATCCAGATTGAAATACCAACCATCAAATGCGAAATCTAAATATTGACTCCCATATAGTTTTGGGTCAACAACTCGACACAGTCGAGGACACGATTTAACTTGACAGGTCAACATAAGATTTGCATGCACACCAATTCTTCGTGAGACTTTAAATGAATTTGGATGCATTCGACTTCTTCATCGAATCACTCATTTTTTAATTAATTTGATTCAACATGAATCCACCCGAAACAATGAATCAACAAATAAATAAAAGCCAAGGCATCAACCTATACAAGTGACCCATAACTTTGCACAAAATTTGAAATGTATACATGAGACCATCAACTAATATAAGCGGCCATAATTTTGCAAAATCATTGAGAAACGAATAAAATGGAACTAACTCATTCTTATTTCAATCAGTTATGATGACGACAACATCACAGGAGTTTCACAAAATTTATGCCTTGGCACATTGGGTTAACTTTCGAAATACCCTATCATCACCATAGTCACAATTATCATCATCATTAATTTATTATTCAGCTTGAACCTTTCAGTTATCAAGAAATTCAGCTTTCTTTTGGTATTTAGCTCTGTTGTTATGAACGACTCTATTTTTGATCGGGAAGCTTGTCTAATAACTCTGGTATCACCTCAAATAGATCGCCTACAAGTCCATAATCGGCAACCTGCAATTCAAGAGTCCATTAAAATGGGTCATCAAAATCAATGCAACCGAATTCATTCGGACACATAAAACCAACATCAGCTTCTCTTTAAGAAAGTTCAAAGCAAAGCAAGTACATAGCAAGCATTTGGCAGGTTGATATAAATGATTTCCTTGGCTGAGTGTTGGAGGATGCATTGATTTATCAAGTGGGGCTCATCGAGTACAGTTCATATTTCATATGTTTGTGGGAGCAACTGATCATAAGACCATAGCATAATTTTTAAATTCACTTGTGCTCATAATGTGCATACAATGGTGTGCAAACAACGAAGGAAAGCATAAAGTCACTTACAATGCGACACGTTAAGCCTATGTTTAGTAGAAGGGAATAAATAGGGGATAAAGGGAGAGGAGGTATGGAACAAGTGTACACCATTCTGTAGAGACACGAGGAAGATGGGGAGGTTGGGAGGATACCCTCCCCTTTCCTAGGAAGCCTCTTCCATCACCCCTCTCATTTCAATCCATTTTCCCATCCCTCCTACCAAACGGAGCATAAAATCAGTACACTCAATTGGGTAACTTGGTTAAATAGCTCTATCATCCAGGTGCACGGGGATCACGATCAGAACTAAGAAGTGAGGATGTACAAATCGCATCAATACACTATTTTCATGCGTTTCCATCTCACAATCAGCTCTTCATCTACCAAGGCCAATTCATTTCTTTACCGCCAAAAATTTTGGATGGCTAAATTTAGCATTTGAAACAGCAATGCATAGGACTGCCAGGTACTGTTCGAATATAGGGGACTGGAGTTTTAGGTAATCATGGTTAACTCTAGTGTGTGCATGCGTTTGAGAGAGAGAGACAGAGAGAGAGAGAGACAGAGAGAGAGCATATGGTTCAAAAATAACCTGGAATATGGGTGCATCTCCATCTTTGTTTATAGCAACAATGACTTTAGAATCTCTCATGCCTGCTAAGTGTTGAATGGCTCCAGAAACACCAAAAGCCATGTACAATTCTGGGGCAACAATTTTTCCTGTTTGGCCAACCTGACAAGAAAATGAACCTTAATTACAACAAGGATAATAAAGGATTCATGAGACCTGCAGCAGCTCAGTGGACGAATTTAAACAAACAATATAATGCAAGTGATGCTTCACAATTATTTGAATCCCTTTCAGAGTTTTTACCTGCACTTGAATATATTCGTCATTGACTTGCATTACTAGCATGACAAACTCACTTGAACTTAAAATTAGAAAACAGTTCAATTTTTAAGAACACATTTTTAACCAGCTTTTCTACACGTGTAAACCAAAAAACTTACTGCCAAAAAATATCAATGGCTGTACAAAGGCATTAAGCTTTGAATATTTTTTATATATGATACTATTGAGTTCAAACTTGCCACAACTTTCTGAATGGATGAAAAGTCGTGGCACTTTTGTTTTCTGGCTTGCAGATGTGACAATTAAGTAGGAAAAGGCATTTGCCTTGAAAAGAGGCAACAACGTGAGATTAGTAGAGAACAAATGGTATGAAAGCGTTTTTTCGATGATAGCCTTTAAAGTTCGAAAATACTACTGTAGGTTTTACCTGGAGATCATTTGGAACAAATCCCGCATCAACGGCAGCACGAGTGGCACCAACTACACAAAAGAGAAGAATAAATTAAAAATTGACACAACACCAAAAGTCGAATACTATAAAATACAGACTTTACCGTCAAAAGAAATCTAATAACGTAATACACATTTGAAAAGAAAACGGTCTATTGACAATAATGGCATATGCCTGTTGTTTCAGGATAGAAGGCCAACAAATTAGAAATCCTTCAATCTTTTTGTATGAAGAAAATTGGAGAACAAGTGGATTTTTAAAGAAAAAAAAATGCTAAATCAACGAGCAGGTCAGCAAAGTTTCTTTTTAGAGAGAGAGAGAGAGAACGCTAAAGAATCTATCACGTGTATTTTAGAGAAGAACCTGCTGCCCCAAGTTTCTCAGCAAGCTTCTCTATCATTTTGAAGTTCTCAGCATTTTTCAGTCCACGCCCTCCAGTAATTACAATACGTGCATTTCCAAGATCTGGACGCTCTGCGTCTTGAGAGGTCTGTTTTATATATCTAGATTTACCAATTGCATCTGCTAAGAAAAGACAAGAAGGTTCTCGTTATTGCACGGGTAGGTTTTTAGTAGCCAATAACCCATCAAATAAATCTGAGATGCAAGAAACATAAACCACCCAAAATATCCAGTAAGAAGCAAGAACCATTACTTAGATAGTTGCAAATAATATTCACTCATCAATTCTTCTAATTAACTCACATACAGGGTAAAGTCTAGATCACAATAGTGTCACTGCATTAAAAAATAATAAACAGACCTTCATTAAAGGTTGAGAGATCCACCTGGGAAATTGGTGCCACATTAGATTTTGAATCAGCCAACACCAAATCCACTGGAAAAGACGTTGATCTAATGGTCAACATACAAGGCTCAGAAGCAGTGTATTGAACTGTACAAAGAGCATTTCCAGCATAGATTGGCCTGCCATATACAAAAATCTCCACTTAGCTTAGACACAAAACCAATATTTACTGTGATTAAGGAATAACGATACTGGGCTGGTGGCTGGCACAAATGGCCACAGAGGCTTGATGTTTCAAACTTTCAATGCATCCATGGTGGGTTCGATAATGGGTGGAGGCTGGGTGTGTTGCAGAGGTGGTGGTGGGTGGTGGCAATTCTGGAGGCATGAAAATTTTATTCACCCATGACGAAGGTTGGAAGTTCCCAATTATGAAAAAAAAAAAGAAAGAAAGTTGGAAGTGGATTGTAAAGTTGTAAATTCCACGGGGTAGAGAGACAAGTAGATTGATAGAAAGATTGAGATCATACAAAAGATAGGAGCTAAGAATTGTTTGATTCTTTATTTGCAAAGTTCAACCTCAATCTCAATATTATTTTTTAGGGTTTTTTTTTTCATATTATCTTTTACTGTCAATTAAAATAAAATATAAATTTCCAGCCAGATTTTTAGGTTCCATCAATTACTTGAATGGGTGTTTCCCAAAAGTTGTGTTTTTCATTCTCTGAGCAGAGAGAGTATGGGTGTAATGTACAGTGACCAGCCAGAAATGATACACAGATGGAACTACACGAGGCAGAAGAGGACCACCAGGAGGTTACGATGAACAAAGATTATCAACCAAAGGTGCTGCGACACTCGCTATGATGCACCATCCAGAGGCATTACTGAATCTCAAGAAGGGCCCTGAGTATAATGTATGGAATATGATCTATTTATGATACACAGGGAGTATCTACCAATAATGTACAGATGACCCAGTTACACACACAGAAGCTAATGGTACTAAATCAAACTTGATTGAGAGAATTTAGCTTGTTTTGATGGTCAAATAATAGTTATTTTTAAATAATGAGAGAAATAATAGCAAGACAAGAAAAAGGAGTTATGGGTTTTGTGGTGAAATTTCCATAAACCATATATATTATATACAAGATATGACTATTTTTAGTATAGACTGAATTTTGCAAATGAAGAGAGTGTCCCATTAATTTTACAGGCTTTCTTTCGTGTTTTTGTCCACGAAGGGACAAATCTGCGGAATTCACAACAAAGAACGTATATATAAGGACATAATGAAAGAAGTCATGAAGTGACAGAGAAGTGAAGAAGAAACCAGAAATGGTTACCTAACCACTGATGAACTGTTCTTGTAATGTCAATTGTCTATGATCGTTATCTGGATTGTTGTCATGGTATTTGGAGACTACAAGAATCTATAGCTGCATCAGAAGGACCCAGAGATCGATATCTTACAATGGGTTATAGTTAGTTCAAAGACAAATTTTAAGGATTAAAGCTTAATCTGAGTTCTTTATTCTCTTTTGTTTACCTGCTAGCAGTGAGAGGTTCCACATGTTATAAGTATGATACAAAATAATGCATTTTGAATGGTGTACCATGATTTTATACATATATACTTATGTGTACCATGATTTTATACATATATATTTATTCATTTTAAGAATGATAGTTTATAGGTTATTGTTAATGCTCAATAATTACTAACTAAACTGTTTTCATATTTCTGCAAACTAAACTGTTTTCATATTTCTGCAAACTAAACTGTTTTCATATTTCAAGTTTTTTATGCTTCTCAAACGGTAATCATAAATTCAGCATCTCAATTATGACAGTGAAAAACAAATTTTCAAATTTACGAATTCAATATTTAAACACAATCACTTAGAAAATAGCTCTTAAAATTTTCAAAACTCAATGTTTAGTTTTATCAGACAGCACTTCAGACATGGGATGTTGGTCCTTGTGTTGTGGTATATTTCAGGTGAGAGAGCACGTATTCTTTTGAGGGTAAGGAGCTCCACATTAATAAGTTCAAGGGAGATTGAGTACTATGCTTTCATGGCTAGTGGAGCCGTTTACTTTTCTTTTTATTTATTTGCAGAGTTACAATGATGGTTGCACCTTCTTGTAGATATGAAGACGTTTATTTATTTACTCTTCAAGTATTCTTGGAATGCGCCTCATGCACCTGCTTTTCTTCATGTCCTTCAGTGGATTTTCTTAAAGGTTCTGCGATCACCTTCAGATTGCTATTAACTAAACTCCAAAAAAAATTCTAAGTGAATTTTCTAACATGCAAAAGGCTAGTGCGCTAACTTGCTTTCAGATACAAAATAAACAACTCTTCAGATAGAAAGTAAGTTCATTAATCCATGATGCAGAAGAGACTCTTTCACAAGGGGCACATTAATAAAATTACCTCACAAAGAGATTAGAACCAGAAATTTTAGTGACATCAGTAATTGGAGAAACATCCAGAAGGGCAGCCGCACGCGGTAGTATGTTTTTCCCAAATGATCCTGAAGCAGCAATTATGTGCGAGTAGCTACTTTTCTGCTGAATCAGGTGGACTAATTTAGCCCATGGTTCTGCGAGAGGATATGTAAATTTATCTGAATCAGCCACAAGCACCTAGAAAAGAAACATGCAACGAAATCAGACAAACAATTTATGTTTCGGATCCAAATAAATGTTCTTTCCATTTTTTAAATCTGAAAGTAGAGTTTTGTTAGAGCGCTCTGTCTTAGAAAATAATTGAGGACAATCATTTCTAAAGGTTGTCAATTCGTTTAATTTCAATACTCACATATCACAGTATTCAACTGTTGGAAAAAAAAAAAATGATGTTCACAGGTTTATTTAAACAAATGACGTTCTCTATACCCCATTCTCTGTTTAACTCATAAAACATATTAAAGCCATTTCATGCATTACTTTTTCTACACCAATTTCTTTATTTAATTCAAAAACATGTTGAACATATTTGATGTGTCATTTTATAACCATATAAAAAATCCATATAACTGCTTGAGTAACAGACTCAATTATGTCTAGTCATCAACAGCACAAACCATTGATAAATGGAATGGAAAGAGTGAATGGTAGCATAGAGCAACAGTTTTATAGGTAAGTATTAGAACAATGAATGAAAGCAAAGAGCAACAGTTTTATAGGTAAGTATTAGAACAATGTCAGTTGCACAACATATATGAACTACCTGAGAAATGGATGGATGGCACGAGGCGGCATGCTCAGCAACCTTTTGAAGGGAAGGACCTGACCCAGCAAGTAGCAGAGAAACAGCATTGTCCTCACTTAAAGACTTTGCAGCCTCCACTGCACTCACTGATGAAGCCTTGATAGAACCACCTTCATGTTCGGCCAAAACCAATGTGCTAAGCTATTTAGAACAAAAAATAAAATCAAAATACATATGATGGATAAATGGATCATACAATTAATAACTAAGGCACTAAATGGTCGTTTCTTTTTTAAACACATTTACCTTTTTGCTTTCAACTTTGGATGCAAAACAGGAGTAAAGGCAAGTTTTGTCTACTGCAAAGCAAGAATAATATTCTACTGAAACAAGAAAGCATGTGCAGGCTGATGTTGACATCAACCGTTACAGTAGTGTTGGTGGCAGAGGTGATGGAGATGCCAGTGATAATTATGTGGCAATGGTGCGTGAATATGGTGGCAATACCAATGTAAAGGTGCCCATGACTACATTTACAGTGCAAAGTCTGTGGGTGCAGCGTTAGCTGTGATAGTCTTAGTGGCAGTACTAATTGGATTAAGTGGACCAAGTGGTGAAATTGATGGTTTGTGGCAGGATGAGTTGGTGGCACTTTGATGAATGATGATTGTGATCAAACTGGTAATGATGGTAGTGTAGAGAAAAGGAGCAGTTTGTTTCCATTTTTTTTTCTTAGGATTCCGTGCAGAAGCCCTTTCTTCTTCTCCAGTGCATGTTTGCTTCCAAATGCAAGAACAGTATGTTGTTTGATAAAACTGAAAATTAAATACAAAAGATTGAACAGCTAAATTGTAAGTGCTGAAGTTTTTAGAGCTAAATACTTAACTACAACAACAACCGCCAAGCCTTTTCTCAATTACTTGGGGTCGGCTACATGAATCCCATGTTTCCATTCCGTTCTATGTCAGTCCTCATGCTATCATATATCTCTTTACAAACTCTACTCACGTAAACTTTAGTCTTCTTCTTCCCCTAGTTTTAGAGCTAATACTTAACTGAGGAAATTATTTGATATTTCTTTGAAATTCAAGTGTTATTGATAAGTGTCCTTCACTTAAAACTTTAACTCACTTTGAGTGTTTTTAGTGGTTCAGAAATTGTGTTATCAAGTGCATGCACTTAATTGAATATCAGTAAAATTGTTCACTGAATTGAGTTATCAAACAGAACTAAGTACTTAATTAGATAATCATTTGATTTATTCAAAATATCAAAGCACTCTAAAATAATCACGAGTCAATCAAATATGCTTCTTACGACTGTGTATCGAACATATTAAGGTTCAATAAGCAGCAAAACAAGAATGAGTTATCGTTTATCTTAAAGCAGTAATTACAAAGATGATCGTGTGCTTTGATTCACCACATCAATTTCTCATGCTGAATTCATTTTATAGTTTCATAACCCACAAGTATTCTCCAAAAAAGAAATAAAAAAAAAAAAAAAAAAACTAAATCAAGCTACAACGGATCAGTAAAGCAATTAATCAAAATAATTGAAACCCATTAAAAATAAAGGAAATTTTTCACTACGTAATAGATTGTGTGTATAAATGTAATATTGATTTGGAGTACCATATATATATCAAAAATCTTGATTTGGAGTCCCATAAGAGATAGAGAGGAAATAGGAACTCAGGAAAAAGAACTTACAGATCTATAAACGAAGGCTGTGTGGGAAGTGATTCGACGCTTTCCGAAGCCTCTGAAAATCGCACGACTAGCCATTTCCCTTTAGCTCTTCTGAGCTTGGAGATGATGCCAACCTTTCTTTAAATGCAGTGGAGGAGTGCCACGACGTCGTATTGGAGGAGAACGAAAGCATTGAATGCCATGGGCCAGCCAATTGAAGGGTTGGATAAGTATGGGCAATTTTGTCAGGATAAAAAATATAATAATAATAATAATAATAATACTTCCTTTTTAATTGTCCATTGTCCATCTCGTAATTGTGAATTATACTAAAAAGAGATAGCGGGAATAATAATAATAATAATACTATAATCATAATACTATAATAGTCAGTGAAGTATGTAATTTTTATTTATTTATTTTTTAAAAAAATGATTAGGGATGACAAATTTTCCAACCCCGTCGAGCCCCGCCCCACCTATTTATAAGGGGAATGAGGATCCTCTTAGCTAAACGGGGATAGGAATGGGGACAAATTATGAATCTCCGCCCGGATTGGAGGCGGGGATGGGATAAACCAGGCCCGCCCTGTCCCCATTAAGTATAAAATTACTAATATACATTTATATATAATAATTTTATTACTAAATTATATTTATTATATATATGAAAATAAGGAAAAATGTGTTTTTTTTAATAAAAAAAATTATGAGGCCGGGCCCGGGCCAGGGAAGCGGATAAGGTGTTGAGGGCGAGAACGGGTATGGTGATTCTGAAAAAAAATTTAAGTTGGGATAGGGGCGGGAATAGGGAATGAAAAATGCACCGGAGATGGGGAATGAAATCCCCGCCTGTTGCCATCCCTAAAAATGATTACTCTAATCTATGCATTAAACTCAAAAAATAAAGGCTTTGATCTTTGATGAAATGAGATGAGTATCTTTGGATCTCACTTCCGGCCAGCCTTGATGGCTTCGACTTTCTGAATACACATAGTTTTAATAATATTATGAGCAACACACCTTTTAAGGGAGAAATTTCAAGTAATATTCTGCTTATATATCTTGGTACGACACAGATACTCTATGTGTACATAAGGGTTGCATGATTTCAACTTCTTCTTGTCTTTATAGAATTTAGTTATTATCCTAATTGAATTGATTAGAGTTCGGAAAAATCAGTGTAGTAAAAATTTCAATTTGTTCTTTTCTATATTTCATATTTTTTATAAACTTTATTTTATTTAGTATTATATTTCTTAATTTATGCATATAATAGTTGACATTTACTTCAACTTTTTTTTCTTTCAATTTTTTTTATTTTATAAAAAACATCATTTTTTAAAATTTGTTTTAAGACTCGGAGTTATTTCATAAAAAGTGCATGGTTATTAGGCAACCGATTAACAAAGTGTATGTAAATTGCCAGCCACGCACGGCAAGCTACGGTGTTTTGTTAGCGTCCATTCCATGATACGAGCTGACCACTATTTATTATTTTATTAATTTTTTTTTTATATATTTAACATTTTGAGTAAAAAAAATTAAAAATATTTTTATTTTTATTTTGCTTGTTTGTGTTTTCTTCAACAACTATTTTTTCAACCACTTGAAATCGAAATTTTTTTTTATATTTGATTGGAACAATTTTTTTAACAAATTTAAATTAACATTAATTTGTTCAAAAAAATTTCAAAATTTTTAGAAAAAAAATAAAATAAAAGAATCAAATTCATACATAAATTTTTTACAAGAAAAAAAATTAAATATAAAAGGAAAGAAACCAAAAGAAAAAAAATAAAATAAAAAAAACATTGCATTTCATAGCAATGTTTCTTTAGACGATTGACTGATTAAGGCACAGAAAATCCTATTTGTAAGTATTTTAATTTTTAAGAAGTAACTTTAGAGCTTTGCCCTATATTAACTACTTTTTCTTGTCAAAGTTCTTGTTTTTTTTTTTTTTTTTAAGTTCTGAAAAGATTTTCATCTTCAGAAAGCTTGGTATGCTGAAAAAAATTGTTTCAGATTCAATCTCTGCAGATTTCTAATCCAATTCAGATTTTTTTTTTCTTTTTTCTTTTTTCATGCCCAGATTCAAATTTTCTTGTAGACATAATTCAAATTGACAACCAAAAAAAATTGTTTTGCTGAAATTAAATGTAGATTACGGTGATTACCTCAAAATGCAATGCAAAATTTGTTACTTTATATTGAAAAAAAAAATTATATAAAGAAGATCATAAAAAATTTCACCAAATAGGATTTAGTTTGCAAAACAAGAATTACAGACCCTGATCAATGATTTAGAAAAAAAATTTAAAACAAAACCCATACATACAAGTTAGCAGTTGCAGAGAGAGGGGGGCAAGCTTGAGAGTTGAGAGACAGCGGCTGAAGCTTGCGAACGGCGAACCCGAACTGGAACAGCGGCCGATGGAAACTGAAAGATATGGGTTTTGATTTTTGGAACAATCTGAAATGTGCCGATATGGGTTTTGATATAGGTAATAGGTTTTGAACCTTTGATTCTTGCAGACAGATAGATAAACTAAAATATATGGGTTTTGAACTTCTGATTCATGTAGATTTTGTAGTTTGCAGTTGCAGAGAGAGAGAGAGAGAGAGGGCAAGTTCAGAGTTGAGAACGATAACAGAGATGGAGGCGATTGGGGAGGCTGAAATGATTTGCCCTAAAAATTTTTTTTTTGTCTGGTGGCCCATCATCCATGGGCTTATAAATTTAGAGGGCCCTATAAATTTTGAGGGCCTAGGCTTCCGCTTTTGTCGCCTTGGGTCAGGGCTTATTTGGCTTGGACCTTTATTTTAATATGGTGGCTGAGTTGACTTGGGCTTGATTGAATGGGCTAATTTTGAGGAACAATTTTTTTATTTTTAAGTCTGGGCTAAAATTAGCATAGTAAAAAATATATACACTATATTTTTTGGGTAGCTTAATGCCCTTTTATACCGGATGGCTTTAAGTTCATAACTGGAATCGGGATAGGTTTAAAAAGAGTGTCTTATAAATTATAATTTAATCCAATCCTTTTCTTTTTGCAGTATAAAAGATAGAACCATTTTAGAGCTTTGAAGGTTGAATATTAATTTTAGGTAACTTTACTTGAGTCGCTGTTGCTTTAATTTTGAAAACAATTTTATCAACCCATTAAATATGTACTTATGCTGATATGATTATGTTTGGGAAGATTCAGAATTTTAGATGGTGCATTAGATTAGTCCCTTCAAATAGTAAGGTGATCCCCTTCCGTTTATACCATAAATATAAAAGATGGGAAAGAAGAAAAACATTTAAAAAAAAAAAAAAGGAAACATTTATCCACACATCAATAAAACCAAACCAAACCAATTTATTTCCCATTATATATATATATGTACATTCTAAACTCTAAAGTACATAGTGGATCAGTAGCGATCCACTCAAGATATATAATACATAGTTCCATTTTATTTTTCAACTGCATGAACAAACAAACGCCAAGACCATCAACGTGAAAAAACTCGTTGACAAAAAAAAATGGTAAAAAAAAAACGTAAACCCAACTCTTAATTCAAAAGAAATGATATTGTAGCCACAAAAGCTCCAATGGAGCCAATAAAACTCAGAAGCATTGAAGAAGCAGCACTAGGAGAATAAGGTGATGGAGGAGGAGTTGGGACGAACTCTGATGATCCGACCGGAGGTGGAGGAGGAGAAGCAATGGTTGTTTGGTTAGTATTGGTTGATCGATCTGCCATTACAACCACCACCATCTTTTCATTCTTATTACAATTGTCTCTGTCTCCACTTATGAAGTAGAATGGCCCGGACTCATTGAACTGGAACAAAGTGTTACCATCCGAAGCTTTTTTAAGGTAAGTTGCTGTGTTGCAGTTGGTGTAATCATCGTTGGTAACATAAAGCACCGAGTCCTTGCCAGCAGGGTAGACAAACCCTGCAATTAATACAGCAATTAATATAAAGTCAATAAAATTAGGTGGAATTAAAACCAAAGCCCATTTTCTTCTTATTGCTGGTAATTATGCCATTATTTTATTTTATTTTATTTTTTAGTTTATCTTTGTGAGTTGTAACAAATTCATTGTTCACCATCCTGTGATCCTTAAAGGGGTAGGTTGAGAATTTCAGCCCCATTAGGGACAAGTTGTGAGCGACAAGTATATATGGTTGAGAGTTCGAGCCCCATTAGGGATGTTGTGAGCAAAAAAGTGTGAGCACACTAAGTTTTAACAGATGATACGATTAAAGATGATTAACTTACGTATGGTGTCTCCAATTTGAAATCGGTTCGATTCTGCCCACTGGTTGTAGTAGAGTGCATTAGAATCAGGTGGAACTGTCCAACCAATCGAGCCCCCAACCCTGAACTCATATGCACCACCTTTGTGGATCAACAGCAAAAAACTTATAAATAGAGCCAGAGCATGAAATGCTCTGTGAAGATGATTTGGTCTTATTATAATGTTGGCCATTGAGAAAGAACAAAAGGGGAGTTAAATTGAAGCACGAGTCTTCCCGCTAAAAGATTTGAAAGCTCGAATTGATGAAGCTAATGGCGTGAGAAGAATGGAGTTACCATTGAGGCTTTTTGTAGGCTAAGTTGCATGGAATTTACAAGCTGTGGTAATGAAGCATTTGCTCTATATTATTCTTCTTTCTTCCTTTGGATTTCTTAGCTTCGAGTGCAAATAAAGCATATGTTCACTTTTAATAAGAGCTAGATTATATTCCTAGGCTCTTTGAAATCCCTTTTAAATGACTTATTCTGCAGTTCAATACTTTGCTTGACCAATATCAAGAATATTCATGTCTTTTGCTTTCGGGTTAGATTATCGATGACTAATAGACATTCATTCCAAGAAAACTGTACTCATATGACTTCTACTACAAATTTGTTTGAAGAATAAAAACTCACAAAGTTAGTATATCTACTTCAATCCTTTTTTTCTGAAAACAGAGTCCAAAAGACCACAATAATGTAACTAAAAACATCTTTCTTTAATAATAAAGTTTGATGGGAGTACTCACTTGGCAATAAGAAATTGATGGCAACTTCTCTATGTTTCTACTTTATAAGATGGATAGGCGAAAGAAATAAGCTAACCATAAAGATACTTAACATTGTACATCTTTCACTGATGGAGGGTGGATTGATATATACATGTAACGTGTATTCTACTAACAAATTTGTGGATGATTAAATTCTAAATTGCAGAGCTTGCACTTTGGTTAGGCAATCAAATAGTTTCAATTTGTTTCCTAAAACTGCTATTCAATGCTCGATCGTGGACCATTCGGGCCCGAAGAATGATATTGCATGGAATTTTGATAAAGCTGTTGTTACTGAAAACTATAACGAAGTAGATGAATATTTAACATTCCCATGTCAATTACATGCTTCAATTTGGCCCCTTTGGATCAATGCTTAAAATCATAAATTTGCTTATTGCTACACTTGTATATCTTGTGATAATGTGATTTCTGTCCATGTTTTATTGAAGTATGATGACAGTACACTATTTTTGTTTATAATAAAATTACAGTATTAATATGTGATTTAAAATTCGGTCCCGTTATGAGAAAATTTTGCTTGATTGAACTTGGGGTGGTATCCCGAAATAGTTTTTTTCTTTTTTTGGAAGACTAAGCAATTTATATATGAAAGTAATAATTACAACTGAGCTTCAGCCGGAGATAGACTCATTGGGCCTCGTCTACTTACATAGGAAAGAAAAAACTTGGCCCAAGACCTAACAGACAACATAGCATATGCATACAATTGTTGGACAAGCAAAACTAGAGAGTTCAATTCAATCATGGAGTTTCCTTTAGGTAACCAACTACCCACCACACAAGGCAACCCGCACCTAGTCCTTTCCAATCAGTCTGGTGAATGAGGAGGAGGGCGGGGATCATAGATGCCATCTTCACAGTCTGCAAGCGACACTAAATCTTCCATTCTAGTACGCAAAGTCCATAGATTGGAGTGTACCTTTGATTGTTTTGTGGAGTACAGTATTCTGATGAGGGTTTATTGCTGAAGATACGTGAATTTCGTCTTACCAAATGTACTTGGTATACGCTTGGCGCAAGAGCCATCTTAGAGAGAGGGTTGGGAAATGTTTTGGGGCGCCAATGAAACGATAACCATGAGATTAGGCTTCTCCAATTCGAGAGGTTGATGTGGAATCTACATTTTCCTTGTATGTAGGACCAAATCTTGTGGATGTACGTGGGACTTCTAGATGCTTAATAGGTAGTGATTAAGGTATGAGGTAATTAATGTCTCCCGTGATGTGTTGGTTCCTGATAAGAATACTGAGTTTTTAGTGAGAGGTTGATGGTCATCCCTGAAAGGTCTTGGGATTAGATAAGAACCTGGTTAAGTACCTTCATTGAATGTAGGTTTCTATATGAGAGTAGAAGAAGATCGTCAATAAAGCTTAGATGAGTAAGATTGATCTTCTTCTTTCTCCAATGGTATTTGAAGGAGGGAGAGGATGAGACTAAGGAGCTAATGATTGAAGAGAATACTTCCATGTAAAGTACAAATAAGAAGGGAGAAATAACATTTTCATGTCCTCTAAAGAAACCTTGGAGCTCACCATTAATTGAAACAGAGAAAGAGGTGGAGATAAGCTCGGAAATACACTTATAAATCACATTACAACAGGAGATAGGCCTAAAGTCATTCACAGAGCATGGGTTGGGACACCAAGACAAATAATTCCTTAATGGCCTGTTTGAGAAGCTTACCATTGGCAAATAATTCCTTAATGGCCTCGGTAATTAATGATCCTGCCAATAATTGCCAGGCTTTTTGAAGAAAAAAAATGAGTTAAATCCATTTGGGCCCAGTGATTTGTCCATGTTCATTGAAAAGATGTAATGTCTAATCTTACGATGAGATGATATTGAGGTTAGAGGCTGTAAGAGGTGAACAGGTACTTGTTTGTTGATGAAGGGTCTTAGTGAGTCTCAATCGGTGTAATTATGGGGGTGGTTGCCAATGAGGGATTGAAAATGGGATAAGATTTCATTTTTTATGGCCAGAGCTCCTTGAATGGTTCTTTCTATTATAGTCACTTCATGTAGCCACATGACTCTGGATTTTTCCCTTATCATTACTTCTTCGTCCTTTATTTTGCAGGAAGGAACCTTTTCACACCGCCAGAGTAATCTGTCAAGTGATGAGCTGTCAAGAGAGGTCTGGCATAATGAGAGCTCAACTTTGAGGTTTGTGATTTATATGGATAATTTAGGGAGGTTGACTATACACTCGGTCTTGAAGCTTTTTTTAGAAGTTTTTAGCTTTTGAACAGTTTGAAACATGGTTGTGCCTCTCACGAAGGTTCTCCATATATTGTCCACTGTTAAAAGGAAAGCTGGATAGGAGCCCCATGAGTTGAAGAATCTGAAAAGTATTTTCCTTGGAGACTTGGATTCTCACAGTTTAATCAGTATTAGATTGTGATTAGAAGTTGAGGGGTGGAGTCCACTTCCCACTAACCCCAAAATTTTCACTAGGATGGAAGATAACATAGAAGTCCCCTAATAACATCCACTGGGAAACACTGAAAATTGAAGATATCAGACCATAGGAATCTTTTATCACCATGTATAAAGGAGACTAGAAATTTAATGCTTTCATCAATAAGGGAGATAACATAATGGATGACTAGGGTACCATATTACCCAAATTCTTCCCAGCTGTGAAAACTCATTATTGTTCACCAATTGTCACTTGTAATATTTCTATGAACAATTTTAATAATGGATGTATTAACCTTGGTTCAACAATGCCTAACATGGTTAGCCTATTGTCCTTAATGAGATCTTTGATATCAACATGTTTAAAGATTATTTGGATCAAAATTGCATTTTTTGTATTATAACAATTGATTATCTATCCAAAGGGGATTTTTGATTTGGTTCGATTAAAAAAAAAAAAAAAATATTGCAATACAAAATGCATTAATTTTTTAAAATTCTTTTCGTTTGAATGTGTTGAAATTTTTATAAATTTTGCATTCTTGTAAATTGGCTTTGCGATAAAAGATCGGTGCATATTATATTCTCGGCTCCAAAAGAGAGGTTTAATACTGTATTCTAGAATTTTTGGGACTTAACTATTAAATGTTGGTTGTTGAATTAGCTATTTTCATAATTTTAATTGTAATTCTTGACATATAATCAAAAGATGATTTTAGAAGTGTAGAAATGATGTATAATTTGTAAATGTCTAGGACATTTTAAAGGACTCTGTTATGTACAAAATGTTAGCTATTGATTGAAATTTACATAACCATCCATTGGGGATGATATCTATATAAAGGGAAGGAATTTCATTTTGTAGCCAACGATTTCTTGGTGTGATAGTGCAAATTAATTATGGGGGACAACATTTTTTTAGTAAGATAATGATGAAATCACAAATATATAATAATATTATTTGTCATCACATAATGTTGCTTAATGTTATTTATAATTATATAATTATATAATATTATTTATAATTTATAGATAATGTTATATACAAAAAGGAAGCAGAAAGACTAAAGTCAGTTTCTAATAGTTTTTAGTTTTGAGGGGGGAATATGAGCGCATCAAAATACAATTGCAGAAATTGTTTAGACTTTCAAAATGTAAAAATAAAAAAATGCAGAATGTGTTTTTCATTATACTAAATGTAAAAGTTATATATATATATATATATATTGTGAAATTAGATGGTCTCAATAAAATTTTCTAAAAATTATAAAAATTGAGGTTACCAAATACTACTTGACTAGCTAAACAGCAAATATAATGGGAGGTTCGTGACATGGAAAAAAATAACGTTTAGAATGACAACAACAACCACAGTGACATATATGTTTTGCCGCAAATGAATAATATGATTAATATCATAATATGACTTTTAATTAAAAATTTACTTCCATGTCAAATTTATTACAAGTTTTTACCAACCCCTCTAACCTTGTGTTATAAAATCATGCACTGCCGTCTTACTCTAAATCTCAACAATCATGAGTAGCTACGTTGACAGAGGGATGGAGCCTGGCCTGGCCCCACCCTTTATATCATATGTGATAAATTTTTTTTTTTATTTTTTTATATATATGAAAAAAATTATACAATGCTCCTAAATTTTGTGATTTATAAAATTATCTTTTTATTTTCTGTTTTACTCTTGAAATTCCTTAATTTTTTTAAAAGAAAAAATTAAAATTTTATTATTGAAACTCTTAATTATTATTATTATTATTATTATTTTTCTATTTCTACTTCTAATAAGGGGAGGAGCTACGCTTATTATTATTTTTTTTCCTTTTTTTTTTTTATTTTTCTTTTCTATTTCTACTTCTAAAATTCTAATTCTTAAAATTATTCTTTTTAATGTGCATATTTGAATAATTTTTTTCTTTTTCTTTTGTATTTTATATTTATTATGTTATATATATATATATATATATATATATATATATATTTTGTACCGTATTTCCTAACTTAAAATCCTACCACCGTCCTTGATTGGCAATACTACAAAAATTATGTCAAATAATTATATAGTTTCTAGGGAGCTATTATAAGTGCACATGGGGCTTGTTTATTCTTTGAAAGAACCCTTACCAACCTCCAAAGAAAATAAAAAAAATCAGGTTCTGGCCTCAATCTACTTGAGTACTCAAATTAACTTTATGCATGTGGCTTGAAAGTGAAAATTATGAGGTCAAATAAATGAGTTTCACCCTGAAATGATGGTGATGCATACGATTCATGCATAATTTTAGCATGGCATGTAAGGCAAAGAAACATGCCCATTCATGACATGGTTACTGCCCCATGATTACTAATCAATGGTAATAATTAGTACTTTCACGTGATTGATCTCACCTAATAATTATAGATTTTAATTAATAGTAATAATCACCATCATTAATTTTGTATCACAACTCCCCCTTCTATGAGGAATAGGATACCAGTTCAATAATTAGACTCTTTGAACATAAATTCAATATTAACTTGATACAACCCTAAAATTTGTATGGCTTCATTTAAAGAATAATTAAAACACGAGTACAATTTAAGAAAATAATATTGTAACAGCTAGAATGCCTATTATAACATTACAATATAATTTTTTTTCAGAGAGACACACTGTACACTAAATACATACTTATATAATAATATATACGGGCCCAAGCCGAGTCAGAATTTTAATTAAGGGTATGGTGCAAAAAAAAAATTATAAAAAAAGAAGAATAATAATTTTAGATAATAAAAGAAGAAAAATGAAAGAATATGACATAACTTAAATATATAGATATATAGATATATATATATATATATATATATATATATATATAGAATTAGAGTGTGATTGAGAGAAAGAGGAAAATAAGGAAAATTTTTAAAATTAAAATAGTTTTAGGGGGCATTATATACTTAAATTTCATATATTGGCTCCGCCCCTCAATATATACACATATAAATTAGTATTTATGAAGTACATGGGTATAGAGAGACATAAGTGGATATATATAGAGAGATTCATATTTTTGGAATAAAGTAAATTGATAAATTACATATATAGAATATAATGAAACAATTTAAGAAAAAAGAATTTAAGGAAACATATATTGCATATAAGGGAAGGAGAAATTTTAGAAGGGCATTTTTACACTTTTTCAAAAATTGTATACGTGTTATAAAAAATTATATATACAAAATAAGGAAAAGAAAAACTCAAGGGACTCGTGCCCTGTCCTCTAATGCAAATTTCACTTAAATATATATTTTTTTATACGAATTTCTCTTAAATGCCATGAATAATACCACTTACTTGGTTCATTAAAAGGAGCTTAAGTTTAAAGATTTTAAAATCAAAGAGCAGTTCTATAATATGTTTTTTATAAATATTCTGAAAATTAATTTTTAGAAAACTGTCTCTAAAAGGAAAGTGTGAATTGGTTTGTCGTATTATCAATTTATCTGTATATCCATAATTATCTTTGTTAAATTCCTTCACACGCGGCCTATAGAGCGTGGAAATGACTCTTCATTTGAGTGCATGAAACTCCCGCGAAACAAGGCGAGTAGACATCCAAGTCCCGCGATCTCGCGTCTTTGTCGCTATTCATACACCAATTTACAGAATATATACTATTTTTATTTAACATAATCTACAGAGAAGGAAGGAAGGAAAACTAGAGAGAGAAAGACGGACCTAAAACGCGCTAGCCGGTCGTGGTTTATGTCGTGTGGGATGGGAACCAACGAACCATAACCATAATCGCATCACCAAATCCACAAACCAACTAAACATTAAAACACTTTCTCATTTTTTATGAAAATGTTTTTTTTCTTGCTTTGAAATCGTCCTCTCACAAACATCTTCTAACCAGCACCTGCTCTGGGTCCCCTTCGATTCTTTCAACGAAATCTGATCTGGGTTTTGATCTTTGTAAGGGGACTCAGCTCTCCAGCGTGCTGGTTTAGGGTTTGTATTTTGATTTTGTTGATTATATTTTGGAATCATTTTCTTTGTATTTCGGAATGTGGAGGGACACTGGAGCACCTGCAGATTCTTTCTATGAGGTCCGGCCTGAATGTGCAGATGTGCCGAAAACCAAGTTCAAAATCAAGGTTCGTGAATTCTTTAAGTACCCATTACCTTCTTTTCATCTACCCATTTTGTGAATCTGAATCAAAATGTGATTTGTACGGTATTTGAAAAGATATGTTAGGAATGAATCCACTTGATACTTGTTTATGTAGGAATTAATAGAGAAAAAAGATTGAATCATTGAGTAATATTTGCATGTACCCGTGTCTGTCTAATATGGGTGTCCGCCTAAAATTGTTCCGTGCTAGTTTTGTGATTAGAGAACCTGCATTAGTGTTAATTCGGATCATTGGGTGCTTTGGGCTTTCGAGGTTGTGGCTGCGGCCCGTTGATCATCAATATATACATATATACATATATATATAGTTTTTGAGCTTATGTTTGGGAAATTATAAGATTGTTGATTCACAGTGACTCCAACTAATTGATTCCAGCTGTGTTAGGTTCTCCAAGGAAAAGTTGTCATTGCTCAAACTTATAATAATGAAAACATGTAATAATCAAATTCTAATGTATGAATTGTGAACCCTAATTTGGCTTCGAAGATTATGTTTTTGCCCTTCGTTGAAGCTTGAATCCCACTTTGACCATGTCCAAGAGGCAAAACTTGACACTAACTTTTAAAAATCTAAGCTAGCAATAAAAATAAAAATGCAGACTCTAGTTTTGATCACGAATGCCAACATAATCCCATTGACCTAACACCTCTCTTTCTGTGTGCGCGTACACACATGTTAGTACAGATTGAAAATATAGAATTAGGTGAGGAAAATATTTAAACCAACTATTACATTTCTCATTAGAACATGCAGCATATACCAGCATAGCTGGCTGCTGATAACCCCCCACACGCACACAAACATAGTTTTTATACCTTTAGCGATAACAAAAATCTAGCGAATTAGTTCCTTAAAATGTTAAGAATGTCTTTTGTTCTTTTTGGTGTTAATTTCGTTTTATACCATGACTGATTGGATCTTGCAAAAGTAAGTTGTTGTAGTTTATTTTATTTTGTGATAAACAGAATTCTAGCTGGTAGGATAAATCATGGGGCAGGTGTCCACAAAAATATCAGTCCTCAAATTTATCAAAATAAAGAAGGAAAAGAAAAATTATTCGCTAAAAAATTTAGTCCTCGTAACTTGGCTACATTTTGTATTTATGACATAATTCTTGCATAGAGTTTCAGAATCACGTGCATGCACTTCTAATAATTTATTTTTATTTGGATTCCTACATTATCTTCCCAGTTCTGCGGTGCATTTCCTAATACCTTCACCAAGTTTACCTTTTTAATCTGCATATTCAGGCTGGCAAAACTCTAAGTGCACGGAAATGGCAGGCTGCATTTACTCCGGAAGGCTATCTTGATATAGGAAAGACACTTAGTCGAATCTATCGTGGGGTAAGTTCATATTCGTGGTTAAAAAATTATCACATTTGAGTTCCTAAAAAAGTTAATTATGTCAACTTTGCATTCATATTTGACAAAAATATTTCTTTCCACAATGTTTACATAAATTATCATCATTGCCGCCACCACAATCATTGTTATAATGCATAATCTACAATATGCATTCATGGGCCTATTATATAGACTATAGAATTCACAGCAGCCATCACATGAATCTTACCCCTTGCCATACCATTCTAAAGTGATCCATATATCCAATGACTGCATAACATTATCTCTCTCTCTCTGTCTCTCTCTCATAGAACTCTTGTTGTTCTTGGAGTATCACTTTACTCACACCAACTCACATCTTCTCTGAGATTTCCTCCTTTCCCTTCCTGAATTATAGGCATAGTTGTCAAAACATTGATTGCCTTGTAGGTTTCCTTGGTGATCTCCGAAACAAATTTATTCACACCCTGTGTTGCATGATCTTCTCTAATCAGTCACTCATTTTACTGCATTAAGATATATAGGTTGTGTAATATATATTTTGAAGCAAACTGTATAAAAAGGAAAAAAACTTTTGATAGATGTTCTTTATCGACAGTATAAACAAAACAATAAGCAGAAGAAGAGCATTGGCGCCAATCTTTCAATAAAGAATGAATATTAAAATTCCGTCGAGCTTTCTCATACCTCACAATTACATCATCACAATCTTACAAGAACAAACAATTTGGTTTTAGAATTTTTTCTCTTAAAGAAAACATCTCGTTCTACTAACTATCACAAGGCTTTATTTATAACATTCATTAATGACCAGAAACATCATTGGAACAAACCCTGAAGTAAAAAGTGAACTTGTCCACAGCAAAATGCAGAGAGGCTATCACATGATACTGTCTGAAACACTAATCTCCTACTTTCTAAAAGTGCTTGGCATGTAGTGCTGCTTGCCAAGGTATGATATTAAATACATCTGTAAATGAACCATATCAGCTCTTTCCTGATCATTCAACTTGATTATCTAAGCATCCTTCTCTACTTTTATCTTTACCTTATAAACATGTCACTTTTTTGTTTACCCATATTTTACTGTATTTATCATTGCCAGTCTTATTGTTGTTTGATATGTTCATTTTCCTTTATCCGATCAAAATATCATTCTCATACAACATCTCCATTAAAACATTGTCACATTGCCACATTACCACAAGATTCTATGTGGTTCTTCTTCGAAGACCTCTATATTAAGTTGTCACTGTAGTACTGAAAATGCTTTATTATTTTATTTATTATGAATCTATTTCAATTCCTCACCATTTCTTTTACATATAATGCACAATTTTTGAGATTTAATTAAGTGATAACAAAAGTTTGTTGCTCTGTAAAGTATATGATAATTGTTTTTCAATTATATAAGGAACAGCCTAGGAATTCATTGTTTGATATGCTTTTGGGCATGTTGGTAAAACAATTTATGGTTGCCTAGGCTGTGGTTCCTTTTTATTTCGTTTGCTGATGATTTCAACTCAATTTAAAATTTTAAATATGTTTGTAACTACTGTTTTCTGTAAAATTCATCATATCCTTTTACTTCTGGTAGATGCCCTCATACTAAGAAATAATAACATTGGTTTTGAGGCTTAACAGTTGTCATCGATTTATGGTAAATTTAGGGGATCCATCCGTCAATTAGAGGAGAAGTTTGGGAATTTCTTCTTGGCTGTTATGATCCTAAGAGCACGTTTGATGAACGAGAGAGGATACGGCAACGTCGGAGGTAGTTAATTCTCCCTTCTTCACTACTGAATGATAAACTTACACCAAGTAGCATTTTAAAATATGTATTAACATTCCTCTGTTCCCTATATTACCTTTGAAATTTCTGTAGTCTCAGTTATCTAGTTCCCTGTATTCATATCAATAATAGTCCCATACCCCCTCCCCCCCCCAAATAAATAAATAAAAGAAGTAAAAAAAAAGGGAATATTTCTTGCTCTGATCTTGGCTACTTTATTCCATGATGCCATCTTTTATTTTTATTGGCATAGAACATGTATAAACTTAGCTTGTTTCGTATAATTGAAATTCTCATCTTTTAGGGCTTGTAGTTTCTTAATAATTTTTTTTAGAATTATTATATAATCTACAAATTTTATGGAAACCAGACTGGTATATGTGTTTATCTTTTTTTACAACTACTTGTTTGATCAGTCAAGTTGACAAACTAAAATTTATGTTAAACATTGTAACCAGATAAAGAAAATTATATAAAGTAATGAAAAAAAGTTGCTCAAGTAGAGGGTTAAGGTACATTTTCAATAATTCAATCAGTCCATTGGTGTGTTGAAGATGTCCCAAAACGTGTCACCGTCACTACAAGGCATGAAAATAAACAATAACATTCATGCATTTAACTTCTTTTTTTTTTTTTTTTTTTTTTTTTTTTTTATATTTTTATTTAAAGGCAGGGTGTACATGGATCAGATTGGTTCGATTTAGATATAAAACGAAAACCAGTCCGATCCCAACAGTTCTATGCATAATTGAAATCAATCCAAACCAATGAGAGCCTTAAACCGAACTGATCTGATCCAATCCGTGAAAGATTGGTTTTATGGATTGGGCTTTTCTAAATAGCCAGATAGTTTTAATTTTTTTAGCCCAATGTGTGAGATTGAGATGAAATAAACCAGACATTGTGGCAACTGCAAGTTATAACTACATGATAAGACCATGTGGATTATACTACTGATATATCTTAACATCATCTACAAATGATTTCAGTGGTCTCCCATAGTTAGAGAAATAGAAAACCAGCTTAAAAACAAGCTACAACACAAAATTCCTGAGTGAACTTTGATTCACGGACTATATATATATATTATAAGGGGCTGGGTTAGGTTTAAGGTTAAAAAAAGTATTATATATACTATATTTGTATATATTATTTAAGTCACAGATTGGATCGCATCAGTTTCACGGATTGGATTGGTTTTTTGAGACCCAAATCCGTGAATCGAAGTGATCCTTATGGATTAATTATTTATGAAACCGCGACCGAACCGATGGACTAAAAAACAAATCTGAACCGCACGGATTGGATTCATGGATCAAACTAACACCCCTATTTAAAGTATAACCTTTTTAACATATCAATCAATTTAACTGGTTTTTGGCGATCTGGTAACTGACTAGTTCAGTTGGTTGAATCTCTTCTCCCATCTCCCACCCTCCCTTCCTTTTGAATTTTGTTTTTGATAACTGCAATTGACCACCTCTCCACCACCTCTCCAGTACTGTTTTATACACTTATTTATACTTATAATTGTGTGTAAGTGACCTTTTTCTTTCTCCTATTTTGGCTGCATGAATAAATTCCACCTAGTTGCTAAATCTAGATTAAATCATGAGATTGCAAAGGAGTTGATTCACTTTGACTTAGGACATCGGATGGTAATTTACCTTCATCTCATTGGTATGGTTGCTAATTTGAAATGAATTATTTATCCTAGTCCTCTTCTTTCCCTAAATTATTTGTGAACTTCAAAAATGCTGAATGTCAAAACAACCTGTACCCTTTTTCTGATCTAAGTTCAGAATGTAATTCCAATGGAGATAATATGGTAAATGTCATTCTTTTGAGTACGCCTTCAGGGCACAGTATGCTTGGTGGAAAGAAGAGTGCCGCCAAATGTTTCCCGTCATTGGAAGTGGTAGGTTCATCACTGCACCTGTTGTCACAGAGGAAGGTGAACCCATTCAAGATCCTTTAGTACGTCTGGAAGCAAATCCCAACATGGGACAGACAACAGTTCCTCAAGAAAATGGTAATGCTGAAAAACTTGGAGCTTTTAATTGACTATATGTATATGCTGATCCCTTGAGTTGTACAAACTCAGGCACTTCCAACAATTTGGAAACTGCTAAAGATGGTCAGGACAAGGACAAGAAAGTAATCCAATGGAAGCTTACTCTGCATCAAATAGGTTAGTGGTATATGTTTTCATTAAATATTCATTACCCTTTTCTTTGTTCAGGTTCTCACCCCTACTTCTCGATCAATCTTCTTCGAATGTTTACATAATAAATTATTTCAGCTCCTGAATAAGGCAATGTTGATGCTACTTGATTTAGCTTCAATGCATGCATTTGATATTCAGATGGTGGTCTAAACTCAACATTCCAGCTTTATGTGGATTTCCATCTATATAAAAATCTAAATGGCATAAGATTTGAACAATGAATTTGATGTTCAAAGGGTGGGCGTTGGAGTAATGGTAAGGTTGTTCTACTGTGGCCACGGGTTCAAGAGTGTGAGGTCATGGGTTCGAAATAGGAAATAGCCTCTCTGTATGTGGATGTAAGGTTGCGTACTTTTGACCCTCCCCAGACCTCGCAATGGCGGGAGCCTCGTGCACTAGGCTAACCCTAGCCCATTTGTCATTTAACTTTCTATGAATTACATAATAAAGTAGCTGCGGTGTGCATAAAGAAATTTACAATTTGAATAAGAGCTTAATTATGTATATAGAGTTGCTGATAATAAATTATTATTCGTTGATTTCTCTTTGTCCATTTAAATGCAAATATTCCTTAAAATGTGAATCACACTCTTGAATTGAAAAAATTGCGTATTCATTCTAGTTATGGAAGGATATGCAGTTAAAAGATCAAAAATTTCATATATAAAAGTTACTTTGTGCTACTGATGCACTGGTAAAATTGACTCTCTAACATTTAATTACCAGAAAACACAATTTATATGACTAATGTCTTTATGTATATATAGATGAAATTTGTATTAGTAACCATATGCAAGCATATATCATTTTCTCCAATGACTAAAAATACAAATAGGTCTTTGTAGATTAATTATTTAGTAGTAGAAATATTAAAATTATGAACAAAGTTGGTTTCTGAAAAACTATTAGCATTTAGGTATTGTTAAATTGTTGATAATTTATTATAACTGGCTTGATTTTATTGTCTTGTTGAAAGAATATTTTTTACTCATACTAACTTCTTCTCCTTTATTCTTCATCTTGTGGTTTCATGGTCATATTCTATGTGCTTCTCTTCCCAGTTTTTGTTTCTGCTGTCCTGGGAATAGAATTGTAATGGCTCCTTCCCTCCTTTTAATTTGCTGCATTTGAATATTAATTTTTCACGACACGAAATTCATTCATTATTGGTATATTGTACTTAAATTGAAGATGATTGGTATACCAGCTTACTAGGTACTTTAAATATAGTAATACAATACTCATTGGTACATAATTCTCTGTTTGTCTTTATTCTTAGTTAACAACCATCACAGAACTATCTATGGAACTTTATATATGTATTTTTTTTTTTTCCTGAATGAACTTGATATTTATATTGTTAATAGATGAATTTGAATAATTTCTTAGATATTTATATTTTTGTCATTTATGTACTTGATAAGGGTGCTTTGGACCCAGTCATGCATCATGATTATTTTATTTTTCAGTTCTTTCTCTATGTATCTGCATTTTAGGGTTTTGGGACTGTCTGGCATACAAGGGAGTGTGCTCTACTACTTTTATCACAATCTGTTAGCAACTAATTAAGCTTCCAATTCATCTTGTAAAAATATTTGGGGATAACCATGCTTGGAGTCAGCTTTGAACATGCATGTCTGAGAAAAGGGACATTATCCAGACACATCTGGTTCGAGGACAATCATTGCTGACTTTTGGTGTCGCCTTGAAGGTGTCACTTTGAGTTGTTCTTTTCTGTCAAGAGATTTAGGTTTTTATACCCCTTTGTATTAAATTTTGAGATTCCCATTTGTGTAGCTAGCCCAAATGGCCACTTTGAGGGCCCACTGTCACGCCTCTCTTCCTTTCTTCTCTTTAACCTAAAAGTACTCCTTCTATTGGGGATTAAAAGTGAAATAGCTCTGAATAATAATCCTATACTTTCTCTCGGTTCATCAGCATGAATGGTGAGTCGCTAAAGTAGTGCCACTCAACTAATTTAGTAATACATAGTTACAGTACGCTGACTTGCCACAACATCATACTTTCAAAAACAAAAACAAAATGAAAAAATAGAATTTAATTTCCGCTTAGGACCAACAAATTTTTTGTCCTGGGTTTAGGACTGACATTAATTAGGCAATTTAAGGGCCAAATACTGACTCTTGAGCACATGTGCTGTTAGTCTAGAGTGTGACCCTAAAAATCTTGATGGTGCCATTTAAAATTTTGAGCCTCAGAACCAAGGGCTTCAGACTACGCTTGTACGTGGGAATTAGTATTGATATTCCTGCCTGGTGAACTGGTTGAATTGTTGGTGTAGGGATAGGCTGGCAAGAAGTTAATTAATATCTGAAATGAGTTCCCTTTCCTTAATGGGTCTCATGGGTCAGAGTACTTGGCCTGGAAAAAGGATCTCAAGTAGGCTTTGTAGTAAACTATTACTGGCTTAGTGGATTGGTTTCAGTATGAAACTCCTCCCTGTTAATCACCCTTGCTTTAGATGGAAATTGTCCATTGACATTGGAAATGCAGTGATGACTGATGAGATTCAATTACAACTTTTTGTTTCCATGTCCACGTGCGCTATCTTTCTTCTCACTTCTGTAATTCTTCACTCCATTTGCTAGAAAGCTTCCACTAAATCACTTGTGGAGTGGTACCTAAAAAGAGCACCATGGCAGGTACCCTTCTCTCTAAATTGCTTAACCTTATCCAGTTATCCATGCTCTGTCGATATCTAAGGGAACTTTCTTCCATTCTCTAAGAAAAATGTTGCTTACTTGATCATGAAAGTTGCTTACCCTGATGTTGCAGCCTCTCCATTTCCTATTTTGCAGCTTGGATGATCATCTATTGTTGTAGCTTGTTTATCGCTATGTATTTATTTATTTTTATCTGATAACATAATAATGGCCAATTGGCCATGAAGATGATGTTGATTTCTTACTTTGTTGGTGGTCTAATGAATAGAAGATGTTAAGCAAAGCATTACATATGTGATATGAGCGTAATTCAAATTGATTTGTTCTTGTATGTTTTAATTCTAGCTTTTGTTTCGAGTTTTAGAGCATCAAATCCATTAGTGGTACTTGGAAACTGTGACATATATCCTAATGATTCGAAAACCTTTTGCATTAGCTTATTTATAACAACTTTCTAATATTTCAAGATTTTTGGTAGTCATTATTTTATGTTGTTGTAACGTTTCATGCTTGGACTAATATTTATGGTAGGGCTCGATGTGAATCGCACTGACAGGACATTAGTGTTTTATGAGAAGCAAGAAAATTTGTCAAAACTGTGGGATATTCTAGCCGTCTATGCCTGGGTAGATAAAGATGTTGGCTACTGTCAAGGTGTGTAATCAAATTATATTTCCTTTCTTACCAAGGCTTCAATGAAATGAAGAACAAATTAATTATGGTAAAAATTGCTTCAATCCAGGCAATCTCTTTTTATACTCACACACACACATATATATAGTAGTTACATATATGTATATATGTCAATATATTTTCTCCAATTTAATTGGCTTTGCTACTTATCTTTTCAACTTCTTCAATTAGTACGGTGACAAGTACATTAGTTTTTCAAATTCCATTCCTGATTTAGTATCTGTGAACCATCGGAATTCAGAAAGAAAAAGGAACATCTCATTTAGGAAACTTCATAAAAAAACATGTGATCAAGTCATAAAACATTTGTTCAGGAAAACAATCCTATGTAATTTTTGTTATTTATGCAGTATACACAATTTATATCATTATCAATTTGATTGAAATGTAGAATCCATCAATTGAAACCATGTGAATATTTCTTTCTCCCCATGCAAATTCATTTAACTATAAGTTTCACCCTTGTCATTAAATTTCCACCCATTGGGAATACAATATGATACCGTTTTCATCTTAATCTGTTTGGTCTTGTCTCCCAAATGTTGCAAAAACTTTGATGGCTGGGTTTATCATTCTTAAAACACTTAATATACTGTATCTCTGCACCAGAAGGCTCCAACATAGTTTAATATCTATTATTTGCATCAAATTTCTGGTTCTGAACTCTGAAGAATGAACTTTATGAATGCTGAGCAGGAATGAGCGATCTTTGCTCCCCCATGATTATTCTTCTTGAAGATGAAGCAGACGCATTTTGGTGCTTCGAACGCTTGATGCGGAGATTGGTACATCTTTTTTATTCAACAGAACTTCTCATATGGCATGGCATTTAATTTTATATAGTTACCTGGTTTCTGCTTCATTAATTTAATTCGATTGAAGAACCATGTTTCAATAACGTAGTATGCTTCATCATTTACCCCAATGGATCACAAATCTGAAAACAACTCAGATTCATATTGTTTGGCTGGGTTTCTCCTCTTGTCTTCAAAGAGGTTTTTGGAGGATTGTTGTATTATGATAGGACATCACCTATTGCCAACCTTTTTAGACTTGCTTCCTTCTTAACTTTGTTCCCAACTAAATTGTCTTTTATGATGAATTCTTTTTTTTCAGATGGATTTATTATCTTGATGTACTTTCAGGAATTAAAACCTTTCTTTTTGCTACCCTCCCTTTTGCTTTACTTTTCCATTTAATCTATTTTCTTGGGCTGTACAATGCTCATATTTCAGATTTTTTGCCAGATAAGTTTAAATACTAAAGCTAATAATATGTTACTTGGAACTTTCCTTTCACTTTGTAATAACATCTGATTACAACCATAAATATCATGTGATGTTATCATGATCCTCTGTTAGAAGATTGTAGTAAGAATTGTCTGTGGTCTTAAGATTTTGCCACTTCATTATGAAATGGCAGAGATTTTCCTTGTGAAGCTTTACTTTCTGGAGTAGAAGCGACTAAGAGGCAAAGGGAAAACTTGTTAACATTTTCAAATTGAAAGGAAACTTTTGACAGCTAGAATCTAAAACATAAAGATGCAGTCTTTTCATCCAATGCAGTTGAACATAAAAAGCAGTGTTCATTTTTTATGGCCTACGCGATTGTTTGTCCTTTAACTGATGAGGTTCTTGAAAAGTTCCTATATTTATTATATCTTGAGATCTTTCAAGATGTAGCCTCACTATTTCTCTTTACATCACCAGTTATATCATCTATGGTTGGAGGCTTGGAGCTACTGTAATTTGTATTTGATTTTTGTTATTGGTTTAAGAAAAATCTAACTTCCAATTTAGTATGATGTGTTGTTGTTTGAAATTTTTTAGCGAGTTAACTTCAGATGCACCGAACGCTCTGTCGGGGTGGAGGCACAACTTAGTAATTTAGCTTCAATTACCCAAGTTATTGATCCAAAGCTTCATCAACATTTAGGTATTGTCTCTATTTAATATTTGTGCTTCCCTTATATCTAGGGCATCATTTATGTATATTTCTTTTCAGGAATATTCTGTTACTATCACTTTAAGCGAACACCTTTCCTCATTGTTTTGTTGTTCATGTATGGAAGAAAATTCCTCATGGTACATAAAGGCCTCCAGGTTGCGGCTCTCTTTTTTTCACAAGACTTAAGACATGAAACGAAATGAGGGCTAGGGTTTTCTCCTGTGTGTATATATATACACTTAACCTATTTTAGTAATATATCATAGTATGTAAGGGTAATTTAATAAATATATAGTAAAAGAAAAAAGAAAAAGAGAAAAGAATAAAATAAAACAGGCCACTTAAGAAAACATATACTATACAGTTTATAGATTCTCTCTTGGGTAACCCCTGGTATGGTTCATTTTAAGAATTTTCCTCTAGCACTGTAGGTAGTATCCTAGTGTGGAATGTGTCTTGCCTAGAATTGTGGGTGGGGCATAGACAATCTAATGCTGTGTGGCCCCAAAATTCCGTGGTTGTGATTTCCGATTAAATAATTATAGAATGCCACAAGTTAACAGTAGTAAATATCTTTTATATCTGTTCAAGCTTTTTATAAGAATATTCCTTATTTCATGTTGAACTTATTAATTTTTTTCGTTGTCCTAATTTTTCCGTAGGTGATCATGAATTGGTTTATATTTTAGGAATACTGTCATACGCTTAAACAAATTTACATTAAACTTTTTCTTGTTTAATTATTATACATGCACAAATCCTCATCATATTTCTTCCTGATTTCTCTATATAATAGATCACTAACAAACTAATGACTTAATGACTTCTTTCAGTTTAATGCATAAGCATATTTAGATCACTAAGATGCATTCTAGGAATAGCAAAGATGCATTCCCCACCTACAATTGTGGTTGAAAAGTTTTTAGATCTTTCTGTTTTATTGTTACTTTTTTTTTATAGTCGTTCTATATGTTCTTAAAATATTGCATTGTGTGTTCCTTTACTTGTTTGCTTTGCCAAAATAAGAAAGTAACAATAAAATGTCTTCTGATCTTGGACCACAGAGACGCTAGGTGGAGGTGACTACCTATTTGCTTTCCGTATGCTTATGGTTTTGTTTCGTCGAGAATTTTCTTTTGGTGACTCATTGTACCTTTGGGAGGTATGATCAATTTCATTTATTCCTTTTCAAATTTTCAAAATAAAATAATTGAAAGTAGAACCATGTTCAAGTTATTTTTTATTACTTGAAAATATTCCTGGAAAAACTAAATGAAACTCTGTGTGGCTCAGGATTCAGTCTTATTTCTCCCCCTCACCTCTCTCTCCTTCTTTCTTAACTGTTTTTCTGTTTGTCATTTGTTCTTCCTTTTTTGGAGATTTGCCTGCTGTTGATGGTCTTGGTCCTGCCAACTCTGAAAATTTAGAAATCTAGTTGACTTTTGAGTGGATGGAAATTTTGCTGGTTAATTAAAAGAAATTATTTTAGACATCTACTAATTGAAGTCTATTGCTTTACCTTACTCGCCTGCTTTTAACTGGGTGTGACTGTCCATTGTTTTAAGTCAAATCTTCAATAGCCCGCATGGGCTAGCCTTAGGTCTCTAGTTTGAGACTCACAAAGTTGAGGCCTGGACTTAAATGATACATGTGGTTTGCTGGTGATTGTGTGTATTTAGAGTTTGCAAACCACCCGAGGGTCCAAAGTGGCTAGCAGGTTGATTTTTAGTTACCAAAAAAAAAAAAAAAATCTTCCAACATGTACAAGATTTTCCTCAAGGAAGACTGTTCATGATATGACTAGATGTACAGCATCCATTTACTTGTCAAAATGAGCTTCAAGATGCTCTTTATACTTCTTGAATTGTACGAATTTTTTATTTTATTTTTACCTAGACTAATAATTGGTTCAAGATTCTACATTACATATTGAACATATGGGATAAAGGTGAGGGTGATAATGATGATGATATTGAATTTAAGGATTTAAATAGCCATTTTGATAATTACAAGTGGTGCATGTGACAATCACTGTAACAGTGTTTTTGGGTGTTCAGCATTTGATGGACACTAGAGTGGCCTGTCTAATTATTACATGATCAAATGCCTGAAGTCAGTGCTACGGTTTTGAAAAAGTATTCTCTGCCAAAATATGCACATTTGTAGATTCCAACTTTCTGGGAAAGCATCACTTTTTGTATTTACATCATGTTGTGAAAGATTGAATTTCTAAAGTTGCCCCTGTAAAATTTTTTTGTTTACCATGCTGTGTGTGTAATAACTTCTCAGGGTAATTTGTTATTGTTATAAAATTAATTTTCAAAAAATGGACATTTATTCTGGAACATTAAAAATGAAGGTATTTAATGTGGGATGGAGGGAGTAATGTTAAGACATTTTTTTTCCAAATTTTTGTTGAATCCGAGGAATATGATTATTTAAGAGGGGTTGCATTTATGATCAAGATGTCCTGCATAATATTTTTAACCGGTTGAGGACTATTGCTTGTTTCAATGGCAAAGGTTTTGGCTGTCTAGAAGGAAAAGACAGGTTGGAGTAGGGCAGCCACCCAGTGTAAATAATGCCAGAGGTTACCCAATTCACTGATGTGACCAACACTGTTTAATTGCCTTTTTATGGTGGTTGATGGGCTTAGCTCCAAGCCATGGATTTCACTCGTTCATGTGCATATATGACCCTTTATAAGACAATCAAGGTGCACTGCACACTAAAGTTCAGTCTACCCACCAAGCCCATCCAAGTCAGAGCTATATTTTGTGTGGCTTAACATAGGATTCATGTAGCCGATCCCAAGTAGATGTGAAAAAGGGTTGGTTGTTGTTGTTGTATTATGTGTGGCTTAACTACATAACTTATCCTTTGTTTGTGTGCATTCATGTGTGTGTGGGTAAGCAGTTTGGTTTCATTGGGGGCACAGTTTCTTTCTTTCTCCTTTTGTTTCTCCGTGTCTGCGAGTTGGAGGAGTAGGTACAAGTGAAAGCAGAATTACTTTTTTATCTGTGAGAAGGATCCGGACCGCTGCTTTGTATATTATTACCCACTTCAACTTGGAAATTCATTCACATATGGAATCTATAAGTCATCTAAGCTGTAGAAGTAGATTCCATTCGTTATCCCGCATAAGCTGATGTTTCTCCACCCCTTTCGTAGATTAGCAGTAGTAAGCTTTCTAGTCGTTTGAAGGTGTGTACAGTTGCTCAAACTCTTAGGAAAACTTGAGCTGATTTTTGGAGCTCAGCTTCAAGACTATACTTGGCAGACGAGCGAGCATCTTTTGGATATTTCATTACTTTTGTTGCATGTGTGCCGGCTCTATGTTTTAAAATGAAAATGGATATCTCTCTTTCAGGACTTGCTCATTCGCATGTTTGTAATCTCTTCTGGTAGTTTGTTGATGAAATATGTACTTGGTAACAGTATTTCTTTCCATCCTTTTCCCTTTTCATTTTCTTATTTAATTTATTTAGTTTGGTTCTAAACAAGAAGCTGTTCTTTGTAACATAAGTTTATCTGGTTATTGAACCTGTTAACAGATGATGTGGGCTCTGGAATACGACCCAGACTTGTTCTCTATGTACGAGGAAGCTGACTCAGCTGGTGAAAAATCTGAAGGATCAAAAAAAGCAAAATCAATACGCCAATGTGGGAAGTTTGAGAGAGAAAATATGAAAAATGGAGCAAAAAATGCTGAATCGCCACTACCCATTTCGATTTTCCTTGTTGCCAGTGTCTTGAAAGATAGAAGCTCCAAGTTACAGACAGAAGCTCGGGGCCTGGATGATGTTGTTAAGGTCAGCTTGACGAGTTAATTTTTTTTACTGCTGCAGAAGCCTCCAATCGGAGTTACTGTTGTCGACATTGATTTACCAATTAGGTAGAGAACTCATGGATAGAATAGCAAAGAAAAGGTGTAGAGATATGCAACTGCAAATATCACCTACTGAGCTGAGATCATTTTGCTTTAAAAAAATGATACAGGGGTTTCCCTTTTTACCACAATTTCATGAAAACATGGATCGTAGTTTACCTGATTAATGATTAAACTTTCTGAAGCCCTGAGAAACGATAAACCACAGCTATCTTATCAGTAACCGGATACTGATAAAGCATCCTTTATTCATTTATTTATTTATTAGTAAGTAATGCACGCACCATCTCCATACCTGTGCTCAGACCTGCACTTTCCGCTTTGGGGATTGCAAGAAATATCACTCCAGCCAACAGTTGGTCTTTGTTCATATCACTGATGGGTCTATGCTGCTGCAACATTTCCAACTTATGCTGCAGCTCTTAATTTTTTATTTTTTATTTTCCCGTCATTCATCTCATTCATGATTCTTTTCTCTTCATCTTTTCAGATATTAAATGACATAACTGGAAATCTAGATGCCAAAAAAGCTTGCACTGGGGCCATGAAACTTCACAAGAAATATTTAAAAAAGGTACAATTGTTTCCTTCACTTTTGCACATTTTGTGTTCAACACTCTACAGGTGACTTTGAAAAGGAAAACGTGGTATTATGTGGTGGCGAATTAGTGACTAAGCATGAAGCTCCAGATAATTTCAAAATCTAGAATTGATGAATACAAAACATGTTGGAATATGATATTTTAGCCCCAATTGTTGTAGTTGATACTGACACCTTGTTTTCAATAGCTGCATCTGATCAGGTGCGACCTAATGTCCTTTAGTTTCAGATTACAAGGTGAACCGCATTATTTTTCCACTGATCATTTTACTCTTATTAGGTGTGAACACCATATGCCAGATTTATTTCCCACAAACCATTTAAGATAAACCTCACTTGGGAATGGAAATTTCCCGTTTTCGAGTTGAGATAAAACTGTATGGCAGTCAACCAGATGCCATCTGGGCTACAGGCCTATGGATTACCAATTGAACCATTTTTAACTATTTTCACATATTAAGTTGTGTCTTATAATCAGTTTACCAGCGCATATGATTTTTTATTTTATTTTTAATTTAGTACAAACAATTAATGCTGCACATCCTTTTCAGTTTAGTATGTGCTAGTTAACAATAGAAGAAGTAAATAAGATCTGTAGTTCAACTGGTTATCTATATCCTTGAGTAGATTAATGAATGCCATTAGGAGGCAACTCAAAAAATTGCTAAATTGTAAGTTTGTTACAGCGGTTGTACATTATGGCTTTTGTTTCCAATCCTCATTTCCTTTTGCTGCTGGTTTTTTTTTTTTTTTTGTGAAGAGATTTTTTCAATATAAATTCCAAGCATTGTTAAAACTATGTTACTGCAGGCCAAGAAATGACTTGTAACTGAAGATCGGTTCCGGATGAAGTAAATAAACTTGGTCAAGGAACAGCGAAACATTTTCGCGTGCTGTAAATGGATGTGGCAAGATAAAAAAAGAATATTCTTCCACGCAAGTGTAGGCTCAGAGCTCATGCTGTAAATGCTGCAATTGTTGTATGTGAAACTGTTCTTATTGATTGTATATCCAAGACATTGCAAGACATTACACGAGGTTGTATTGTATTACCACCTGTTGTTTGTCGATCTTGGTGAAATGTAAAGATAATTTTTGTTTGTTCAAGGTTTAATTAACTTTTATCAATAATAGAGTTATTGTTCTTCTTGTAATGTTACAGTTAAAACATTCTTATTCTGTACGAAAATCATTCACACTTGATTTATATATATTCTTAATGAACAAAACATAGGCCAATGTGTTTTGCGGACGTTAGCTTGAGAAATAGGATAAGCAGTATTATTGAACCAAAGGTTAACCATTCAATGATTCAAGTAACCATAAAACCGGTATTAATCTACGCGAAGATCTGCATGAATACGCTAATCAGTTTGGTAATAATATTCTTTTATTTATAGCAAATACTTATAAGATACTTCAATCACTTGAATACTTAACACATATTTAACAAGTTTTTAAATGGTAAATTGTAACCTTTTCAACAATAATATTATGGTATAATTGTTAACGAGAGTTTAAATTTTTTTTCGAAAAAGAAGTGTATATATATATATATTCATCCATTCAATATAATTCCCAATTTGTTTTTTAATAGTAATAAAGAAAAGTTAATATATATAACATAAATAATAAATATATATTGAAAATTGCCTACATCTAACACTTCCTAGACCTATAATGGTGGCAGGCTCAGTTTTTTTTTTTTTTAGTTGAAGTTTATCCAAAAATAAACTTTCTGGGTTCAAAATTCTTATTTATCTTTTTATTTTGAAATGTTTCTAAAAAAAATGTGTCATTCTAAAAATAGTTGTACTATTTTTCATAACATTCCGAACTAGGGAGGGACATTAGGGTTTTTTGAAATGGAGCTTTAGAGAAGATTTTTTTAATAGGTTTTAATTAGTTAATCCAATTATTTGGTGCAAGAATCATTACTATTATTATTAATTTTCTTTTTTTGTTTTTTTGTTTTTTTGTTTTTAAGGTACATGTCAACCTCTTTCATTGAGCTTTAAAAAAAAAATTTCTTCTTACAGAATATGAGGCAATTATTGTCCTTGTATTTTTAATCCGGATAAATTTAAAAATTCACTCAGTATAATAAGTTTGTTTTTTTATTAAAAGCCCATATAAAAAAGTTGATACCCCTTAGAACTAATGCATATATATATATTATGGTTTTTTGATATTATATATATTTGATATGTTTACCTATTTTTAATGCATTACGGTTTCATAAAATAATTTTAAAATACGAAAAATATGATTATCATTGGATCAACCTAATTTCGGATAGATCTCAATCGATTGCTTATTTATGATCGATTTATGATTGTACACCTTTCTTAATAGTTGATCAATTTAACTAGTTAACCTAGGGTTCCCTGATTATTCCTCAGTGTAAATTGATTTTTTTTTTTTTTTTTTTCATGCGTAATTGTTTTTTTATTTACGTTATTCAATGTTCTATATTTCCTTATTTTGATCAGCATGCTCTACGTGACTCGAGAGTAATTTTTTTTTTTTTTTCGGTTTTTTTTTTTTTAACCTGAAAAAATCATATAGTATTAATAAGAAGAATATACCGGCAGTGACAGAACATGGAAACATGGGACTATGATAAATTGATTCTATTTCCAGTAGTTGAGGTGAAAAAAAAGAAGAAGAAAAACATGCAACAAAACTTGCTTTTATTTATCTATAAATACACAATTGCATTCTTGCAAAAAATATTATTATATGGATTATTAAAAATGCTTTCTGCTCAAGCAGAGTTTGAACTTGGAACATGCCATAAGCATGATCCTTAAACAAACTACAACTCTATACTTTTCCAACTCTATACTCTATCCTTAAACAAATTTTTTTTTGGGAAGATTGACCGGAATCAATTTACTTACAATACTCAATTGACATTCATAAAAAGTATATATATATATATATATTTTTTGGACAGGAGGTATCCGACGCTGACGCCCTGAACTATAGCATTATAGGTACTTAGAAGTCATGGAAATACATGTGATAAATAACACAACTTTATTTATATTGAAAGTTGATCCTCCTTTTAAGGAATATTATGGCTATCTACTCATTCTGTTATTTGAAATGACTATTGTGACACCATTGTTACTAATATTATGCTACTGGTCTTGATTTAGGGGCATGACTTGTGCAATGTGATCCTGTGTATTCTGTAGATGTTTTCTTTTCTTCTGATTTTCTTTCCTTGTATAGTTTCTGAAAACTTCACTCTAACAATATCAATTTAGGTACTGATCATGTTGAATACAAGGATTCTTTTCTTTTATAGTTTTTAAAGTACTCATACTCATCTCCAAAAGAGCACAGAAATTGAAAGAATTACATATCTACATCACTTTTTCATTTTTAAAATTAGCATTTCAACGTGCTGATTATGCACTCCAATGCGATAACCACTGATATAATTTGCTGTGCCAACTGAGTTTGAGACAGAACATTGCCTCAAATTGATGAGACAGAAACATAACCTAACCAACCAAAATACAAGATAAAATTTCAGAAAAACTAATACCCTACAATTAAGATGGAGGAGAAAAGGAATTGATTTGAAAACCTCGAATACATTGTATGTTAATGAGAGCGATCCATTGTTAGCAGAAAGGTGGTGATGCTTGTGACGAAAATGGCTAGCAGGAGATTAACACGAGGGCGATGACCCCAATTGGGAAACTTGGGAAACTGTGTAGGAAGTGAACATTCTTCCCCATTGAAGAACAATTTTGTAGGAAAACCATCTCCTGCTTGTACATTGATGCCTGGTGTATTCTTTTTCAGGAATGAAATCACTGATTGCTGCTTTCCAGGGACTTTCGGGTCCCTTGGATTAGTCCCATTTGTAATCCCCACTAGATAGTTCAACCCTGGCAAGCCTTCCATGAAGATGGTGTTGTTGACTTCAGGCAACTTTTTACCTCTGAAGGAGTAGACATTTTCAAAACCAGCATAAGTCTTTTTCATTTGGATCGCCAAGAACCAGTCCTCAAATGGGAATGAATCCCAGTTGAAGAGTGTGATTTTAGCCGTCCATCCACTTGTGAAATCAGTGTCAAGATGCCAGTTAATGCTAACCCCACAGTTGTCAGGACAGGGCAATTTTTTAGGGACGGGAAGGTGCTTAATTGCTGCAAAAGCTTTGGCTTTGATTGTCCGGTTGTCGAAAGGCACAAGAAGAGCATCTGCAGGGAGAGGCATTGGACGCGCATTGGGGTTGCAACGCTTTGTATTTTCGCAGCCACAAGCGCAGGTGTTGCAAGGGATGACAGCATCTGCATAATATGCTGAGTAGGACACACAACACTTGTTTTGTTTAGCCTTAGGTTTGGTAATGTTGCAAGTGACTTGCCAACTTGCAATAGCTGAACTTGTAGCTGGAAGCCCACTTGTGTCTGGGAATTCTGTCGGGTCTACCCTGAGCGGTGCGCTACATTTGTAGTCCGGATTAAGGATACCGGAGATCTTCCAATTCTGGGGCGGATTAAAGGCGGTCCTATTCAAGTCAGGCGGCATTTTGAACACTGATAATTGGAAAATTGACCTTGCCTTGGTTGCATTCATGGTTGTTGGTAGAAGACTCCCATTTCTGCAGCAATATGGTAACTTTCCAACCTTTTCGTCCTCTTTTCTCTCAGCAGGGAGGTCAGAGATGGTGGGTTTTTTTTGACAGTTCATGATGGAAGAAAAATCCAAGTCTTTGTAGTACTTTCCAGCAGCACCGTAGATGCATTCAGTAGCGTCCTTCTTGTGAGTGTAGGCTCCTCTCATTTGTTGAATGAACTCTCCTCTCATCCATTCCCAAGTCAAGTTCCAATGATCGAGACGGCCAATCGGGTTGTTGTTGTCGATGGTTACTTGAGCTTGATAATTGCCTTCGAAGGCTTGGAGTATATCGTAGGTGAAGGAGAGATCACCATACTGGCGAGGCATGAATTTTGTTTTGGTAATTTTGGCCTTGAATTTTGGATCCTTCTTACAACAAATCATCATCTGGTTTTCTGTCAAATTATTAAGTAAGAAACGAGTGAGAGAGATCTAATTAGTAAAAGGGCTAATTGACATTTCTATTTTTCTGATCTATTATTTCAGATATATAACCTGTGTTATATGCAACATATTACAATCACGATATAAAGTTATTGCATGTTCATGGCATCATGCATTGTTCATCAACCATATAGATATATCATGCATATATAGTAAATTACATGGAAGAGAGACACAGAGAGCTTCTTACCTTGACGCGTAGCTGCCGGACATTTGTACCCCTCATTGACCAGCTTTATCGTCTTAGGCATCGGGATGCCCGGTGGCTTCACCCCGAACTGCGTCCCTGTTATCTCCGAGACCACCTGAATCTGACTAAAGTCCCCGGCAGTATCAATGGCCGTTTTCAAATCCGGATTCGGGTACCCTACAAGGTACGTCCCATTCCCGACTTGTGCCGGAAAACCCTCTCCGTCAACGACAGACACCCCGGTGGCCGACACCAAAATCTCTTTATGCTGAAACCCAATAAATATCTTCCACGCCTTGACCTCGTCTGCGCCTGTGTTGACAATGGTGGCCGTGGCCTTGAACTTCCACGCTTGCGCGGTGGCGTTGGTCAAGAGCGGGTACTCCTTCTCTCGTGACTCAAATGCATATGACAAGAAGATGCCATTGCAGTCTTGTTGCTCTGGTGGAGGAGCGGACACCGCAGGCGGTGAGTCGGGGTCGTAATCCTGAGCCTTACATATCTGAAAGCTTGAAGAGAACAAGACAATAACAATACAAGATACCACTTTCCACGGTATTTTCATATTACTAGCACTTCTTGACATATTATTAATTTGTATGTGTTTGAACTTTAATTTGTTACCAAGAAAGATTGAGATATATGTGTTGAATTGTTAACGATGGACAAGGACAAGAAGAAAGAGAGAGAGAGAGAGAGAGAGACGGAGAGAGTTGATGATATATAGGTATGTGTTGAATCTGATGGACTAAAGTCACCAGCCAATGCCGCTGCGAGAGAGCACACGGCGAAGGAGGTGATAGATGGAGAAAATGGGGAGACTGAAGGAAGAAAGCAGGTCATGAAATACTTATGAAAGAAACGAAAAATAGTAAAGCCATGTCACCTCTATTCTCCAACTCTAGTTTTTGAGACATATTCGGAGGAAAGCTGTACTGTTTGGTTAATTTAGAAAACAAAACACTGAATTTTCTAACTTTTTTCACTTTGATCTCTCATTTCTAATTATAACAATTTTTCATTCGTGTACTCCCTGTCTGAATTTTCTAACCATTTTCACTTTGGTCTCGATTCTAAAAATAACAAATTCTTCATTCCTCTACTCTCTCTCGTGAACCTCAACTTTCACAACCAACACATTGCCATTTTACGCCTCAAGAAATACAAAATTAGAAAAACATTAATTGTAAAATGACAAAAGCCCTTCAGACAAAAAAAAAACATACATATAATACAATATAGTTGAAGCAAACACATACACCTACAATATTATTCTTAACTGGCTCACTCACTCAAACTCCTCTTTAGACAGGGGAGACTATACCATCCAAGTTAACTCTCCATGCCATTCAAGTTAATGTCCATTAGTAAATTAGGATACAATTACATATATATAAGCGTTGTGAACGAAAAACACCCCTATAGTATGTATATAGGGTGTATAACCCCCTAATTCCCTATAAGTTTTAAAAAGTCTCTAACATTTAATTTTAGAGCAAATAAGGACCTAAATGTTAAAAAGACTAAAGTGTCCCTCTATAACTAAATAAAAAATAAGTAAAAAGATTAATTAAATGTGAAATAACTAAACCGTCCCTCTTTATATATATATATATATATATAATTGGGTTGCGAGTAAAAACCACTCTTATGATATGCATATATAGAGTATATAACCCCCCCCCCCCCCCCTCCCCCCCCCCCCAAGATCGTTATAAATCTCCTTAGCATTCAATTTTGGTGCAAACAATGACTTGAATGCTAAAAAGACTAAATTATCCCTCTATAACTGAATAAAAAATAGGTAAAAAAAACTAATTAAATGTGACAAGTGTGTGTGTGTGGAAGAGATAAAGGTATTTTTAAAATTTTATATCTTACAAATTTCATCTGTAATGCATATGAATAAATTTTTAACAAAATAATGACCTCAAGCCTTTCTTTGTTACGTTTTTCATACTTAATGAACATATATACTTAAAATAAAGGATATGAGCGTTATTTGTCCAAAATGTAAATAGTAGGGGTGTTTTTCTCACTTTGTCGTAAAAGGGCATTATAGGAAGAGATAAGGGTATTTTCAAAATTTCATATTTTAATAGTGACTTCAAGCTTTTTTTTCGCTCATTTTTCAAACTTGATGGACTTATATACACTATATAAACACTTTTTTGTTCATTTTTTCAAACATGATGGAGTTATATACAAAAAAATAAATGATAGAAGTGTTATTTGTCCAAAATTAAAATATTAAGAGTGTTTTTCTCACTTTGCCCTATATATAATAGGAAATATGAATAACCCACTTACATGACCATTGATCTAAAAATGATCCGAAGTTATTTTGATCAATAATGAAAGATATTATAGTGATTTCAGGTACAAAAGTATCAAATGGAAGGTGGGTATTGCATATTTTTGTAATAGTATAAGTGGGGGTTTTGTGCAAAAATAAAAGTTTATGTGAACTTTGTACGAAATCGTAAAAGTTGAGGGTATTTATTTATTTATTTTTATAATTTACCTCCTTTTTTTTTTTTTTCCTTTATATATATATATATATATATATATTACAAATTTCTCTTCTTCTTTCTTCTTTTTTAATCTCATACCAAACAAAATAAGAAAATTCTAAAAATTCACCCACTCTTTCTAAGTCTATTCCCATTTTATAATTTCATTTTCCCTCAAGCTTCTAGGCACAAAAAAAAAAATCAAACCCCATCAATTAAGCCAAAATACAATGACTCTCCTATATTTTTTAAAATTACACACAGGCCTTCCAAATTTAAGTTTAGGTAACAAAAATTTCTCCCCCTTAATGGTCAATGTTGGTTAGGTCAATTTTTGTTTATGTTAGCAAGCAATAAACCTACAACTCCTATTAACGTGTTAAGCAATGAGGTCTTACAATGAAGGTTAATGTAATTTTTAAAATCATATATCAGTGTACTTAAAAAAAAAAGTAATTTTCACTTTGTTGTATACACTCAGGGCTAGTTTGGTGTGGTGGAATGGAATAAAAGAAAGTGGAATGGAATAATTTTTTTTTCCATTCTCGTATTTGGTGCGTAATTTTCAAGTTGGAATATCATTCCCCACTATTATTGGAGAATGACCATTCCATCAAAATCATTCCATTTTCAAACAAAAGGAATGACTATTTCATTCTCACTTTAAAAAACTATGGACTAAACAAAATTAAAAAATAAAGCTGAGTCCCCAACAAATTACAAACCTATATCAATCCTGTAAACACATCGGTGATGAACAAGGAAGAAAGAAGCAAAGCCGGCCCCGACGAGCAAGAAGAGGGTTTGATCTAGTGATGAAGTGGACTGAAACAGCGGCGACTATGAATGATTTGGACAAGTTTGCTGAAAGTCAGTCGGAGAACGTTGCAGTTGCTAGAGAAGATGATCGGAAAATTCGTCGGGCAAGTGACATCTACGCGTAAAACTTCAGATGAGGCGTGTTAGCACGTGTAGCGTCATATGGGTTTGTTCTTTGCACCATTGTTGTGTTCGTCTTGGCACATTGGACCTTCGTCTGTGATTTGCTGCTATATGATTTGTGGTCTCAATTAGAAACACTACCGCCAGATACATAGAAACACCACCGCCGGATACAAATGCTCCGGCGGCGACGCCTCTCCTTTGTTCAATCACCTACTTCTCTCCATCGCCTCTTCTTGCCCGTCTGTTTATTTTTTCTCATCTATTTTCTCTCTCTATCTCGTCTATTTTCTCTCTCTATTATCTATTCTCCCTTTTATTTTTGCAGATATAAATTTTTTTACTAATAATAAAATATAATTTAAAGAAATAATATAAATTTATTTTATTCCAATTTTCTTACCAAAAACATGAATAAGAATGAGCATTCCATTTTTGCAACCAAACGGTAGAATAAGAATCAATATTCTAATTCCATTCTCTTCTCATTTTATTTCCACCTCCATTCTCATTTCATTCCTATCCCTTCCACCACACCAACAATCCAACTATTGACTATTGCGATAGATCACACCCCTTATCTTGTCTCAACATTTACTACCTATTATATATTAGTCTCTGTTCCTAGGTAATTGGAGTTCTAAGTGGGTGATATTTGATAGAATAATGCTACAATTGCTGACATTACCACCGCGATAGAAAAAAGGAGCGTGAGAGGACGACAAAGAGAGGAGTGTGAAATGATGAAATCCATCACTTCACACCCATCTCCTAGTCATTGTCTCGTGACTTACGTAATATAAGTTTTTTCCATCTTGATAATCATGGTGTAACTATGAACTTTGAAGTTTGTACACCACTGGCATATGGGTAAATTTTCAGGAAAAAAAACAAAAAAAAAAGGGTTTCATGAAATTCTTGACGTGGCCACCGAACACCAGTTATGGGGATCACAACAAATCTGCTTCAATAGCCCTAACTAAGGTGATCATCATGTACTTTGAATTGTCACAAAACACATTGATTAACGAGCCAACTGAGTTTGCCGATTAGGCTATAACTCTGACTAATGTTGCAATTCAAATAATGTGTTGATGCTTATTAACTTATTTGAGAGTCAATGGCATTATCTTGATGCCATGTTTAGGAACACCTAATCCACGACTTGATTTTTGAATTGGAAAATTTTTAATTCAAAATTTTAACTAAATTTTTTCTAATCACAAATCCAAGTTTCAATGCTTCCCAAACCAGTCTCAAAATAATGTGTTAGATTCTCAAAATTAAGTTATCAACCAAGTCACAGCACTGTGTAAAACATAAAATTTGGAGGGCCTGCATAAATTGCTATCCCTCTACGCACAAAGGAACAACATATATTTTATTGGAGTTCAAAGCATGCTGAAAGAAAAATCACATTTCTGAAGCAAAACATTATCTTCATGAACCATAGAGGTCAGAAAGAAAGCCAGCTTAAAATGCTTCCCTTAGAAAATCCCCATAGTGGAATTTCTCTGCCCACCATTGCAAATTTTCTTCACGCATTCACTCTACATAAACCATGCCTTTAACCAAAATTTTCTTCTATAAAACTTTAAATCATCTCCAACAGTGTGCGCCCAAGAAACATTAACCATATCTAATGCATACAAATTTTCTTCTAAAAGTACCACCCCTAAATAACATAACATCCTATTCATTCTGATTTCAAGTGGTACAGATGTATTGAACCTCTGACCTAGCAACTACAAAGAGACCTATCACAGTATCATATGAAGCTGAAGCTCGTAGTTTTGGAAGCATAAATCTAACAGAGTTCTCAGATCCACCAGAAATTCAACAGTTGAAAGAGAACAGAAGGACAATGGGTATCATTTCCAAATTTCTCTCCGAGTGCTTCATCTACCTTTTACTTTCCAAATGATTCCCCAAAACGCCAATCCCATATACTCAGGGACACCAACCTTTTTTTTAAGTCGAGAACTAGCCTAACATTTTTGCCCATAAAACCAAAACAAGGTCAAGCTATACTACCGAACAACAATATCCATATTCATTCTTGAAAGGAAGAGCATTTATATATCTACAACAAAATTGAAATGCACACTTTGTGTTATGAGCTTCATCTTGGAAGAATCTATGCATAGCAAATACCATCTATGGAGGCAATGCCAAAGATTCAATCACTACTTTTGGAGTTAGTTAACTTCTATCTTCAAGGAAAACAGCTCCTTGAAGAAACCAATACCACCAAGAAATTCAGAAAACTTGAGTGAAGGAAACAAAAGAAAAGGAAAGCGAGAAGTAACAAAAACAAAAGGAACTAAACACTGCCATTTCCACATCAAAGTTTCAACAAAGAGGAAACAGATTAAAAAAAAAAAAAAAGGTACATGCCACTACCATTCACAAAGACTTGCCATACCCCACTAAATTTATTTCTGCATTCAATCACCACCCGCACCCATCACCAGCAGCGTCAGGACTACTTTTGCACTCATCTTTCTTTTTTCTTTTACTTTTTTTCTAAATTTTATTTCTGACTACATATTACCTCACCTAAGCATCTGCAATCTCAGCCGCATCAACAGCTGCTAGGATCAGCTCTGGGTGAATACCCCCAACATATGTTCCATCTAGAGCATTAGGCTGCCCTAGTGCCTTCAGTGCCAAGTGAGCTGCCTTCTGTCCTGATATCATCATAGCTCCAAATGTAGGTCCCTGAACAGAAAAAACACAGTGTGTTACGCTTCAATCAATTTCATCACAAAATATTGTTTGTTTTGCTCTTGACTTCGCAATCATAAAATAAATGGCTCATTTTGGAACAATGGGATCCGATGGACGCAATAAAATCTAATTTCACTTGAATGTGACAGAATTATCAAATAGAATTTTCAAATACAATTCTCATCATTATGTCCATTGGAAAGGCGGAAATGACAAAAGCCAGCTGAACTTCTGTATAACAGTGATATGACGCTAACCAAGGAACGAAAGACAGGTGATATATTAAAATGAGAAGCATGTTTAAAATTTCCTAAAAGATTGAAGCGTAGACAAATCAATACAAGAAAAAGAATTTACCATCCTGGGAGATCCATCTATTTCTGCGACTTCCATTCCAGTTACAATCATCCCTGGAACAATCTCCCTTGTCAGCCTCACAATCGCATCTTCCGCTGCATTCATGTCAAGCGCTTTCATGCCTGGCACGCTATCAATCATCCCAATACTCTTCAGCCTCTTTACTCCAGTGGCCCCAAATGGCCCGTCATGTCCGCAAGAGCTGACAACCACTTTTGCCTCCATCACATTTGGGTCCATGCATGACTGTGTGTCATGATTCATGGACACCAAAGCCCAATTCGTCACCACACCACCGACTCTTCCTCCCTTCACTATCAGGTCCTCAGCTGCAACAGCATTAAAGAGCTTCACATTTGGCCTAGCCAACAGCTTGCTCATGATAGTTGAAGTAAACAATGCGGCGTGTTTGATGACAACATAGTCGTCTGCCTCATCATAGTCGATACCAAGCTCATTAAGGAAGAGATGAGCTGGCTTCCGAACAACCATAGCTGAAAAGAGCTGTCCACCAAGCCACGCACCACCACCAGGGCTCACTGATTGCTCAATGATTGCCACCTGTGCGAAAGAACATGTCAAGAAAAAATGAACATCAAGAGAACACTCAAAATATTGTACTTCCATCCTCTCTTAATAACAAAAATTCAACTTCACATTTTAAATGATCTCCTCAAAAAAACCCAAAGAAGGTAGCATCACAAAAATCAATTGTGTTGCAATGTAAACATCCAGGTCACACATTTAGGAATAACAACAAAAAAAAACTGGTTTTTGTGCTTGTGAAAGAGCAATTAGAAATAAGATTACCGATGGCTCTAGCTTACCTTCCCTTTGGAGAGGTCGGGTGTTCAAGCCCTAGTGGGTGCAAATTATACCCGGGGGTGGGTTATTTTTGCTTGAACTTTCAAATAAATAAATCAGTTTTAAGAAGGAAGAGATTCCAGAAAATCTTCAAAATTCTAGTTAGCAGGAATCATAACAAATTAGAATAAACAATGGGAAGAAAAGAAACAGCTGAAAATTTGGTTTCTTCTGACGTGCAGATAGGTTTTAAACTTAAATCTGTCAGATTTTCTATTGTCCATTTTCTTTTTATTTTTATTTTTTTTCTGCAATTGATTTATTGTCTGATGTTCTTGAAGAGTCCATGTTTGGCATATAAAAGTTTTTTTTTTAAAAAAAAAAAGAGCAGACATCCAAGGTATTAAAGAAAGTTGAGCATAAAGATATTTGGAAGGATGTTAAATGCTTGAAACCTCTGGATTCCATAAGCATGTACAAGTACCAAAAAGGCTAACAGAGGTAATCATAAGCCAAAAGCCCTCTATTAGAAGTAGTCCAACAATAGATCCAAAAGCAAATCATACACCGACAAAATCCAACAAATCAATGGTATGAAACATCTTGAATTTCAATAATTAAATCAACACAGATTCTAAACTTTCTTGTTTACTTTATCCTCAAATGTTAAGACTTATATTTACTTAAACCAGCATATACTTTCTATGCGTGTCAAAAAATAATTATTAAACAATATAAAAATAATAGTGTATACTGTAAAAATTCTTTTACCTGTACAAATGGATTCTTGCTCAGCTCATAAGCACAGGAAAGACCGGCAGATCCAGCACCGACGACGACGACGTCGGTATCGGCGTAGGTGATCATGTCCATCATGTACCGGCGAGTCATTTCACGCGAAACAATCGATTCTTTGATGGGATCAAATTTGAATGAGTTGAGATCGTAGGGTGGAGTTGAAGCAGAGATGGAGATGGTCGTGTTTTGCGGGGTTGATTTGATGGGTTGTAGACGATTTGGGGAAGAAATGGGAACCCCATGAAAAGAGGATTGATGGGTTTCCAAGAAACTAGTCTTGGGCTTTGAAGAGAGAGAAGAAGTGAAGGTTGTGGCCATGGTTGCCATTTGTGTTTAGCTTCTGATTTTCTGCAAATTTGAGAGAGAGAAGCAAGGAGGAGGTTGTGTGAGTGTCAATGTACACACTGATGCGTGTATATATAATACTCCGTATCTGGAGACGGAAAAATACTGAGGAGCACAGTGGACACGCGTGAGCAGGATAGGATTTGAAGGGTGTAGAATTTGTTAAGAATTTACAACTTATACTTCGAAAAATTTCAACTTTTTATAATAGTGGCAAAATTAATTATAGAAGATATAATTAATGGGTTTTTTCTTATTTTATTAGCACTATGAAATTTCAACTTTTAGAACTAAATTTTCGTTTTATATTTATTCTTTATTTTTTTATCCTACTTGTACGTGTACACTTATATAACCTTGATTATTTATTTTCTTACGGACCTAAGTGATACCTTATTCTTTCTTCTCTCTCTTCTTTTTCTTTTTTTTTTTTCAATTGTTTTTCTAAAAAAATATTTTTTTTTTTCCATCTTCTATAATTGATTTAAGAATAAGGTATGTAAGAAGAAAAATAATCAAGATATATAGGTGTACACGTACAAGTAGAATAAAAAATAAAGAATTAATATAAATGGGTAATTTGGTCCTATAAGTTGAAATTTCATAGTTCTAATAAATAGAAAAAAAACGTATTAATTACATCTTTTATAATTGATTTTTCAACCTATAATGAATGAATAGTCACTTAGTATTCCTTTATAAAAAATAATACATTCAAATTTGAAATGGGACATGTTTTTGGGACATCACAAAATAGGAAGATAGACAATTATTTTAGGATAGAGGGAGTAATATTTTAGAAATACATTAAAAATAATTAATATAAATTTTTAAAGTAATACTTCCTCTGCCCCCACCAAAAACTTTTTAATTAGAGAAGAAAACAAAAAATAAGAGAACATTAGCAAAAAAAATTTTAAAATTAGAATTTAATTAGAGAAGGGGAATGCAACATGTGTTAGGGTTAATTTTTTTATTTATATATTTTTTTAAGAATAAGCGTAGAAGAGAAAAGGAAAGTAAAATTAGAAATTGAGAATTTTGAGGAGGGATATTTTGTAATATTTACAAACAGTGACGGAGTTAGAATTTCAAGTGAGGGGGTCACGTTGTCAAATAAATAATAATAATACGGAGTGTGTGTGTGTGTATATATATATATAATAACTATAAAATTCAAAAGACAAAGAAGAAGAAAATTATTTAATATTAAAAAGAAGAATTTTAAGAGTAAAAGTAAAAAAAGAAAAAGAAAAGAAAAATTAGTGAACTTTAAATGGAAAAAGTTTTTAATTAAGAAAGGAAATTTTGACTTTTTAAAATAAAATAAAATAAAGAAATAATTTTAGAAATCATAAAATTTAGGAGGAAAAATTTTGGCTTTTTTATTTAGAAAATTTAAAGAATTGAAGAATAAAAGAGAAAAAGAAATAAAGAGATAATTTTAAAAATTACAAAATTTAGAAGAGACACTGTATAATTATTTTTATATATATATATATATAAAATTAAAAAAATACCATATATATTATCGGGTGGGGGCCAACGGTCCTTCACGGGCTCTATCGTTGTTTACAAACTTATATTCTTAAATGTAAATACGAAAAAGTTAGCCCGCTTGAAACTAACGTGGCTCCATCTCTGCCTAAAAGGGTATGATGATGCAGTGGGTGTTTGCAAGTGGCATTGAAGAATCCTGCAAGTTGATGTCTAAAGCTTAACTTTTTTGTCCATATTTTAACACCTCTGGAAAGGGAGTCCAGTGACTGACAACGACGTGTACTGGAAAAAGATTCGGACTTTTTAAAAGATTAAATCATTTGATTCTGAACACAGCATCAGATTAAATTAAATTTGTGTCATTTTAATGGACTTATTTATCAGCTAATGAAAAAAAATTTCCACCATGTGTTTTTTGTCCACTTAGAATCAGAACAATAAAGTATCCCATGATCCATCTTATTAGCATCCAAACTCATTCGGCGGAGGAAACAATAAGACGTCCCTCTGAATCTAATCATTGCTACCGCTTTAATCTTGACGTTTTCCGTGGGATGATTATGTCGATATAAGCGGACAGATACGAGATACCCGCGAACTACCACCATTTTATTTCAACTTTGCAATTAAGCGTGCTCATGCGAAAATAGTATCAGAATGACAGAATAGGCGACCTTGTGTAAAGTCTGATAAAAAAAGATAACAAAACGCACAATATGTATATATATATATATATATATATATAGATATATATATAGATGATATAATCAAATCTTTTTTAAAAAAAGAGAGAATAGAAGTTTCAAATATTAATCCTCATAATATAACCTATACAATCGATACACATACATTACTCCGTTTTTAAGATCTTTTATTTTTTGGGTCAAAAAAAGAGAGGGCTTTACATAGAAATAGAATGCTAAATGTCTAAAATTCAGTAATATAGGTGGCGCTAGCAATGATGGGGCTGTGAAGTGGGGGTGGTGGTTAGTGTGATGGGGTGAAGTGATCGTGCTGCTTGGTTTATTAGTATTAGTGAGTTGAGTCTCAACATTAAAGATATTTTGGTAACTTAAAAAAGAATAGTATTATAATTGAACATGTCAAATCAGGACTAGTGAAAATATTTTTGTCAATTTGATCCCATATGAAGGAGTGACTTAGTTAAAAAAAGACCTACCTTGTATATAACTCTCATTATGAAAGACTTTAGAAAATGTGTGTAATTTATCCTTGAATATAAATATGAATACGATGCACAAATTTATGTGAAAACATGACCAACAAATTTATGATGTTTAAGATTGAAAAAACACACTTTGATATTAATGTTCTAGCATGCATTTTGAGACCATGTAAAAATTTGTCTCAAATGTGAACTCCCCGTCACTTGGTCACTCCGGATGAAAATCATGAAACTATTCTAATCAACTTGTTCACTTAGCTAAAATACTTCAAAAGAAGTTTTGGGGAGGTTGTTGTCGATTTATAGTTTTTTTTTTTTTTTTGGTTGTTAGTTAAGGAATGTTAAGTCGTGATTGCATAAAAATAGTCTTTCAATTTGTGGTCTCCACACAAAATTTAAAGGTTGTGCACGCATAGATGTGGTTGCGCATAGCACAAGTTACCTTTATTTGCATTATTATTATGTTCCCAATGCTTTGATCGGTAAGAAGAAATGAAGAAGAGTGAAAAGAAAAATAAGAAGGAAGAAACAAATAAGAGAGAAAGAATAATAGAATTGATGAGTTATCCTTTCTTTACAAATTTTTATCTGTTTAATACTTAGTTAGATAGGAATGAAGAAAATTAGATAAAATGGAAAGAAGAAATGATGAATGAATCTCTAGAGAAAAGATTATATTCTTCCATTCTTTTGTTCAGTTGATTGAAGAAAATAAAAGAAACTGATAATTTACTTTGATTAGTAGAATAAAAGGAATGAAAGATTTTTAAATTGTTTTTATCATTAAACCATCACTTACTTTATTTTTAAGATTAAAAAATTTACCATTAAACTATCACTTATTTTATTTATAAAATTCATTAAATATTTACGAAGAATGATAATAATTTAAAATTTGACTCGTTTATCCCTTAGTCACACAAAGAGGCCCCGCTCTCAAGCTCAAGATGCAAATTTGTGATTTGAGAGCAAATTCGCAGAAAATTCGCGAGTTCAATTTTTGCAATTTGCGAATTTATTTTCCTAATTCACAATTTTCGTATAATTTACTTTATATAACTACATTTGTTAGAGTCCCAATAATATAGAACATCTATACTACCATATATACATTTATTACTTATATTATTACTCAATATATACATTAATTACTTAAATTTTAGTGTGCCCAGCTGTATGGTGTTGCTATACTACCATATATATATATATATATATATATATATATATTAATTATACATGTTTGAAAATATATTACTAAAAAACTTTTCAGAATAAATCAAGCATCTATTAATGAGAAAAGTTAGTTTATTTATTACATATATCATTAATGAAATAAATAGTCATTAATATATATATATATATGAATTTAAATAAATAAAATATCTAAAATATATATAGTATGACTTGATATAATTTTATTTAAATTTAATATACAGAAGCTTTTACTCTTAAATTTTTTTTTAAATTTTGACACTTTCGTGCCCTTGCTGTGTGTAATTTAGGTTTATGTTCCTTCCCTTCTTTCAATTCAATTTTTTCTTTCCTCTTCATAATAAATGTGATTGTTGGATGTCAATTTAAGGTTGGTAGCCAAGGGCAACTCCTACTCTTAATTGTCAAATGGCAGCCCAATCTTCTAGGCAATTAATGTGGTAGGCTGGTACATGAGGCCGCCAGTGGGAGTGGTCGTCTTTATGTTTTGTATTTTTCTACGGAGGAGGGTCTAAAAAACGTTATTCACGCATGTACTGGTATATCTCTTAGATATCCATACTGCACAATTGAAGCGTTATATCTCAAGTTAAAACATACAAAAATATTTTTAAAATTTCTTAAACTGATTTGCAAATTAAACATAATATATATTTATATACTTATTAAACATGAGAAGGTCTAATTTAACTATTTGTAAATACCTCAAACTTTATTTAGTCGATACTGGGCCATGATCAACATTAACATTTGTATTTTGGAACATTTTTTCAAAAGAGGCCCGAGATGAGAGGCTATTGTCTCTCTTAATTCTCACACCATTTTTCAGTGTCTTTAAGAAGAGACTTACTCGCTCCACTTGTGCATTTTGCCAAAGGCATGCTTAAATGCCACTAGGGATGGGGCAGTTGGTTGGGAAAAGGCCCTCCCTCCCTTGAATCGGACCCATTTTACGGAGTATTTGGTAACCACGTGACAACCATCAACTCCTAATGTATTTTTTACTCAATTCTGTCTTTGCATTTTACTTAGTGCTATGGTACTGGTGGTACTATTTTAGACATAACTTTAACAAATAATTTGACACTAAATAATTTTGTTAGAAAAAAAATAACAAACAACTTCTACTCAAACAAATGATATGAAATTAATTTAATATGAAATAAAATTAATGAAAGGATTAAAAGAATAGCAAAAGAGACTTTTGAGAATCAAAAGGGCGCAAAGGGGAAACAAAATAATAATAATAATAATAATAAGTTAGAAAGTACGGACACTTCTACGAATGAGCTGTACCCGACACTCCTCGAATACGTGTCCGACACTTTCCGGTTACTTCGTAAACACTTTTCGGACATTTCTAACACAAGTCTACCCAATAACAATGATTACAATAATAACATAATTTTATTTTGTAATCACTTCTGAGCAACTTTTAGTATAAAAATTATAAATAAATTAAAATTTTAAAATACCATTATTGAATAGATGTATAATAATAAAAATTTATATTATTATGTAATCGTGTCCTACTTTTTAAAAATTTGACGAAAATTTGGTAGGAATTACTAGTGACAACTTTTCAGCAAAAAATAAAAACAAACATGCGAAGGAAGAAGGTTAAAGTGTACGGACTACTAGCTAAAATTTGCCCAGAAATTACTAGTGTTTGCTACCTTTAAAGAGTGTCTCCTACCAAAACATCACATTAGAGCTGGCATACTTTAAACCCCCAACACTTCTATGGATAATCACATCACTCTTCAATTGCATTTTCAATTCTTGAACCCATTTACAATTTCTTAACACCTGTCATCAGTCGCTAGGGAATCTATTGATTCTCTCCCAATTGGTTGGACCATAGGTGCGATGATTTACTTCATGGGCAAGGTCTCTGGTTCAAGTCCAGGCCTAGGAATATCAATGTATACAAGAAAAATAACTTGTACATACATCCATCCATCCATCCATACATATATATATATATATATATATATATATATATATATATATCCAATAAAAGATTATTTGCACAACCATAAAACTAAGAAGCATCCATCATTATACCACATTGCAAACACAGAACTCCAAAGTACTCCAAAGAGTGATATTATCATACTAACATAGAAATAGTATTATACTAATCCAAGCTCCAATATTTATACACGAGAGGGAGTAGTCATTGAACTGTTATTAAATTCCTGCAGCTCAGAAACCATGAATTTTGATGTGATCCTTCTTCACAATGCCAGCCTGTTCAACAGCCAGAAAGAAAGGAAAAGAAGTCAAGAACACGCCATAATATCTGTTCATCAATGGACATGCACAACTATATTCTCGAGTTAAAACTTAATAGACTCATGCAAAATAAATTGGAGTAAAGTATGTTCTTCATGTTCCTGACGAGTTTGAGAACACAATTAAGTTGTCCTTTATAACACAAAATTGCAGTTGAAGTTCATCTTATAAAAGTGGCAGCAAAATACAAAAAGCAAATGGTTTAACTGGAATAGGAGTCTGAAGTGTTGTGTCAGCATTCAGATAATCATATAGCCAAACCAGTTAACTTTTGGCAAGTCCAAAGAGTTGAATCACAATATAAAAATCAACAACACCCAGTTAATGTTCAACACTATCCAAACTCCATCCAAGTATGGGACATATGATAGCTCAGTTTGCCACGGTACTTCAACGATTGTTTTGTGTGTGTGTGCGTGTGTGTTGGGGGGGAAGGGGGGGTATTTGAATGGTATTTTACTATTATCATCATCATCAACATTATTAATTTGTGATTAATGTGGTAGGGAGATCATCTATCAAGCCACTTCAAGGAATGTTGATGATAATCACCTGAACAAGGAAGGTAGACACATTCTTCCGCTGGTCACCTTGAAGCTGAATAACCTTTACAGTAACAACATCAAATAGGTGAGACACAACACATTAAGAACATAGAACTGAAACGGCTTAATAAGAATAAGGTTAAAACAAACCTGGCCTAGTTCTGGGTCCTGGACAACAGTACCATTGCAGCAAAACTCCTTCTTCAGATCCTTGAGTATCTTGTTGTAGCTGAATTCTTTCTTCAAGCCTTGAACAGTTGTCAGACTTTTCCTACCGTTCCTTTGCTGTGTACGGATGTGCACATACTCTTTTGACCCAGCACTAGAGTCATCAGCATTTGCTTCAGCAAACGGATCTAGCCAACCAAATGCAAACAAGGGAATATGTCATATTGCAACAAGAGGACACTGGGGAGGAAAAACTTATTTTTCCCATGTTCCAGTGTGTGCCATTGTCTCTCTTCCTTTTTCTACCCACAAGGTGAAGGTCCATTTTTTTCTCGTCTACTTTTTCCTCTTTTTATTTATTTATTTATATATATTTTTTTTCGGGAGTAAGGGGCAGAGAAGAGAAATTCATTGGAGGCAGAAAGTAGTTAACCATGCAAAGATAATCTAAAGCAGAAGAAATATTAGTTGCATGCCAAGGCAATGTAAAGTACATGGAAATATTAGTTGCAAAGCATAAAGAACATACCAAAAGCAGTAGGAATCTGGATGTCGAGTTCAGACATGAAACTTGGCTGATGAATTTGAAGAAAAATAACAGCCGCAAATATCCTGTACTATGCTTGAATTGTCAGAGACCTGGAATCAAGGTGGTGTACGTCAGAATGATAACTAAAAACATTCTAAAGGTATACAAGATAAAGGAACAAAACGACAATCTAAACATTAGCAGGTTAAATATTCATCTATCGGGTGTGACGTAGAGAGACATGTCAATTACCACAAAAATGGTCCCCGTTCATAAAGAAAAAAGTCACTCTTCGTAACTCCAATTTAAAACTAGTATTTACATAAAGATGGAAAAATGCAGCTCATGATCATACAGGTAAAAACAGATTTAAAAATAAATGTGGTGAAAAACATGTTCACAAATGAGAATCCAACAACAATAGTTTCCAATTCTATATTTTTAACTAAGCAACAATGTAACAGAACTTGTAAACCAAAAGGATTAATGAAACGACTACAAAATTAGCAGAATGGTTATTTATTACAATACGACAAGCCCAAGGGTTATCAATTAACCATATGGCGAACACAGATCAAATGAAGCAACAATAAAGCTATTAGCATCCGGAAAAGTTATTTCACATCCCTTGCACTTGTACAAAAATAAAGTGCATCATGTGCTCCAATTCTCTACGAAATTTGCATATAAATCAGGGAAATTTGCCAACTGTTTAGAGAAAGCTGATAAACATTTGAATTTCACAAAATAAAGGAACTTAAAAGTAATAAATGATGATGAAATTAAAGAGAATTCATGTGGACGGACCATTCCATTAGTGTGATAAAGGGAAGGATGATGATGGATTTAAATTAAAGAGAATTCATGTGGACGGACCATTCCATTCACCGGGGTTTTCCCAAATTTGTTTCCAGAAAAAAATGAAATTCCACATTAAAACAGGAAAAAAAATTCACTTTCTTGGCCTAATGGTAACTAAGTAACAAACATCGAATAATTTTTTTTTAAAAGGAAAATGAAAAAAAAAAGAGAGTGAAACGTTGAGTAAAAACAATTGAGTAAAAACAATGAACTACAGCGTACGCTTAATCAGAAAAATCACAAAAACCACATGAAGCACAGCACATTCACGAAGAAAAAGTGATCCCATAGCACTTGAAAACCCAAAATTCACAGATTAAGTATAGGTCATGCGATTAATCATATTACCTAATCAAACCATCACTAGAACAAAAGATAAAAAATATTAAAGCAAAAGCCTAGCAATTAGTATTAATTATCATATATTATAACCACAGAAAATCAAATCTACGCGAAGGGATGTATGGATATCAAGAAACAGAGGAACATATCAACAACAAAAAAATTAAAAAAACTTTAGAATCGTATTGCGTTTTTCTTCTCTCAATTTCGAGAATCAACGCATCTAAAGATCCATATGGTGAAAAAAAAAAAAAAAATTCAAGCAGCAAAAATCGGAACACAAGTACATAGATACTGAAGAGAAAGTACCTGAACTGAAGATTAGGGTTTTGTTTTTCTGAGTTGTAGACGGTTGTGGAAGAAACCCAAGTCCGATCAGAAAGGATTTGAAGAGAGAGAGAGAAAGAGATTGAAACCGGGATGGGGCTAAAGGTCTGTTGAGTGTTGATAGAAAAGGACTTGTTCGGTGGTTGGGATTAGGTCGGTTGCAATTGGACAAGGTTTAAGGAAAACTTATGATGGGCTGGGCCTACATATTACTTCTGCAATTAATAACTTAAAAACCATATGATGTGGGCTGGGCTGAGCCTGACCTAATATCTGTCTCGGGACCTAAACCACGTCATAAATGGTGACACTGAATACAACCACCTTCTCATGGCTATTCTTAAAAAAAAAAAACCGTGATTAGCAAGTGGCATAAATGGATTATTATTGTATACGAGTATAAAATAGAGATTTGGGCCTGTTAGGGTTTTTTTTCCTTCTTAGACACATATTGTCCCATCTCACGTGTACAAAAAAAACTTTTCTAAGAGTGATTTTAAAGAGATTTAAATACCCAACCTCCAAGTTAAATTTAGTGTGCAATTTTTTGAGAATAGAAAATTATAAAATTATATGAAAACCAATTTCGGAAAACTATTTTTTAAACTCTATTAAAATTAAAATTGTTAGTTTTAACAATTTCTTTTCATAAATTTTTAAAAATAATTTATATCTTCTAAATTATTTAAAATTAAATTTTTTTTAAGCGACAAACAAGCAATCTCTTATTAGGACAATGGAAATTAACTTAAATGGTATATATCACCTCTCTTCGGAGAAACTCTTTGAAGTACTTAGACGTGACGTCCCAAACCAATGGACAATTATCAAACTATCACTTTATGTGAATACTCGAAAAATAAAGAATTTTTAATCGTAAAAAGTATGACTGTAGCTAGCAAACAAAATCCCAGTGTGGCATTACTTGCATGTCAATATACGTGGAAACACCAATTCAGCCACCTGCCCAACCCCAACCATCTGCCCAACCCAAACAACTCCACGTACTCTCCATGCAAACCCTCAACTCCCCTATAAATAACCACCTACACCACCATCACCACCACCACCAGTAACAAGTAGTACTCCACGATACCACACAGTCCAGCCCCAAAATGGCAAAGCTCACAATCCTAGCATTCACCCTCCTGGCACTCCTATCCCTCTCCAAGGCGTCCACCATCACCACCACCACCGTCACCCTCGACGAGGAAGAGAACCCGAGGGGTCAGCAGAGCTGCCGTGAGCAGATCCAGAGGCAGCGGGAGCAGCTCCGCCACTGCGCGCAATACTTGTCGTCGCAAAGGCGCCCGTACGACGAGGAGCCACTGAGGATGGTGACAAACCAGCAGCAACAACAGCAGCAGGAACTGAGGCAATGCTGCAATCAGTTGGAGAACATGGACGAGCAGTGCCGATGCGAGGCGATAAGGCAGGTGTTGAGGCGCCAGCAAGAGAGAGGAGAGTTGGAGGGTGAGGAGATGCAACAGGTGGCTCAGAGGGCTAGGAGCCTTCCTTCCAGGTGCAATTTGCGTCCTCAGCAATGCCAAATCCGAGTTGTGTTGTTCTGAATAGCGAGGCCAATATAATATGGAAATCTACGTAGCTACTATAGAGAGGCTAACTAGTTAGTCATGTGCAAGGGTAGAATAACGATCACTTCTCTAGCTAGTAGTTTGTGCTAGATAGAGATATATATAGGTGATCACTATGGTATAATAACTAGCACATGATCGTGTGTCCACTTCACTACTGTTTGGTTTTTCTTGGCTATGGGCTAGGCTTATTTTGTATCTACCAAGAGTATCTATCTATATATAAAATAAAAAATAAAAAATTATATCAAAATCTAGTTAAATAATAACTGTTGCTGCTCCACTAAAGCACACACTCTTTTAGACTAGCAAGCTCGCAATTAGACCTCAAACAAGTACTCCATATATAATCATATATTCCAGCTTTCCAATTTGGAATCCGGATCCCCATCTGTGTATAAAATGTGCACTCATACTCATTCTGTGCAGTGGTGCAATAGAGTATCTATCACAAAATACTAAATTTATGCAACAATTAAAAAAAAAAAGGTTATATAACATATTTACCTAGTTGTATTGTGAATTTAATGTTGTTGTACTTATGATTTAAAACTGTAAAATTAATTGTTGCTATACTTACGATTTAGAATGCAATGTAAAATTAATTGGCACACGGAAAAAAAATTGACAGAACAATTAAGATAGGGACTGGCTGCTTCAATAATTTCCATTCAGTTCGTTCTCTTGAAAAGCGTTATGCTAATAATGCAAGTGATTACTCCCAATATTTCAGATATATGGATGAATGCATTAAATTTAAACAATTTTTTATATTTTGATTGAAGACTAAATCAGTTCAAACTCCGAGACGAAACCTTAAATTTGGACAAGAAAGTCAGACTCGTACGTACATCTTTAAGAGCAGCAACAAGCGGTGTCCTTATCAGAGTTTGCTGCTTCAGATGATAATGTCCTTACAAGCAAGACAATGTTGTGAATTACTGTACAAATTAAAGCAGACACTATGAATTTCCAATTCATGTAGAGTAATGGAAATATGTACAAGGTAAGGGTTCGAAAAGAAAAGAAATAAGTATTAGACCGAAAAATAGCGTTAGAGAATAGATCGAACTCGATTAATGTGCGTCAACAACTTTGAGATATAAGTGAATCTACCATATCCAATTCCGACGGGATCAGTCTAATTCATGTCCACAGATTGAAATTTAAAGGGAAAATTACGTATAAATAGAGTTAAAGTCCTAAATAATAAAATAATCTATTTTAAAATTTTATTTTTTAATTTGATTGAATCAAATAAAATAATTACAAATGCATTAAGAATTATTATTAAAATCCAAAATATCCTCCAAGCCTTTATTGTAAAATACCAAAATAACCTTCTTATAATCATATATTTCCAAAATACTAAAAAAAAAAAAAAAAAGAAGAAACTATAACCTTGCTCAATTACTAATAGCTTATAATCATATATTTCCAAAATACTAAAAAAAGATAAAAAAAAAAAAAAAAAAAAAAAAGAAACTATAACCTTGCTCAATTACTAATAGCTTATATTAAGGTGCTAAATTTAGCAGGTGTTAATTACAACCAAAAGTTTCACATATACCAAAGCTGAAATAAAAAGTGTTAATTACTATGAATATAAGTTAAAGAAATGGTGTCCAAGATAAGGCAGGTAAGATAAAAGGAAATTATTTAAGAATGAATTTATACTAGTTGTAGCAAATTTAGATGAATTTTCTTATCTATTTAGACCAATGACATCCATCTACAAAAAATTGCAGCTTTTTTATTAGAGAAAATAAAGGGAGACAAAGTAGAGATGAAAGAAGATAAAAATAAATAAATTAAAGATAAAAAATATTTTAATAATTTAGAAATATTATATATCATAAAATTAGTAAATAACCATTTTTTTTTTATTATATCATAATTTTGAATCAGATTCTGATCATATATATACTTAAAGATCTTGACGGTATCAAATTAACAAACAACTTAATCAATTATCAATTTTTTCACACACTCTCTCCTTGTCTTACACCGGCCGATTCTTTTTCACGTAATATATTATATCGGCGGATTACAACAACATTAGTCGAAGATAAACACATTTAAATAATGATAATGTCATTTAAAATTACATTCATGATATAAAATAATTGCATGTGAGGCGAAACCAACCCATCGACAAAATCACACAGAAAGGATTTAACCAAACAGCACCGCCACGACGAGGCGCCACATATGGATATGGGACATGTGAAGCCAACCCATCTAGCTAGCAAACAAAGATTGGAGTTGGAGCCTTCAAACTTAATGGATTACAAGAAAACAATATCTTAGTGGCATTACTTGCATGTCAATACACGTGGAAACACCAATCCAGCCCACCTGTCAAACCCCACCCATCTGATCTGCCCAGGCCAAACACCTACACGTATTCCCCATGCAAACCCTCAACTCAACTATAAATACCCACCACCACCACCACCACCACCACCCCCACCAGCAGTACCCACACCAAGAGTCTCAAAAAATGGCAAAGCTGGCGATCCTAGCATTCACCCTCCTGGCACTCCTAGCCCTCTCTAAGGCCTCCACCATCACCGTCACCACCACCACCATAGACGAGGAAGAGAACCCGAGGGGTCAGCAGAGCTGCCATGAGCAGATCCAGAGACAGCGGCAGCAGCTCCGCCACTGCGCGAAATACTTGTCGTCGCAGAGGCGCCCGTACGACGAGGAGTCACTGAGAATGGTGACAAACCAGCAGCAGCAACAGCAGCAGCAACTGAGGGAATGCTGCAACCAGCTGGAGAACATGGACGAGCAGTGCCGATGCGAGGCGATAAGGCAGGTGTTGAGGCAGCAGCAAGAGAGGGGAGAATTTAGAGGGGAGGAGATGCAGCAGGTGGCTCAGAGGGCTAGGGACCTTCCTTCCAGGTGCAATTTGAGGCCCCACCAATGCCAAATCCGAGCCCTCTTTTTCTGAAGAAGTGAAGGAATCTATGAGCTATGTGGAGTATGTAGGTAGGTACTGTATAGAACTAGCTAGCTAGTTAGTCACGTGCAAGAGGAGTAGAATAAAGATCACTTCGATCTCTAGTAGTTTGTGCTAGATATGGATATATATAAAGATCACTTCGATCTCCATCTCTAGTAGTTTGTGCTATATATATATATATATATATATATATATATATATATATGTGGTGTAATAATAAGCACATGATCGTGTGTCCAGTACTTAACTAGTACGGAGTACTACTGTATGGTTTTTCTTGGCTATGGGCAATTGGGTTAATTTGTACTATCTACCAAGAGTATCTATATAAAATATATATATGTGTATATATATATGTGTGTGTGTGTGTGTTAAAATCTAGTTATTAATAATTGCTGCTCTCAAACACACTTTTTTTTAGATAACTAGCTTATTTTATAGCTTGTAATTTGGATCACTCATATGCATCTATGAGCTATATACAAGCTTTACAGCTTTACAATTTGACCTCAAAACATTTTCTGCTGAAAAGCAAGTCTAATTCTAATGGAGTACGTTGTGCTAATAATGCAAGCTAGGTGACTACCCCAGAATCTCAGATATATACATGGATAAATTCAGTAAATTTAAACATTTTTTTATTAATTGAATACTAAATTTGTTCAATTAAAGCAGAACAGTGACACCTTGAATTTCCCGATTCATGTTGAACATTGGAAATTTTTAGTGAAAATAGATCGAACTCAATATGGAGACTATACGAAGAAGCATACCATACCGAGCGACTAAATACCAATTAACATAGGTACACAACCATTCATCAACCAGTCTTCACTGACGACTTAGAAACACAAAAATTCCTTCCGATCCCAAAACCATTACAAAGATACCATAAGGGTCTATAAACTGCTATTTATTATTATTATTATTATTTTTATTTCTTTTTCACTTTTTAAGTTTCATTAGTACAATAGCAGCTATGTTCTCTTACTTGCAAAAACACAAAATTAAGTAAAATTCAAAAACTACTCACAGGGCCTGTTGATATATGTTTATAAATTGAAAATTTAACTTTAAAAAAAAAAATTATATGTGTACAATAATACGGAGTAGCAATGAATTAAAAAAAAAAAACTACAACAAAAGGGACAAAGATAAAAGAGCCTGCACGCTTTAGAAATTCTACATTACCCGGTCCGTACTACAATACCAAGGTACCATACCAGTTTCTCTCAATATTGAATTATTCATCAAGTGAATTATATCACCACATTCAATAACTAGAACTCCAACAACATTAGACATTAACAGAGACCAACCAAACAAGGAATTAATGGTTAAAGTATAATTCTCTTTCATGAATAAAGAGAGCAGTCGAATAACATTCGACATTAACAGATACCAAAGGCCAAGGAATGATTGAAGTAGAATTCTCTTTCATGAATATTATAAATAGCAGCTTTTTAAGTACACCAATGTGACAAGGAAATGGACAATGCCATGGACAATATTGTTCGCAGGGAGCAGTGTAACGTTAGGAATTTTTATTGCGGATTAGCCTTATTCAATTCATTCAAGAAATAGAATTTCCTTGATTAGATCCTTCGGTTACATCTGAGAATTATTATTCAATGCTATTTTCAGACTGTATTTTGGTAAACTCCTCCAATACTATCCATAGAATGGATTATGAGTGAATTGTATGGATACGAAGAGTTTTAGCCATGTTTGGGGATTGCGTCCCAAAGTCACATCCACCTTCTCCTTGATTAGCTAGACTTTTTCTTGGGACTTGGATGAGCCTCAAGTTTGTAATCTAAACTCTTTCTCTTTAACTTTTTGGGAAATTTATTTTATGATTAGTGTTATAGTCTTGTATATAAAATGAATTTTGGGTTCTCCTTTGATATTTATTGATTAATTTTTCATATTGATTCTCTATATGATCACATATTATTTTATGTGTGATTATTTAGAAATTGATCTCTGCACTAACTTCTCTATATTGGTTGCATGTCTATATGTGATTAATTAAGGATCTAGTGATGGTTATGTATGGTTTTCATTGAATGGATTTGTTAATTAATTTGATGGATTATACTTAGGCTTGATGAGTTGTGCTACACTTAGTTTATTTGTTGGTTAGGTAAACTCTTCGTACTTGAATTTGATACTCCATATATGGCTTATTATTACAAATTTCATGATTCTCTAGATTGACGTGTATTACAATTATTACTAATTTGATTGGTCATACTTAGAATTGATGAGTAGTTAAATACATACAAATTAATTAAATGTAATATAGTTTAATACTATTTTTTCACCTTATGAATTCAAGTCCACACAAAAATAAAACAAATAAATAAAGTATGGGAGCTAGTATCATTTTCATACAAAAATTTATTCTGAAGTGGGACCAAACGAACGGACAAATCACTTTGGATTTCACCAAAGCTGGTCGGGCCCATTGGGCCGTTGTGAGCGTTAGTTTGCAAGTTCCAACGAAGAGACAAAAGTAAAAGGTGTAATCAAAACGTTCATAACGTCTCGCATCACAGACTTTATTTTCTTTTAACTAATCAAATACATGATTGGGGTGTCCTTCGCAGCAAGGATTAACCCCGTAATTCACTAACCGGATTGTAGAGACAGTCATTGCTAACTGCAAAAGCGCAGTTTCAACGGCTATCTTTTGCTTGCACTAACGATGGTGGTGGAGAAGAAGCAGTTCAAAGCAGTTGTACATTGGGTTGGGTTGATGTTTTGGCCTTGGGTTGGGTTGTTTTGTTTGGCTGCCTGGTTGTTGGGCTGCTGGGTCTTATGGCCTTGTAAATCTTTATACATATATACAATTTGCTTAAATTTTTTTTTAAAAAAAACTAATCATATAAATTTGTCATGCATACCTTTCGAGAGACCAGTATGAAGAGTCATAGAGCAACCTTCCTAGCCCAATTCTCACACAATGAATTGTTGCATGACATGGGGAAGGAGCTCTAATTAAGCTGCAATATACATAACCCACCTTTAACTAAAATATATAGACATATACATAACCCACCTTGAGCTGAATAATTAAATACTTGATCGTGGTTTATTTCTAATGACACAAGTTACTAATTAAATCACAAGATCATAATTATCAACTCCTCCGTCTCATAAAAGTGTCACTTTTCAGAAATCATGACTTTCACAAATTGAACTATCCCGGTTCCCCAAAAGCGATACTTTTTTTTGGGACGGAGGTATTACTAATTAATAAGACGAATATCTAGGAAGAGGCTAGAGGCGGAAGGAGGGGTGGGAATGCGCCCCAATTTTTTAAAAAAATCTTATTTATAGTTACATATTTATGATTATTAAAGATAGTTTGCAAGAGAAATTACTATTATAACCATAGTTAAAATTTATTAGTGTACTCTTACTAAATGGTTACAGTTAATTTTTTTTTTTTTAATTTCTAATTTTCTTCATTTTTTTTTTTCTTTTTCTTGGCACTATTTCCTCACATTTAATTAAACATAATAATTATAGGACAATGCTTGCCTACTCACCGATGAGTAAGAAACTTAAATTCACCATGTATGTGTCGCAATGCTAAACTGACAAGTGTTCTTACATTTAAAAAAAAATTATAATTTGATAGCTATTCGGGTTAAACCCAAATGGATCCGAATTATATTCTAATGTTCTCTCCTCTCCCTCTTTTTCACGCTTCTATTCTATGAAAGCCTTAATTTCATCTGTTCTGTCCCTCTCCCCTTCTCTCTCTCGCTCGTATGTTTACAGAGAGAAACTGGTGTTTTATTAATGGCATGAATCTATGGCACCTTTAAGTAACCTTTTAAAAAATTCACAACGCCAGAAAGGAATTGAAAATTGGTGATGATGATTTGTGGTTTTTTTTTTTTTTTTTTTTTTTAACCATACACTTAAATTCTCTATGGGGTTTTGGCATTTAGTGATTTTGATCTCGAATAACATACAATCACGAGATGCTTTTCTTTGTTTCAAGTTTTTTTTTAACATGATAAAAGCGTGAGAAAGAGAGAGAGGAGAGCAAATGAGAATTTAATTTAGATTCATTTGGGTTTAACCTAGATGGGTATCAAATTATTTAATTTTTTTATTATTTTAAATATAAAAATATTTGTCAGTTTAACATTGCGCCATATACGGGTTAAATATAAATTTTTTACTCACCGATAAATAGACAAGTATTGTTCATAATTATATTCGTGGCGACCGGATAGGATCCACCTAACACTTCACATGCGTATGCATGCACAGTCCATGAAAAAACAAGGGAAAATTACATATACATGGAGTCAAAGTTCCATATTTACTTAGAGACTGAGTCAAAGTTTCATATTTCTCTAAAATGGATTGCTGAGGTGGCACATGGTTTTTTACTGTTTAGAAAATTGTGGTGCCTAAAATGCCCTTCCCTAACAAAAAAGTAGTACCTTCAGTGTAAAAAAGTAGTACCTTCAGTTCAAAAAAGTAGTACCTTCGGAGAAAAAGTAGTACCTTCGCGGGTGTTTAAAAAACATGGTACCTGGACGCCAAAAAGTAGTACCTTCAGTTCAAAAAAGTAGTACCTTCGAAGAAAAAGTAGTACCTTCGTGGAAGGGTATTTTAGGCACCACAATTTCTAAACAGTAAAAAACCATGTGCTACCTCAGCAATCCATTTTAGAGAAATATGGAACTTTGACTCAGCCTCTAAGTAAATATGGAACTTTGACTCCATTTATATGTAATTTTCCCAAAAAACAATATCCAAGTTATAAAACACTGGCTAATAATTCCAAATGATGTGTTGCATGCATGCATATCTAGACAATCTTTAATGCATGGCAGTCTCTGCATGTTAATCTACGTGTATGTTTGAATCCATCCACCTCATTAACTTTCCAAAACACACCCATCTAACCTAACATACCTTCCTCCACGTATTCCTCATCCAACCCTAAAATCTACTATAAATACCAACCTCCCACCACTACCTCCTTCACACCAAACTCAACTATAGCTAGCAGCAGCCCACAAGAAAATTAGCTCACTAATCACAATGGCGAAGCTAACAATCCTTGCAGCTGTCCTTGTAGCCCTGGTAGCCCTCGCTCAGGTCTCCGCCCATCGCACCACCATCACCACCACCACCGTCGATGAACAGGACACGAATCAGCAGTCCCAAAGAAGGTGCCGCGAGCAGTTCCAAAGGCAGCAGCAGCTAAGCCACTGTGAAATGTACTTATCGTCCAGGAGCCCGCACGAGTTGGAAGTGATGAATCAGCAGCAGCAACAACTCCGACAGTGCTGCCAGCAGCTGGAGAACATGGACGAGCAGTGCAGGTGCGAGGGATTAAGGATGATGATGAGGAGGCAGCAGCAGGAGGGACAGATGCAGGGTGAGGAGATGAGAGAGATGATGGAGGAGGCTCAACAGCTACCTGACAGGTGCAATATGCGACCTCGCCGATGCCAAATGCAACGCAGCTGGTTCTAAATGAGCCCAATATATATATATATATATGATGCCTATCTACTAGCTACATCTGCATGATAATAAAAGCACATCATCGTGTGTTAAAACTAAAAACTATGTAAGGTTCTTATGTGATCTTGCTACTATGAGGCTTTAATTGTACCCAAGTACATTTAAATAAAAGGTTGTATCTTATTAAAATTTCGTTCTACAGATCTACTATGAGGCTTTAAATTAACAGTATAAATTATCTATGTATGTCTTTCATACATTAAATAAATAATTGTGGTGTGTAACAAGGGATAAAGTATTTGTCCCATCAAGGAGTTATACTCCATATATGCTTTTTGGAGCATGAGTGCCACTTGTAGGAGCCAGAGGAAACCGACCTGACTAGGGAAAGAATAGCAGCATGTCAATTTTTTCATGGACCAAACTTAAAAGGAGTCCAATCCCATGAGCAACTTGATAGCCCAAGTCTTCTGTACGAATTTTCTCTAACAGGATCTCGAAGTTGGTTCAAGTGGGTAAAAATCGCCTGATACAAAAAGTATTAAATTTAAATAATTTTTTGACCGAAATGTGTGAGTATTAACTACGATGAAGAAAATTTTCATCCCATCAATCCACACAACATCAGAGAAGCTCCACGCTTCTAGTTTTTGTTTTTTTTTATGCAGCTTTCTTAAATTTTAAGTCTATGGCTTCCACGATACATCTATGTAGTTTTACATACTTTCATGCCTCCATATGCATAAAATTCCATTTTTTTTTCTTCAGATTTTTTTTTTTTTTTTTCAATATTAATCTTGCTTTATAACAACTTAATTTGACATATCATTGCCATTTCATGTCTTGAAGCTTGTGTTGGAAAATAAACTTAATTTTAGTAATTAGTCTTTCAAGTATTTGGCATGCATAGTGGTACGTTAATAAATGGTTTTAATGAGAATTAGTACATGATTAGAATTAGTGTGATGGTGAAAGTTACATAGAATCAAAAGACATGGAAATTATACCTACTAAATACTATGTTAATGGGAGTAATAAGAATTACTAAAGAATATGTTAGTGGGAGTATTTGATCATTTATATGTAATTGTTACACACATTTGTGAGGCCTATATAATCATGTAATCTAGCAAATATTATGAGGGAATAAGATGAAATAGCTAGTATAAGTGGAATAAAATATTTTTCTAAGTGTTCTTTCATCCAGTTCTCTCCAAAAAAATTATTGAGAGTCGTATGAGCATCTAAGCCACTATTTTTAATAGTATCACTACAAAGCAATTAACAATTAAACAGGTTAGGTAGTAGCTCTATTATTGTTATGAAATTAACTAATGTATCATATTCGTTTCATGCCTTGGTCTGTATAAAATCACATATTTGATTTTTTTTCCTGGCATATTTAATTTTCATCTAGCGTAAATATCACAAGTGCGATTTTCTTCTCGCGTAATCGCAACTTTGATGTTCATTTTGGGCATGGCATCTTGCGTTCATTTGCTTCTATCTCTTAGGGCTTAATTAATGGAATTATTGCACCTTTAATTCCTGGTGTAACTTGCATTCCAAATTTTAAAATATATTTCTCCATAGTTGTATCTCCAAATTCATTGATAATGATAAATATGACAATGATGGCCAAATTAATTTATGGCCAAGTACACCTTATGGGTGAGAAATTATTAGATAGTCTTGATTTATTTGACATTTAGTGGACTAATTTAATGAAAACCCTCCGATCACAAAATTTTGTAATTTATTTATTAATACACTCTTGTAAGTCTATTTTCTCAATTCAAAAATTTGTATTTAACTAATTCACGAAATATTAATAGTTCAGAAGTATCTAATAATTTTTCCCCCTTACTTTCTCTTTAGATGAATTTGTACAGTTAGTACAATCACCTGAACCAAATCATTATAACATATTTAGGCCACTTTTCATTGCAACGGTCAACCCAAGGAAATATGATTTTTTTTTTTTTTAAGCACACTTCGGATTCGAGTGGAGGAGGACTCTGGCCCGCCCCCAGACCGCTGGCCAACCAAATAGTGCTAACACATTATCATGGTATTCAATTTTCTACTAATAAGATGAAGATCTATTCACAACAACGAGAGCATCCCCCAACTGGCAAATTAGGCAGAAGGAAAACGTTCTTTGAGTTTTTACCTAAAAAAAAAAAAAAAAAAACGTTCTTTGAGTTGAATTTTCAATGACATTAAGTTTAGTTATGCTTGGTAAAATTTGAGTTCAAAAACAATTAAAAAAACAATATGAGTCCATACAAGAGCAATAATTGTTGGCTTTTGTTCTGATACCACTTTGTTGAAAATAGTGACCTAGATACGCACATACAATACTATAATATTTAGGAAGAGAAGAGGATATGGAAAAAAACTTGAAAAATTATTTTATTCCATTTCTACTTATTCTAAAATGACTAAAGTACATGATTATATAGGTCTCACATATGTATGTATAACCATTACATTTAAAGGCCTAATTACACCCATTATTCCCACTAACATAGTATTTAGGAGACTTAATTCACATACCTTTTAGTCTTACATAACCTTCTCCATCAAGACCATTTACTACCCCACTAACATGAAATGCACACATGCATCATGTATACCAAATACTTAAAAGTACAAATTACAACTAAAATTCTAAAATCAAGTTTATTTTCAACACCTCTCTTTAAACTTGATTTTGTAATTTCAAAGTCGATCAAAATTTTGTTACTTTGTCTTGAGTTCCACCTCCTTCATTTGCAACAATCTTCTTCGCTATTTCTATTGATGTATATGGCATGTGAAAAATTTTCAAATGCTTATTTGATGTCTTCACATAATCATATATCATCGTCTTTATACAAACGCACCATCGATCTTTTTTGTTCTTGAATTTTTTATGACTCTTCAACTTCACATATGTTTTTTTTTTTAAAGTTAAAAAATAACTCTATATTCACCCAACCTGTGTCAATTACAAAACTCTCTAAACCATTTTTCAAAAAATAAATCACTTTCTTCTTTTTTAATTTCTCTTTCCACTTCAATCTCATCAACTTTTTCAATCTCTTCTTCAATACCTTTCTTTATCTCTTCCTTATTCTCTATTTCATTTTGGCCTTCAACTTTTGAATCTTCAATTTCTTCAACTTAATTTGTGTTGTACGCCTCTTCATTCTTCACAAATTTCTCCTCAAGACTTTCATAATCAGCCTTCGTAAACTCATCATCCTCAAAGCACTGTACCAGGCCAATACTCTATGGGTAGTGATTCACTTCTATGACTGGAAACGATGGTCTCGATCATCTTCCAAACACAACTTGGAGTTTTGGACTCTCTAAAATACCCCCAAATTTCTTGATGTATTGCTTTCTGCAACACTACCAATGCCTTTTCTTCTTTCTTTTCTCGAAGTTTGTTGGACATACCATTCTTTGGCTCTAATCTAACAACATCCCATAAATCATCTTCTTTGAGGTATGAAGTCATGATGATTCTCATTCTCTTATAATTAGAGAATATCATCTTCTCACTAAGAAAATACATTTTCTCCCCTTCATCATCATCAAGGAGAAACATGTTTTTCTCAAATGTTGAACCTTTTAGGATCAACTTCGTCAGGCCTTCAGGATTGTCTAGGCTCTGAACATGAAATCTGGCTCTGATATGTTAAAACCTAACTCTGATACCACTTTGTTGTCTTTTGCTATGATACCACTTAGTTGGAAATAGTGGCCTAGACACGCACACACAATACTATAATATTTAGGAAGAGAAGAGAGAAATACTAAAATGACTTAGTTGAAAAATTATTTTATTCCATTTCTACTTATTCTAAAATGACTAAAGTACATGATTATATACGCCTCACATATATATGCATAACTATTACATTTAAAGGCCTAATTAATTACACCCATTATTCCCACTAAAGTAACCATTAGTAGCATAACTCCCACTAACATAGTATTTAGGAGACTTAATTCCCATACCTCTTAGTCTTACATAACCTTCTCCATCAAGATCATTTACTACCCCATTAACATGAAATGCACACATGCATCATGTATACCAAATACTTGAAAATACAAATTACTACTAAAATTCTAAAATCAAGTTTATTTTCAATAATAATCCCAAAAAAGATTAAAAATAAAAAAAAATTAAAATAAAGAGGGACAAAAATTAGATATACTTTCATTCTTTTCCTCTTTAATTAACTACATTTTAACTGACTAATTAATACTTTTTCCTCAACTTTAATTAGACATTATAATTATAAATTTGTGGCGACCTGATTGCATGTGTCCACCAAACAGTCCAAGAAAAAACAACCCCGGTCACAAAACAATGCCTAATAATTCCAAATAATCTGTTGCATGCATGACAGTATTTGCATGTCAATCTACGTGTAAGTTTGAATCCATACACCTCCAATACCCACCCATCTGACCTAACCTAGCATCCTCCACGTATTCCTCATGCAAACCCTAAAATCTCCTATAAAAACCAACCTCCACCACCACCCCCTTCACACCAAACTCAAGTAGCCATAGCAGCCCACAAGATAACTCACAATGGCGAAGCTAACAATCCTTGCAGCTGTCCTTGTAGCCCTGGTAGCCCTCGCTCAGGTCTCCGCCCATCGCACCACCATCACGACTACCACCGTCGATGAAGAGGACGCGAATCAGCAGTCCCAAAGAAGGTGCCGCGACCAGTTCCAAAGGCAGCAGCAGCTCAGCCACTGTGAAATGTACTTATCGTCCAGTAGCCAGTACGAGTTGGAAGTGATGAATCAGCAGCAGCAACACCTCCGACAGTGCTGCCAGCAGCTGGAGAACATGGACGAGCAGTGCCGGTGCGAGGGATTAAGGATGATGATGAGGAGGCAGCAGCAGGAGGGACAGATGCGGGGTGAGGAGATGAGAGAGATGATGGAGGAGGCTCAACAGCTGCCTGACAGGTGCAATATGCGACCTCGCCGATGCCAAATGCAACGCAGCTGGTTCTAAATGATCCCAATATATATATATCTACTAGCTAGCTATCTAAATCTGAATGATAATAAAAGCACACCATCGTGTGTTAAGCTAAACTATGTAAGGTTCTTATGTGTGTCTTGCTACTACTATGAGTCTCTATAAATAAAATGTTGTTTCTTATTAATTTTTCTTCTTTCTTCATTATTATCCTTTTTTGTGATTTCTCTTATTTTTGGGTTAATTAATATGTGTGATGGGGCTTATAGCTCACAGTCTATATCTGGCAAGGCGATGATCCTTTACGGTGAAGCCCAGTTAATATTACAGCTTGATCACCAGAAATAAATCAGAAGGAACTTCAATTAAAAATTTATCATGACATTTAACTCCAGTGGTATTAATTAATATTGGTAAAATTTTAATTAATTTTATTATGATTCTTATTTAATAAATAAATTAATCATTGGATTATATATAAACTGTAATGCACGTACCAAAAAATAAAATATGAAAGGCTCCGAAGATATGCATCCAAGTTTAGTTTGGTCGCAATATATACCAAGTCTACATTATATAGTGGGTGTGTGTGTGTGTGTGTTTTTTTATTTATTTATTTATTTTTGGTTAAAAGGTAAGCTTGTGTATATATTGAAGAGAATGTACTTGATGCCCCTATGAGGGGAGGGACAACATTAAAATATGAAACAAAAGGGAAAGTAGAGTACCCAACAATGCCTTCACAGAGGACATTGAACTCAAGTTCTAACAGAAGCAACATATATATATACAAAACACAGACAGACAAACTACCACCATTGGACTCTATATCCATCCTTGTGAATGACTCCACTGCTATTAAGCTGAGCACCTCATATTAGCAACCAGTTATGAGCACTGGAGCTAGAACAGGCCTGCTCATAAAGAGGCTGTAGAGGTCTGGTTCAGTGGAAATAAGTCTCAAATCCGAGGACCTTCTTAAATTGACAGAAGCTAGCCTTACTCTGGTGCAAGTCTTAATCTGTGAAATTATGTGCTGTGGAGGAGATGCAACCTTTTTTTTTTTTTTTTTTTAAAAAAAAAAATATTTCTGAAAACCCTTGCATTCCTCCACTGCCATAAGAAATAAATTGCAGCAGACAGTAGAAGCTTGTAAGTCAAAAAGTTTGGTGAGTTCCAATGGTTTGAGCATCATTGAACCAAGTCAAACCAACAATTAGGAATGATGTTTCCTCGAAAATAATGTTTAACATTGTATTTTCCAAATTTTAACGTGGAGTAAAATGTTCTCGTTAATAAGTGCTAAACATTACACACTAACCAGATTTCAGTCGCTTGTGAATGAAAAATAAAATTTCCCTCCCAAATTTCCTTTCTAAATTTTACACTCCCGCGTGTGGTGATGACACATTCGCCAAAGCCCTTTCATGTTCATTTACTAATTTCTTTACTCTACAGTCTACACAAAAGCCTTCCCAAAACCTTCTCTCTCCACAAAAGCCTTCCCAAAACCTTCTCTCTCCACAAAAGCCCTAATCAATTTGTTCATTTACAATTTCTACCCCACAAAACCCTAATCAAATTGCCGTGACGGCTAACTATTTCTCTCTCCACAAAAGCCCCAATGCCCATGTACTGATATCTTCTATCTTCAGGAAAACCCACTAAACAACCCAATCGGAATCAGTTTCTCTCTTGGTGGTCTTCGATCGAAGGTCAATTTCTCAGCTACTCAATAATCGGACGTAAAGGAGTTTCTAATCACAGCACATAAGGATCAGTTAGGTTCGATTTATCATCATATTCGAAGAACACGTAAGGGCTTTAATTCCTATATTTTGAATTCATTATATAACGCATCGTTCAATTTTAATTGGTTAGGCTTATGAAGAAAATTAATTTCAAGTTAGATTTTATACTTCTTCGATGTTTCTTCATTTTGTGCCATTTATTTGCGTTTGAATATTATACGGTTCTCTTTCACACACGAGGTGATTTTGAGTCGCCACGGAAAGATTTAGAGAGAATAATAAGGTATGCCCGGATCATCATTCTCATTCTTTTCACTGATGTAGTCTGCGGCCTTGTTGTAAGTTCTCTGCCCACATCGCTTTGATTTCTTACTAGCTTCTGGACACATTACCAGCCCTTGACAGATGGAATTATTGAGACCGGCCCTATTTTAAATTTGTGTATTGAAATGCATTTTTCTTTTTTTTCTTTTTTTTTTCGATATAATAAATATGAAGGGAGCTATAGTGAAGATGCTTAGCCGTTTATTGGGTTCTTAAAATTGATTGAGAGATTTGGGTTCTTGTAAAAGTCTTTTCCTGAGGGGTGAGTTTTGAGTGACAATTCAATTAAAACTTTATTCAATGAAGGAACTTCAATATAATTCATTTGTGTATGCTATGTATGGATTTTTCATTGAAGAATAATTATTTGATTCTTAGTAATATAAAATTGAACACTTCAAGTACAGAAAATCCAAATCTTTTCTTCTGCCTATTGTCTGGCACATGCATGATGATTAATTTTAAATTTTGTGATTTGTGTTTTCAAGTACTAAGTTATAATTTATAGATAACTCTTTTATGTGGGATCCATTCTGCCAAGGATTCTTGACTCTTACTCTGTTCAACACGTTAAGAATTCTTATACTTTCTACTTAGTGGCCATCATGATCAGTAGTTATTGCGCTTTTATTTTCTTTTTTGTTTGCAGATATTGATTCTGATGCATGAAAATGATTGACCACCAGACTTTATCATTAAACTTTTTAAGTTAAATGTTTTGCTTAATGTGATTTATATATATATATTAATGAACAATCAACCCACTCACTAGCCATTTAGACTCTTGGATGGTTTGAAATTTTTGAATACACATTATTGCCCTCAAACTAATGTGATATCTCTAAACCACTTTGATAAAATTATTTTCTTGTAGATGATAATTGTAGAAAGATAATGAAAATAATGTGCTGAATATTCCCTAAAACAAACAAAAGATAGGAATTCATATTGTATTTGTCTATATCTGTTGTTAAAAGGCCCTGCAAATATAATTATTTTGATATAATATTAGTTGAAATAATGGAAGGATAAACACACCAAAAGATGCTATGTGGAAAAAGAATATTTTAGACCTTGGTGTTTCATAGGGAATAACATACTCCTATAAACTGGTAAATAATGTGTAAGACATTTCTTGCCTCATAAGACTTACTTTCCTATATATGATGAAAGAGGCTTTGGGAACTTCTATAGCTGAATCTCTTTGTTGAAAAAACTGAGTTTGCAATGTTTTGATTTTCCACTTCAATCTCTCTCTGGACATTTCATTGCTCGGAATAGAATCTCTCTTTGAACTTCAATATCTAGTGTTAAGGGGCTCTAACAATAGGATGATACTTCAATGGAAAAATTCACTATCTTGTGTAGCAGGGATTTCCTATTTGGTCCAATTTCAGATTGCCCCTCGTGAGATGTCTTGTTTGGTCCAAACCAAGATTATCCTTAACATGTCCTAAAAAAATAAAAATTGAAAAGGAATCAACTTTTCCTGAGCTCTATATAATTCGGGTAATCAGTTTTAAAGATCAGATTGGACTCTGAATGCCTTTATACATATATGATCATCATAATTTCCTTTGTTTTATTTCCATCGTTTCTAATTTTCTTTCTCCTCCTTTGTCGATGCAGTGTGTTGTCATTATCTTATATCATATCTTGTTTTTGAAAGAGAAAGTAGTATATATCAAATTCTGCTATTTAATTGGAAGATCATTCGCTAAGAAGACTCGTCAATCAATCGAAGCTCTGAGGTCAGTATCGAATTAGTGTTGCAAGTAGATGACATTAAATGAATTTTTTTTTTTTTTTTAAGTCTTTATTGTCAACTCACCTTTTAGAAATGAATACTGCTTTATCCATGAAACAACTCACAAAGTATATTGAACAACAAAAAAGAATTATATAAGATTGACTGCCCCTTTAATCTTAACATACAAGGTTGATTGGCTTGACACTGTTTGCTGCTGACTTTGCAATATCATGCCACACTTTTTCATTCAGAATTCACCAAATAAAATGAAAGTCTAGGAAAATGAAATATCAATTATAAGAATATCAATTCAAGCTATCAAGTCTAGGAAAATTAAAGTCTGAAAAATATAAGTCAAGTCTGAAAATTCAAATAGAATGTAAATTTGGAGGGTGATATTAAACATCAATTTAGGTTACCAAGTTTAGGAAAATTATAAAGAAGAAATGCATAAGAGAGACTAAGAAGAGTTATATCAGTGAACCCTATGTTTTCACCGACACCATGCAGGCCTTGGAAGGAGGATATGAAAAAAAAAAAAGGATGGTTACTTTTAATTTGGGGGGACCTCATCAACTATATCTACTATATATGTACATCTCTTGTACATTGCCATTTTGCTCTAATTGATAAGTATGACTATTAGTTGTGATCAAAATATTGAGTGGCTAAGAAACAACACATTCATAAAAAATTAAAAATAAAAAACATGGCTGAAATGAAAATATTGAGATTAATGTATGGAATCAACACATTCTTTAGACAGTTGCAGTAGCACCACTTGGTGAAGGAGTGAAAATGAATTAAAATGGTCGGGTAATGTGCAGTTAACACATTAACATTAATATTAGGGTAATGGAAGGCCAAAATTAATGTAGGTCGATTGAAGAATGGAAAGATATCATAGTATATGGTTCTGATTGAGTTTATGGCCTTATATAGAAGGGAATGGCAAATCAGAATTCTGTAGTCAATATCAAATAGTTGGCAAAAAAAGTCTTTGTTGAGCTATGCATCGAACTAAACTAAGTAATGAATCATAAGGTGGTTGCTTTATCTAATTTTCTTCACCTTGATAAAGTAATATTAAGTTGAAAACAGTGGTTTCAATAAGAACCCATAGTTGTCATAAGTGAGTTGAAGTTAAATATTGGCTTCTCCTATATTTGCATGTCTGTTATTTCTTACTGGTGGCTGCTTTATTCAGATGTTCATAAATTGGTGTATTTATTAGTGATTTATTCACTTGTCCTACGATCTTTAAGAGATAAAAAAAAATCATTTTTTACCCTTTTCTAATGCAATGAGAAGAACATTTTTATTTTTTACTTTTTATATTCTGTCTTTTATAAATTCTCTCTATACTAATTTTTGTCATAGTCTGATGCTTACGTTATTGTTCTAGTTTGCATCGATTTCTAGGCTATGTTTGGCATTTTCAGTTCATATTTACCTTCCTTTTGGCATTTGGAAAATTTGGTTTTTAAATTTTGCTTTTACAATATCTTTTCTTTCAAGTCTAAATGCAATTACCATAATTTCATAGTCTTCTTTTATTGTGTTTTGTAGAAACTAAGGTAGAACAAGCACTATCACAATGGATGCTGGATGTTGTTGTTCCCTCAATGAAGTCACTGATTGTGAATTAATTATTGAGGCACCCGGAAATTGGTAGAATTGCTTTTGACAATTAGATTTCCTTTTCTATTTTGGCACATTGAACATTGATGAATTGTGAAAATGTCTTTGATATGTTTAATTGTATATTTCAATGGAATACAATGGATGGTTATTTTCATTAAGTGAAAATTGTTAGCATTCTATAGTGTTCAATTGAAACTGTGTAAATGATTTGGTAGCATTTGATGGTGCTTTTAAATTGAAAATTGTTAGCATTCTATAGTGTAAATTGAAACTGTGTATAGCACTAGTAGTTAAGCTTAGCAGTGATATATTTACGGATTACTAACCAGAAGTACCTATTGTCATTTCATTTGCTCCAATCCAGTGGCATGTTTAAAATTTATGAGGACTTGATTCGGTGATAACCATCATTAATGAGGTTCATAATGCTGAATAAGATTGAACTAACAGTGAAAATGAAGTCAAATTAGGAAAAAACAAAACCCAAAAAATAGAAAAAACTAGGAAATTAAAATTCAAGTAAACTTTTATTACAGAACAGATTACAAATACAAATATCAAGTTTCAAAATAGAATACATGATTGAATATAATGAACATGTACATTTGCCGAATGTTATAAGGCAGCAATTCTGTAGATTTCTTTATCTGTACAGTTTCATGAAAAGAAATAATATGCTACATTGCTACATCTTAGTATTTGCTAAATACACAATTGATTAAATGCTCCACAAATCGAATATGCTGATGACGAGCAACGACTAAATGGTTGAAAATAGTGTAGTGAGGGATGAACAGTAACTAGTTTTGTCCTCTCAATCTTAGCACAGATCCCATACAGATAACCTACATACCATTCCTCATCCAATGCATATACCTCCTTCAACTTCACGAATAGCCTGGCCGTCAAAAAACTATCCGAGCCAGCCTGATGTGCCAACCCCAAACGTCGTACTCCCAAATTGTTGACCATTTTCTGTAGTCCAATCTCACCCCCTTGCAATCCTTCACAATACCGTGCCATACACTTGAGGTCATATACGCGACCTAGAACATTAGCGATGCTTTTGCTGAACTCCAAAGATGAATTCGGCAATGGACCATTAGTTACGAGCTTTACCATATAGGCCATATCATATAATCCATGGAACGTGATCCATTGTATGCCATCATGAGACCTGACTATACTCTTCAACTTCGTTGCGAAAATGTTCATGTCAACCCCTTCTCCTCCATGCTGATTCTTTTTGAAACTAATACCCGGACTTTTTCGGAAGTTAAACTGCCATGTACCCCCGGTATTCCCATTTCCGTCCAATAACGTAAAAGCTATTTGGGTCAATGACATCCTATCAATATTGTATTTCAGATCTTCGTATAGTTGATGCTCCGAAGAATTCCGTGGCGTGACATGCCAGAAACCGGTAAATTCGGTATCAAAGGCCACATACGGGTAGTTGTACATTACACTATCAAATCTTTGTATTTCCCACGAAAAGTTCTTCCTCCAAACCTCTTTAATGGACATGTTTGCAATCTTGAACCTAAGCTATGAAAGAAAAGTGAAGAAAGCAAACTGGGTATCGATGCAGGTGACAGAGATTTGATGGACAGGGCTGTGTTCCGCCAAGGCAGTCACCGAATCCAGGAACAAAAGAAGAAAGAAGCAACAGTTCTAATTGAAGTGGAGAAAGGAAATGGAGAAGGCTGTGTACGTTTGCTGTGTTTCTTGCCTTCTTGGTGCGTTTCTTGGTGCGAAGGAACACACATGTATCAAACCGGGATATCGATGCAGATCGATGACTAAGATGGGATGGAAAAGGGCTGCGTTCCGCTCGTCGGTAAATTTCTTGGCGCCGAAACAAAAGTGAAATCGTTGTGTTTCTTGTCGCGTTTCTTGGCAAGAATGCTGCTACTAAGGTCGCCGGTACTGAAGATGCCTTTTTTCAAGGATTTCTGAGACACCGGTGTTGCCCAATCACTCACCTTGGATCGATATTCTGTTTTCAAAGATGAATTCGCAGAAGGCAGATAGGTCGCCTCAGAGGGTTCGGACAACTTCACCAAACAAGGAACAAAAGAAAAAAGAAGCACTAGTGCGAAGGCTGCTTGTCTTTCCTTACCTTACAATATGATAATACGCCTGCCGCCGCATATGATATATATGTAAGTCTTTACTTATCTTGCAAGATTACAAAATGATAATAAACCTGCCGCCGCATAGCATATGATAGGTAAGTTGTTTCAATTTATATCAGAAATATATGTCTATATCTATTCTAAATATAAGTTGCTTCTATCTATATCTATATCTATATCTATATCTATTCTAAAAGTGTAACAAAATTTTTAATATTTTTAAAATATATAAAATAATTACATATGTAATTATATATCCTGATCAGGATAATTATATATCCTGATATATTCTGATATATCCTGATTTACATAATTTATATAAAATTGCCAGATTAAATGAATCGATAAACAATCTTGTATTTATGAGTTCTAGCACTATTATTATTATTATTATTTAAATCCGTTATATTGTAGTTTGGCGGCGAATAAGAGGGCTGAAGTCACTCCGATAAGCTAAGCCCAATAAATTTGAAACCCAATTCAGAGTAGGCATACCGAGATTGCGAGTCCATTAGCAAGTAAATCAAGGACCACGGATAATATTGTATTTAAATACGAGCAGTGATTTATATGGGCTAGGGACTTAAAATTATATTAGTGTGGTAGTGGGCTTCAACACATGGAGCGTACTGATTTAGGGACCGAATTAGGCATTTAATTAATTAATTAATTTTTATTTATTTATTTTTAGTCAGTACTCCCATACCATTTAAAAAAATTATTTGCACTTAACAAGAATCGATCCTGAAATTTAATACATCATGAGCATCATGTCATACCCACTATCATTTATCATAACTCATTATTCTTTAAATCAAAAATGTTATAACAGAAGTTAAAGCGAGGTATGAAGACTCGAAGCTAGATTTCCAAAGACAATAAGGAACAACCCAACCAGTGAATTACAAACGCGTTCACAAATATACATCTAAATAATATATTTTATAGAAATCATATTAACTCCTCTTATTTTTTAAATAAAAAATACTTGAGTTCCGGTAAAGACTCAACCCAACTAATGAGTTACAAAGGCATTCGCAAATATACATGTAAATAATATATTTTATAGAAATCATATTCACTCCTCTTATTTTTTAAATAAAAAATACTTAAGTTCTGGTGAAGACTTGAGCCATTCTCATCACACATGTGTTACATTATTGTTATGACACATCATGATCAACTAAAAATCAAAGATGAAGTGGGCCCACAGAACCTCCATTCCTTTTAATTTTCATTTTTAATTTTTAATTTATTTTTTATTTTTTGTGACAATCAATTAATCAAAGATGATGTTTCATAACAATATTGTATTGTGTAAGTCCTCACATCACCTATTGTCCTTTTTGGAGAGAGGTATGAAGTCGAAGGTGGTATTGAATTTTATTTTGAGTTAGGTTTTAGTTGAAATATTTTAAGTCAACCTGGATTAAAAAAATAAAAATTGAGCAACTCGAGCAAATCAAACTTGACATGGAGTATTAGTTAGTGCTATTAGCATATTATTAACCAACTTTAATCCAAACCTGACATAACCGGCCAAACCATGGTTGAGGTCGGGTTCGGCTCAAGTTGGCTTAGTTTTGAATGAATTAAGTATTTATTTAATTAAATATGTTTGATAATGCAATTTAAATATTATTGAAAAACGGTAAATGCCATTTAAAATCAAATAAAATTTAAATGACATGAACATCACTTATCACCAAAGGTTGAACATTAAAAATTCAAAAAATATTATAAAAATATTTATTTTTTAATTGCCATTTAAAAATTTCAGCACTTGAAATTCATACCTTAAAATTCTTAATACTTAATTTTCAATTTTATCAAATAGCATTACAACTCAAGCCAATTGAGAGATCAATTTAGACTCAACTTATTGTAGAAAACTTAATCCAACCTCACCTTCAAACAAAAGCTCCTTGTCCCATGCTCGCCACTCATATGTTCAAAATTAATACGCTATTTTTATTTATATTTTAAAATTTGACGAGTAAAATATATATAAAAAAAATTAATCAAAATCGAGTAAAATATATATATATATAAATAATCAAAATCGAGTAATATATATATATATTTCAAATGTTTTCTTAATTTTCTTTTGTAAGGTTATCCACATAATTTATATATATACAATAAATCAAGATTTTTAAAAGAAAAAGAAAAAGCGGAAAAAGGAAAAATGTTTGTCATGATAATAAATACGGAGTATATAATACTGTGAAATTATAATGAGATCGAGATATATATATATATATATACACACACACACATGTTATAGTTCAGTTTTAGGGTTCAATTTGCTTCCCCATTTAAGATTGAGATATATCTCCGGTTAAGCTTGTACTGACCCCATAATCTGTCCAACTTGCTTGAGTTGTATATCACTGCATTTGATTCACTTATAATGATTCTCTTCAGCTTTTTGAAGTGGAAGATGAGTGTTCTGAGTTTTATGAAGGAAAAAAAAAGAGGTGTTTCATCACTTTATTTATGCACTTGAGTTTTAATAGGCAAATCAAACGGTTTGAATTGAAATCTACCTGTGAAAGTGAATATTACATTTACAAATTTGGATAAGGTTCGGTAAGTTCTTATTTACGAGGTTCCGTTTCAATCAAGACTTTAGACTATAAAAATAAAGGGAAATGATATTTTTGACGACTTTAATATTTCGACTTAAAATCGACCGAGATAAAAATATGACGTGCTATTATAAAATTTCAACTTAAATAAGAATTATTACTACTCGTTTTGTTTAATTTTCCTTTCTTTATCTACTCAGTTTTTCATAACTCATTTCCTTATCTTTTCTGTTTTTCGTAACCGTATCATCTTCTTTTTTTCGTTTTTACAGTATTTTTCTTGGTACTCAAAAAGAAGAATTTGAAGTCGTTTTTACAGTATTTTTCTTGGTACTCAAAAAGAAGAATTTGAAGGGTACAAAATCCAAAACAAAAACTGCAATATTTGTTTCTGGAATCACATAGATCATTAGTTTTGATTATTATATCAATGAATAAATGTTTATCTAATTATATATAGGAGATGCAATCTTAAAAATCTGTGTTAGAGATCGAGATGCAATGTAATATATATATATATATATATATATATATATATATATATATATATATAACACATATAAAATTTGATATACATGTGATTGAAACTTTAATAAACTAAATAGCCAACAAAAATACTATATTAAGATGAAACCTAAAAAATGAACTACAACTTTTCAAATAATTAATTAACTTATATTTTAAAATGAGTGTCACTATATTTGACACATAAGTAACCACATAGACTAGGTGAAATAGTAGGTTTTTATTTGCCGAGCTAAATAACAGTACTCAAAAATAAATCATAAAATTTAAAATTACATCAAAATTGGTTAGACTCTCACGTAGTACATCGTATATACTTCTATCCATGCAATTCATGATATAAAATCTGATGCCATGGATTATAAAGATTTTTCAAAAGATCATCTAGTCTAAAAAAGAGTTGTTACTAATGCTATGTTGGTAGGAGAAAAAAAGACCCCCGGGGGGGGGGGGGGGGGGGAGTAACATATGAAGAAAGAGTAATGATACTTGCACTGATTTATTACACCGAATGTTTCTAATTGGTTATTTATGCATAGTACATGTGAGTGGAGGGCCCTACTTCTTTATTTATGCGATTTGTTGTAATTAATTGTCAGACTTGTTTATTTTAATGCATAAATAAAGAAATGGGGTCCTCCACTTACATGTACTATGTATAAATAACCAATCAAAAATATTCGGTGCAACAAATAGGTGCAAATATCATTACTCATGAAGAAAAGAACAAATTTTCTTCGTTTGGTAAAAATGATATAAGAAAACAAATGATAATAAAGAAGACAAGTGAGCCTATTATAGAAGATTCACCCTTCATAAATATTTAATAAATTACATAAATAAAGTAAGAGATGAGTTTAATGGTCAAAATAATTTAAAATTTTGTCTTTTCTTTTATCCTACAAATCAAATTAAATTGCCAATTTTTTTCATTCTCTTCCATCCAACCGAATAAAAAAGAAAAACATTTAATCTCTTTCCTATAAATTGATGTCGCAATCATCTTTTCTTCTCTTCCTTCCATTCAATTTTTTTCTTTCTTACCAAACGGAACATAAGGGTCCGTTCTTGTTAATTGAGAGTGTTTATTTTCTTCAAAACTTATTATATGGGGATCATGTGGCCTGATACTCCTGACCAGTCATGAACTTAAAACACAAGAAAATGTGTCAATTTTATTAAATTTCGTTTGTTCTTAATAGTTTCTCTCATTTTTTCCTACTCTTGTAATTATCATTTTTTTTGGTAAATTTTTTTCCGTAGTTACTCCTCA